AGGTTGTGCAAACCCAACAAACAATGCCATCGTTTTGAAGCCAAACCCTTGGTGAGCACCGAGAGCATCGTCCGCCTCCACCTTTCCACTGACGTATGACCACTGAGCCTGGCAGGACTCCAAGCACCATTCTGGCCTTGGCATGTGCCATGTTAGAAATCAGTGGACGATTCTCAGAAAATTGTCGCAGCCTTGAACAGACTGAGATGAAATATCTTATTTATATAGTGGCCTTAAGGGCTGAGAGGGAGAAGGGAAGTCAGAATGGTTTCACGCTTCTGGTGCAATGTGAGAAGCAGCCACCTGTGCTTCTTCCGTGTCTTTGTAATGTGTGATTTAATGAGATTTCAATAACAATAAGTTACTGCTACAGTGGGGATTGGACCTGAGTTTCATTGCTTTTCAGAACAATTCATTTCTCAGAAACCTGGTTCTTAAATTAGGATTTTTATCTAGTTTCATTTGAGTTTAAGGTGAAATTAAACATTACACCCAACAAGGCTACTGCCACAAACTTTGTCATGACTTTGTAATATGAAATACCGGTATTTAAAAATTCTGATATTTTGTGTGTGCGTGTTTGTGTGTGTATAAATGTTTTTTGCATTCTCAAAAGAGATGAGCACTGAAAGGACACTCATATTTTTGACTCCTGACTTATATTGTGTTGCCCTGCACCTCACCAATAGGCAGTTTGTGTGCCAATTTGAACAAAAACTCTGAAAAGACAGGGAAGTAAATTAAAAGTTAAAGATAAGTGGGACTATTGAAAGTTATAGAAGTCTCTGGTGTGTTCAATGGAGTCATTTTCAGCAAGTAGTTCAGCTGAAGAACTGATGACAAGTCACTTCCATACCCTGGAGAACCAAAGAAGAACTAAATCTTTAGAACTTGAAATCACCTCTTCACGACAAAATGAAGTAAATAATGTTTCCTATACCAAAAATCAAAGGATTAAATTAATACCTACTATTAAGTGATTGAAGACATGAAATGAATACGAAGGATTTCTTATCATCTCTGTCCTCTCTCTCACACACACCAATCATGCACACAAACAATTCTCTGAGCCAAAATCAGTGTTGTCATTTTCTAGTTGAAATGTTGCTGTTTTAACCCAAACTATCTGCTATGTTTTCTGGAATGGACTTAGTAGGAGTTCCTCTCTGGTCATTTCCAAACACAACAACTGCAGTTCAGTGCGTTCTTTCTCATTGCTGAATAGAATTTGATGTTCTTAAAAAAAAAAGTCACCTTCAAGCTGATCATCATGTGAATGAAATAATAAGGATATCAATGGAAGGATCGGAAGCAGCAGACGCACAAGACGCAATGGAAGAATTAACTCATTGTGTTTCAGAAACTAATTACCTAAGTTGTCCAAATTTAAATCAAGAAATCCAACCCTCCCTCATTTTACCTCTAGGGAAAACACTGGATGGATATACGTCACCTTTAGGCTTACTGTTCCTCTAAATCCCAGAACATTGTGTTACCTTTCCTTCAATGGCTCTGTAATGGGAGAAGAGAAAGCAAACGAGTTTATTCATAATACTACTTTGAGTCAAAAGTTTATATTTTGACCAAAGGTCAACATGGCTTTGGAGTTTACAGCTTTTTTTGTAAGAGGCAGTCTGGTCATCAGGCTGACAGACAGCAGCTTTTTATAACATACCAAGTTTGTATCCCAGGAAATCTTTGTCCTCGGTATTTTTGCCAACTCAGTTACATGGACCAATGTATTATCCCATCTTGACAATCTTGTCATTTATTAGAACATTGCAGGGTTGATCTACATGCTAGGAGACTACATGACATATTTCAATGCCATTTTTCATCTGCAGACCTCATTTTCATCCATAACGCCCCTGCAATGAGCTGCCAAAATTGGTCTTAGGCAAGTACAAAAGAAAACAAATACATTAGCAAGGATGTTGTTGTTTAGTCGTTTAGTCGTGTCCGACTCTTCGTGACCCCATGGACCAGAGCACGCCAGGCACTTCTGTCTTCCACTGCCTCCCGCAGTTGCTATGAAACGATCTTTCTTTCATTTTTGTTGGACATTCTGCCTGTTATAAAAGAAAAACCAAAGTTGAGAGAGCTACATAGCTTATATTAGAAATATCTTTAATAGCTAGTAGGGGCTGACCCAAGATCTTTTCTTGGCAAACACATATTCCCAGAACAGTCCTGAAGTGGGGAGCATATGAGCCTTAATCAACCTGGTACCTTCCAGATGTTTTGGACAAGAACACCTGTCAGCACAAGTACAACATCTGGAGGGTTAAATGAAGGCTGCTTTAGATACAAGAAACTTGAAATAGATTGGGGGTGGGGGAATATACAGGAGAGAATCAGCAGAAAGGCAGAAGATGTTTAATCGCTTCCATGCTTGCCAGCTCTCCTTTTTACATGCTCCCCAGGGCTGCTGTCTCCTTAGCTGGATTTACTGTTTCCAGCTTGGGGTGGAATTAATTTTAAATGCCCCGAGGAGCACATGCATGAGAGAATCCTGGGCAGTGAATTGAATTCTGGGGAGAACACAGAGTTAGGACTGTGCAGGATTGCAGGACTGCCACTTTGCCGAGTTCAGAACGACACATTCCACCTTGACTACAGAGTTCAGTCACAGCTTTTGCTCGGCAAAGCAAGTGTGTCTGTGTGGGAGACCGAGAGAGCTTTCCAGAGGCTAGCTAGCTGGCAGGAGAGGGACACTTAGTTCTCCTTTCACCTGGCTCTTTTGGTGTCTCTCCCAGTTCCACTCCCACCAGCTCCTGCTTCCTCAGCTCACCTGCCACTCCTCCACTGGAAAACGGTTTTCCACGCCCCAAGGAGAAGTGGCGGCCAGGGAAAGAACAGTCGGAATAAGCAACCGGAGCCCAAGATGCACTTCTGATTTGCTCAGGTGCCTGTTCCCTTCTGTGGACAAGCAGCAAAAAGGTGATCAGGTGAGTTGATGGTAAAGGTCATTCCGATTTTAGCTGCCTACCTCCTGAATGAAGATTGGGCAGTGCCTGCTTGTCTCAGAAGCAGTGCAAATAAGCTGCTTCGCTATCAGTGGTGAGTCCACTTTCAGCTGCCACCATCTCTTGCTCCTTATCAGAGATACCTTATACCAGCAGTGGGGAACCTTCCGCCCCCCACAACAGACTCCTATCAGTCCCAGTCAGTCTCCCAGCACAGGAGAAGAAGCATGGCTTGTGGAGAGGTCCAATGGCCAGATAAAGATGCCTGGATGCATTTGGTCTCCCAGGCCTGCCTTAGCAGGAAACAAGCACCAGGCACAGACAGCAGCAGTTACTGGCCACGGACTTCACCCGACACAAGCTCTTAAGACAGACTGAGAAATGATGCATTTTAAATACTATTAAAAGAAATAATAATTGAAGTATGTACAAAACGGTCCAGGAGAGCTTCAGTTATCTTTCTGGAAAGTTTAAAAACTCACGGTGCCAAGGAATCCTAGGAGGTACATGCCTTGTGACGTCCTGCTCTATAAATAGTTTATATTGCAAGAATGCCTGGGAGTTTTAAAAGGTCAGCATTTCTGAAATTTTGCACATTGCCTTTTGAAGAGAAACCTGGCCTCTTACAATTGCAGTGGTTTTCATGGGATTTAAGGTCCTTTTTATAGTGTCTCATCAATGGACCAGACCCTAAAAGCACCTTGTTTTATAATCCTAGGAAAAGTTAGAAACTGCTTTGTTCATTTCTGGGAGAAAAACCTGAAGCTTAATCCAGTTAAATATTTTGGGCTGGGAAGCGTTCTGATCTGAGACTTGCAACCTGACCTGGATTGGGTCCCACTAAGTCTGCAGCTCGAGGGTCTCCTGGACTTGATGCTATCTGTTGAGGCGCTGGTTGTATTGGTAACTAGCAGAATTTTTATAACAACGATAATTTAAAAAATTGTTTAGGCTGGTTTAAAGGTGATTTGAAGGACTTCTTTCTTCCAATCAAATCCAGCTGGTCCTTAAGTTGCACTGTCAAGGTCAAACAGATTGGTGCGCATTAAAGATGCTACTTTTTCAGAGGCCCTGTACTTTGGAACTCTCTCATAAAGAAGTTTCCACTAGATGTTAAAAACGTATTTGTTTCAAGCTGCACTTCATTAAAAGTTCTGTGAACTGGGCTCTAAACCACTGCTGCATTATTTTTTTTTGTAATTGGATTGTTTCATTTGTATTTTTAAATTTGCTATTTATATTACTTTATTACATTTATATCTCACCTTTCCTCTGAGAAAGTGGCATATATGATTCTTCTGCTACTCATTTTATCCTCACAGCAATTTGGTGAGTTGGAGGAGGGGGCTATTGGTTTCATTTGTGATTGTTTTTATTATGTATTTTGTGTTTTTATCTTGTGCTTTTATGCTGTGAACTGCCCTGAGATCTATGGATGAAGGGCAGTATACTACTACTACTACTACTGCTGCTGCTGCTGCTGCTGCTACTACTAGATTAGGCTGAGGGATAGTGACTGGCCCTAACTTGCCAGGTTAATTCCATTGCTGAGTGTGGATTTTAACCCTGGTTTCCCAAGTCATCATCCATTATGCTAACCACTTTACTACACTGGTTCTCCAGCTGTTCTATATTCCTTTATTTAGGCTATAATTTCTGTGCAACTGAAGGCTTTATCTTGTAATTTTGCACAACATCCATGCATAAATATAGCAGAACTAGCAAATGTGTTTTTTTGAAAATGTGTTCCTAGGATGAGATATTTAACCAAACAAGCTAGTAATAAGTTCAAGTGGATTCAATCACATTAGGTTCCCTAGTAAATTAATTTGGGTTGTGGTGTCAATATAGAGTGTTATTTTGCTCTCAGATCTATTAAAGAAAAGAAGGAAAGAAATCAGATGCAGATAGCCTTGGAAACAGCTGTAATTAAACAGGAGTTCTAAATAATCAGCTAAGCCGGTAAAGGACTTTGTGTGATGACCAGCCGGGGGGGGGTCTGCATTTATTGTTCTTTTTAATGTATAGGCTGATCTCTTGAGACAGTCAAATTCAGTATTTAGCAGGCTTTTGTTTTAAACCCACAGTCCATTGAGAACTGAAAAGGAATCATGCTTGGTTAAATGTGGGAAAATTTAGTAATGCCTGGTTAAAAGCTTTACAGCTGGATTAATGAGTAACCTACACTTTAATCATGCTGCTACTGCTCTCCCACTGTGTTATAACTTCTTCTTTGCTACTATAAAGTTCTCCACGCTGTTTAACTTAGTCACTTACAGCCTGAAAATGCCAGTGTCCTCGGGTGATCTGCTGTTACTTATGCTTGGGACAGTGTATCTTAGAGAAGGAAGCTCTGCACCAGTGTCTAATCAGCAAGGTATGGCTATGATTTCGTGCTTGTCTTTAAATGTTTTCTAACGGCATAGATCCATATTACCGCATGATTAATAGATGTTATCTTCGCTCGGAGTGCCTCCAGCCTGGTTTATTTCGAGGGAGATTAGACGTTGGCTGTTTAATGAGCATTCATTCTGATCCGTTTGTGCGGAGGTTTGATAACACTTGCATCGACGCAATGTCATTTCGCATTTTCCAGTGCATTTCCCCCTCGCTTTCCTTACTGCAGAAAGTTCAGTCTTTTGAGGAAGTGGGTTTGTTGTGCAAGACTTTCCAAACCATTATAAGTGTGAAACCTGAATTTGCCTGTGTGATTGAATCCCACTCAAAAATAGCAGCAATCTAGAAACACTTTTTTTTTTTAGTTCTCAGTTTCATCCCAGCTGCAGCTCTTCTGCATGGGGTGGAGTGATTTCCCTCCCCTAGTCCAAATTGCCTTGCCTAAGGAGCGGATTCAAATGCCCTGTGACAGCAGCTACATGCATAGTGTAATGCAAGAAAAGCAAGCCATTGCATGTATAAGTGGTGTCCAAACTTTTTTCAAAGAAGGCCAGATTTAATGAAGTGAAGGGCCGTGAGGGCCGACCAAAGTTGTTAATCTTTTCTTTAGGATTGAAGTTGTTGAGCTTTTTAAAGGGTTGAAGTTGTTGAGGGTTTTTTTTTTAGGATTTTACCCCAGGAAATGAACTGCCACAGACTTTGGACATGCCTGTATTGTATATGAATCAACCTTACAATTTTTCAGAAGAGTCGCCATGTGGAATTCATGCATCAAAACAATGAAATCACTTGTTTCTTCTTAAAGAAATAACATAGTTGTTTATACTTCATTTATGATCCTGGACATAGTCTATTCATGAAATTCTGTATGATGGCAATGAATATATTTTTCTGAACTTTCCTTATTCATATATCAGTTTTGATGTTTATGTGATAGATAGAAGCCATAGAGGCAAACAAAAGTGCTGCTGGACCTTTGATAAAGCCAAATCTGATATAACTTCGCAGTGGTTTCTAGCTATAGCAAACTTTTCCGGAGAGTGATATTTCACTTCCATTTCACTTCTGTTTGGCATGAGAGTGTAACTTGTTAACCACTGTGTATATTTCCAAAATAAGCTATGACAAACACACCCCGAAGCCTGGGTTCTCTTTTTTATTCCCCTGCTGGATAAAGGTAGTCCATCTGAAATCCCAATAAGACCATTTCTATAGAGGTCTGACTGTGTATAGATGTTGTTATGTTTGTTAAACATACACATATATCTTGAGCTGTTTTTCTTTGCGAAGGTCAACCAGCAGAATGAAAACACAAAGTTTGAGTGCACTTCTCAAATTTAGAACCTTGAGTGTTGATTGTTTTTGCTAGTTACTTGAGTTTTACTCACTGCATTCATAGTGACTTGCAGTGCAAGCCTTCTCTACTCAGAAGTAAGTTATACTGAGTTCAGTAGGATTACTCTGACATACATAGATGAAGGATAACAGCCTAAGATTAGAAATAATAGAGATTATTAGATATTAATGGGAAAACTTCAATTAGTACCATCTGGAAGTGAAAAGTTATTTGGCATCTTATGGAAAAAACTGGAGAATGACATCCAGCTGTCTTGCCCTCCCCCTCCCTTTTCTGCACCCTTGTTCTTATGCCTTTCAGATTCCAAGTGTGGGCAGAAAGTGGAAGCAAATTCATGGCATCTTTATAGCTATCTCTCTCGGATTGTTGGCGGGACCCAGGTGCAACAAGGTTCTCACCCATGGCAGGTGAGCATCTCCCTCCCAGTTACAGTTTTAGTCCAAGATCTAAGGTCTCCAGCTCAGCAGTCCTCCACCTGGTGCCCTCTGGATGTCCCAGACTACAGCTCCCATCATCCCTGCCCATTAGCCATGCTGACTAGTGCTCATGGGAGCTGTAGCCCCAAACATCTAGAAGTCAGTAGACTTTTGCGGAAGGCTGGCCTAGCTTATCATGGATGTGAGGGGAAGGACGGACCAAAAAAACAGGGTATTGCTTGAAGGTGGCAAGAATTACCATTCTCTCTTGGTTGCTGGAAAACAGTTGTGATTCATAAATTGCCTACAAAGTCACTTGTTGTTTGCTACCCAGAACTCCCTTTGGGAAGAAGGGCAAGATATAAATTTAATAAAAAAATAAATACTATGAAGCCCCATCGGAAGATACACTGAGAATACAACCCTAAGCATGTCTTCTCAGAAGTAAGACCCATTGAGCTCACACCCAAGTAAACAAGGTCTAGGATTGTAACCTTAATTTTCAGTGAAAGGGAGTCTGTAAGAGTATATGGTCTACTATTTAAACAGGTCTTTCAGATCAAAAATCAGTGGTAAAAGAAGTGTTTCTTTTTAATGAGTGCCCTGTAATATTTGAATTTTGCAGATATACAAGTAGAACATAGGGGGAGACACAGCTTAAGGGTTTAAACAGATGATAGCCAAGACTGCCTCCTCACACCAGATCTCCAGAAAGAAGCAAAAGCCTAAAAGGCCCTGATCTTTTCCAGCTTCTATGTATGTGTCTTGTAATCTAATTGCCCCAGAATGCTTCTTTTGTTTTCTGTTCTCAACTAGCTTGCTGCCTCCTTCTAGCTAGAGAGGGGACTGAGAATGAGTCATCTTCTGCTTCACCAAGCCTCCTTGGACCATTTATCTGAAGTTTCCTAAAATAAATAAAAAACCCCCACATGCCTGGCAACTTTGACACAGGCTTCTATGGGAATCTCCAGCAGTACTTCTGGTTCCAATATTCCACATAATACTTATTTTGTCTCCTTTCCCCTTCCCCTCATTCTTTCTGCTACAGGGAACGACTAAGATATGATGAGCATGAAGGTTAACATGTAAATGTAGGCATTCACTGTAACATAGGGAGAGAGGGAGGGAGAAAAATACTAAGGTGGCAGGATGATTTTAGTACTGTCTCCTTATCACTTCTTTGCATGTGAATGTTTGCATTATAAGACAGATATTGAGAAGCTCTGAAAAGTAAGAGTTCTATAGGAGAATATGATAGTTAGCATTCACTTCTGCTACATATCCCTAGTAATTTGGTGTGTGTGTGTGTGCATGCATACCCCCCCCCTATTTTCAGACATTAGCAAAATTCATTCAGGATTGTAAACATTCAAATGTGAATGCCAGCAGTCACCATGTTGGGACATGCATGTCACCTCTTCTGTTTTCTGTCTTGCTTTTGCAGATGCAATAAGAAAAGGTTTGCATTTTCTAATGTGACATGTTCTCTTTATGGCACAGGTTTCCTTGAAACGAAATAATCGTCATTTCTGTGGAGGAACCCTTGTTTCCTCTCAGTGGATAATCACAGCTGCTCACTGCGTTGTAAGCAGGTACAGATAGAGAATTCCATTCTTTTGTAAGCAGGTGCAGATGGGGAATTTCACTTGAAGGCCAAAAATTCCAGGTTGTTGTTTTGTTATATATTTTTCATAGCTTTTAAAAAATGTGCACTGCACCTGAAAGCAGCTACTGAAGGGCAGTATATAAAGTCATAAAATAAATATAAATGCATAAATGAAATATTTAGGGTTTGGTGCTATGTGATGCTATTTCTGTATTTTGTTTGGCTTTGTTTCAAAAGATGAAAATCAGCCCCCCCCCCTTTTTAAATGGTTTTCTACCACTATGCAGATACCTGCTTGGTTCCCTGACCGTAACTGCTGGAGAGCATGATTTGCGCCATAAAGAGGAGGAAGAGCAAACCCTACATGTAAAATCTATCACCAGACACCCAAAATTTAATGTGAAGAAACCAATGGATTATGACATTGCCCTTCTGAGAATGAACGGTCACTTTAAATATGGTAATCTTGTCTACAATTACCTGCCTGTTATAAACATTATTTGTAATACTCAAGGAAAAATAATTTATTATCACAAAGCATAGGTGAATCACAAATTTCATTGCCAGAACTGGTGCCTTTTCATTGCTTTATTCAGGAGAACTCCTAGGACCAAATTGATGGGGATATTGTGGACTGTGTAGATTAATTTGTTTCTTAAGGCGAGTGTAGTGTGATTGATTTGCCATATGACCAGCTTTACAACTCAACCACTCTCAGCATGCCAGCTGGGTCATGTGACTTGGTCATGAATCAAGCTGTGGCCATTGCCAAATCGGCTGCCAAGAAAAATGTGGCAAATAAAGAAAGTCCTGGCATGCCCACCAAGTAATTTCTCACAATCTCTCTCTAGTGTGCTGAACTGAGAGTACAGGAAGCAAAGAGGAGAGAGATCTTGCAAAGCAGGTGTCTCCCCGCCCCCCAAAGAACCTTGTTGGATCAAACCGCTGAATCTGACATCCTGTTTCTCACAGTGGCCAAGCAAATGCTTCTGGGAAGCCCACAAGCAGAGCTGGAAGACAATAATCATAATGTCAACATGTAAAGCCATGCACTTAAAAGGACTAGCAGGAGGCTGTTTCCCCACTCAGTCCCCATACAATACAATTCAGACAAACACAAGCAGTAATAAAAAAATATTGAGGTCTTAAAAAAACAACGAAAGCAGCTGGTACAGTGATCTTCTCAAGGGGGCAGTTTCACAGATGTAGGGCTCCCACTGAGGAAATCCTATTTCTGGTATCAGCTAGTCTGCAATTGTCTTAATGCCTCAGCAGGCAGTCCTTCAAACAGCCTGGTCTCTGAATCTGACTAATCTTTTTGCACCCCTGGGTACATTTGGGAATTTGAGAAATTGTAAAGGATAACACCGCAAAATTTCTGACGTGTGGAATGTTGTTAGCACACTGAGATTGTCTTTTTGGAGAGATCCTAGCTACATAGCGGGTCCTACATAATACAGTTAAATTAGAGTTGCAGTACATCCACAATTCCCAGACATAGCCAAGATTCAACTGTTGGAAACAGCGCCCAGGCGGTTAAATGTCTGGGGAGATCTGGACGAGTGGCAACCCATGTCGGAAGTGTAGATTTTGGTGAATTTCCTTAAAAATAGCTCAAAAACTTCATTTTTTTTTGTTTTGCAAAAAAAGCAGATCAGAAGGTCGGTGGTTCAAATCCCCGCAATGGGGTGAGCTCCCGTTGCTCAGTCCCAGCTCCTGCCAACCTAGCAGTTTGAAAGCACGACAAAAAATGCAAGTAGATAAATAGGTACCGCTCCGGCAGGAAGGTAAACAGTGCTTCCATGCACTGCTCTGGTTTCGGTGTTCCATTGCACCAGAAGCAGCTTAGTCATGCTGGTCACATGACCTGGAAAAACTGTCTGCGGACAAACGCCAGCTCCCTCGGCTTGTAAAGTGAGATGAGCGCCGCAACCCCACAGTCGTCTGTGATTGGACTTAACTGTCAGGGGTCCTTTACCATTACCTTTTTATTTCTAAATATGATTGCTCTGCATATCCCATCTCCCCTTCTCTGTCTCTCTCACTGGGATGAACAAGACACCCTCTCCTTTGATAGCTGTGTAGATAATGTCCCTTGCTTGGCCTGGATGTGAGTGTGTTTTAGTAACCTCTGACTTTTGGGTGATTAGAATGCAGCCTACTGTACAAAGTTTTTTCATCCTTGCTCTGAAAGATTAGCGAGGCAGGACTTAGCTTTGCAGAAGCCATGCTGATCTTTCTTCAGCAAGACTTGATCTTCTATGTCCTTGATAATTGTGTTTTTTTCACCCATTTATCCGGTGGATTCAGAGCATAGCTCCCACTGTGCAGACTGCAAGGGCTGCAAAGGTCTAGTAACTACAGTACTGTTTGTGTCCTAAATCCCTGGAGAGAGCACCACCAGTCACTGTAGACAATATTAAAAATGTGTTACACGCAATACCTTTAAAGTGCATTTGAAACATGTTCTTTCTCTCAAATAATTCTGGGCATTCACAGAGTTACAATTCCCAACAGCACTTGACTAATGACAGTGCCCAGAATTCTTGGCTAGGGGGCAGGAAATGCACTATGAATGTGCTTTAAAGTCATACACAGCCAGAAGCTAGATAAACCAGTGGTATAATGTGGTATAAGGCAATTTTCTAAGCAAAGTGGGGTCACATCATGGGGAAATGGCTCACACACTGCTGTATGGGACTGGGACTTGAGAGATGTGGGGATCTTGCAGTAATCTTTATGGTCCTATAGAACCGTATTTTTTTGTGGCTTGTTATGGATGAGAGAAAGAAAGAGTTTGTATTCAGGTTTTTCTGAGTTACACACATTTGAGAAGCACACAAAACCAAAAAGTTTAACAGTTTGTGTGATTTTGCTTTTCATTTGGAGCTCAAAAGGGTTGGGACTTAAATTAACATTATTCTAATATGTCACACATTAATATTCCAATATGCCACTAAATAATAAATTATTATTATTATTCTACCAAACTTTTAGAAGACATCTAAAGGCAGCCCTGTTTAGGGAAGCTTTTAATGTTTAATAGGTTACTGTATTTTAGTGTTTTGCTGGAAGCCGCCTAGAGTGGCTGGGGGGACCCAGCCAGATGGGTGGGGTATAAATAATAAATTATTAAATTATTATTGTGTTCATGGCAGGTTCAACAGTTGGGCCAGTATGTCTTCCTGAACCCAATGAAACATTCGATCCAGGATATATATGTGTCACTTCTGGCTGGGGTCGCCTAAGAGAAAGTAAGCCTAAGCTATTATTTTTGGAAGCACGGCCATATCAAAGCAGCTGTGTAAAAATTGTTGATGCGAGTTGATGTTTTGTGATTCATCCCTTTGCAACACAATCCCCAACTGGTTAAGACTTCCCATATGCTGAAACAAAGATACAATAATAAATGAGGGGGGGGGGGAGTGGTTTTGCAGCCGTTACAGCAGAGAAGAGAGAAGCAATGACAGACTGAAGAGGCTCAAGAAAGGTGACCCTTCTCACAATTAAGGAGCTTTGGGAAAACATTTCTTCTTCCAGTGTACAACTTTCAACTCCAGATTGATGTCATTATTAAAGCTTCTTAGTGAGCAAATACTGGATACTGCTGTAAAGAGATATTCAAAAGCCTGTTCTTATTTTTGTTTTGTTGAAAATTTCTTAAGGAAGGAAGGACATAACTATATCCCCCCCCCCCGCAATGTGGTGCCTCGCAAGACGAAATTAATTCGTTCCGCAAGTTTTGTCGTCTTGTGATTTTTTTCGTCTTGCGAAGCACGGTGTCGGGAAAGTTTTGGAAAAGCTTCAAAAATCACCAAAGTCTTTAAAAACCTCAAAAAAGGCTACCACACCGCGTTCTATGAGTTGCTCCTCGAAGTCAAGTCGCAACTGTATTAACGGTGTTAAGAAAAAGGAAACAAACTTGCAAGACGTTTCCGTCTTGTGAAGCAAGCCCATAGGGAAAATTGTCTTGCGAAGCAGCTCAAAAAACGAAAAACCCTTTCGTCTAGCGAGTTTTTTGTCTTGCGAGGCATTCGTCTTGTGAGGTACCACTGTATTGGCTCTACTTCCTGTAGTGTCACTTGGCATATTTTTCTGTGGCAGCCACATTGAATGAATGGCTGAAAAAATTATTGTCTCCCTCGCTCTAATGTACTGTTCCTCCACCAACACCATTCGCTGTCTGCCTTGGGCATTTTGTGGAAAGGAACCTATCTTGGTTACAAAGCACCTGCTTGTCATGCAGAAGGTCTTCCAAGTTCTAGCCCTGGCATCACCAGTTAAAAGAAATAAAAGGTGGGGCAAGACCTTTGTCCGAGGTCCTGGAGAGCTGCTGTCAGAATAAATGGACCAATAGTGTAACTTGCTATAAAACTGTTTCCTTTGGTGTGCTTGTTTTCTAGATGGTATCCTCCCTGAAGTCCTGCATGAAGTGGAGTTGCCCATCCTAGACCACAGTGAATGTTCTAGAGCATTGTCAACTTTAAAGAAACCTGTTCGGGGTGACACTCTAATGTGTGCTGGGTTTCCAGATGGTGGAAAGGATGCCTGCCAGGTTGGTAAAATGAAGAGCCTTTTCTTCCCATCTACCTGCCTGCCTTTCCATCTCTGTGATGGGGTGGGGAAACTTCCCAGCAGGAAGAACAGAGCAAAGAGATGGAGCTCATACTTTTCATGCAGAAGATCCCAGGTTCCACTCTCGACACCCACTGTTAGACTCCTTTTCATGAAGCAGCAGTCCATCACAAGCACTTCAGGCCCAAAACATTTTGCTGCCCGAAGCAAAACTCAAATGGTGTCCCATCCCACTGGTACAGCCAATGCTATGAAAACATCTGTAGCGTTCAGACATAAATTCTTGCATTCCTATGTTCCTGTTCCCCATCCTCATAGTAAAGGTAAAGGGACCCCTGACCATTAGGTCCAGTCGTGGCTGACTCTGGGGTTGTGGCGCTCATCTCGCTTTATTGGCCGAGAGAGCTAGCGTACAGCTTCCGGGTCATGTGGCCAGCATGACTAAGCCACTTCTGGCGAACCAGAGCAGCACATGGAAACGCCGTTTACCTTCCAGCCAGAACGGTACCTATTTATCTACTTGCACTTTGACGTGCTTTTGAACTGCTAGGTTGGCAGGAGCAGGGACCGATCAACGGGAGCTCACCCCGTCGCAGGGATTCGAACCGCCAACCTTCTGATCAGCAAGTCCTAGGCTCTGTGCTTTAACCCACAGTGCCACCAAGTCCCCCCCCCTCCTCATAGCTTTGCCTTAAACAGATCACTTCAAACTGACACATGGCAGGTGCAGTCCTGTCCATTGGACAACTGCAGGGTGTACTTTTGAAGGATCGCTTAAAATACTTGCATGCAGTGCTTTATATATGTCTCATTTGGATCTGTTTCTTTTCCCTGCAGGGTGACTCTGGGGGATCTCTGGTGTGCATGCGTGAACATGGTTCTTGGACCCTGGTTGGGGTGACCTCATGGGGCTATGGGTGTGCTCGCGGCTGGATGCAAAACCTAAAAAAAAAGTATAACAGAAGAGGAACACCAGGAGTTTTTACAGACCTTACCAAGGTGCTCCCTTGGATTCAGCAACATATCGACACCGGTAGTCAATATTAATCACCTTCTGCCTAATTCACATATTAAGGCGTGTATCCAGCAAAGTTTTCCCATTTGCACAAGGATTATCACTTCTGTAGTGGAAGCCCCTTTCCTTCATCTCCCTGAAATCTACTGCAGAAGGTTAGAGAAAGCCCCAGGACCATTTGGGGGAAGGGGGAGGAGAGGGAATGGAAGTTCCATTGCACAAATGGAAGTCCTTTTGTGAACAGGATTAATTTGTCGGCAACAACCCTAAATCTTTTCTTCAACACTGCCAACCCGACAGAAAAACATAACCTGTTGGGGTGGTATGGGGAAGTTGATTCTTCTGTAAAACTAATAATTGGAGCTTTGACTGGGTTGTATGGCAGATAGTACAGTCCCTTATGTTTTTATATATGCTGGAAGCTGCCCAGAGTGACTGGGGCAACCCTATCAGATGGGCAGGGTACAAATAATAAAATTATTACAAATTATTATTATCAGTTTGATTTCAACAGCTTTACTGTCATGACAGCTACTGTGAGTTCCACTTAGAACTGTTCCAATAGAGTTGTTGATGAATATATTGCCTTAGGACAGGCTTCCTCTAATTTGGTCCTCCAGATGTTTTTGGTCTACAGCTCCCATGATCCCTAGCTAGCAGGACCAGTAGTCAGGGATGATGGGAGTTGTAGTCTCAAAACATCTGGAGGGCCGGGTTTGAGGAAACCTGCTTAGGACATCCTTGTTATATGCAGTCAGGCCCAAAGGGAGCAATAGATGTTTGGTTGTTACAAATTCATTATTACATTTCTGATTTGCCATAACATTAATAGTTCTTCACTAGGATATTTCTCTTTTTCTTTTTAATTAGATATCAGAATGAAAAGCTCTACAGGTGAGTATAATGTGCTGGAAAACGCCTTCCTGAACTAAGTATGTACTGGCAGAGTCCAAGATTTCTTGTGTATGATTAAAAAGTATGGATTAGAAATGATTATTTTCGTAATGCTTAGTTTTGTCTGTCTTTGCACTGCATATCTGTTAGACCAATAAATCTTGATATCTTCATATCCACATCACAGCATCATGCAGTGTGCAAGATGGCAAACTCCCTGGCAATGAAGGACAGCTTGTTTTCCCTGATCATCCTAAGCATTTTTACCAGGACAACCAGTGAGTAGCTGAAGTCCCTTTTCTGAAACTGTACCTGGTCTCATGCACCTGTGCTTTATTGATTGCCAACTAGAATTCAGTCCTTGTGCATCAATCCAGGTTGTGCGTTTGGACTCTGCTCGTCCCAGAAGGAATGCATATACTGCTGAATTTTACCCGCTTTGATGTGGAATCCGATATGTACTGTGACTATGATGCCTTGTCAGTGATTTCTAAGGACAACAGGCTCCTTGGTGAGTATCTTCTTCGAAATATATAAGGCACCAGGCTGCACTTTTCCCCAAATGAAAAGCAGGCGGTTCTTGTATAGTTGAAAAGTTGGATATGATATCAAAATTTGGTGCCAGCACATGCCGTACTGAAGTGAACACATGATGTGCATTAATGGCCTGTCCAAACAGGAATTTCACCTATGGGGACTTTGTGGCATGGACACAAAAATCACCCCTATTTTCCTCTGAAGTCTTGGCTACCATAGTAGTGCTTTGCTTCCCAGTATGCCTGACACTGAGTGAGGCCACCCATGCCCAACAGCCATGGGGAGGGTACAAATGTAGAGGAGTTGCTCTTTGCTTTCCCTCATTGATGTTGGAGGGCCCTCACCCACATTGACTGAACTCACTTTCACGTTGACGAAAGTTACAGTTGAAAATGGTGCGTGGCCAGCTGAACAGAGAATAAGAAGGCAGGAAAGAGTTATCCACCTCTCTTGCTTGCTTAAGATGGCCCAATCCTGACCTTGCTTTTCCTTTCTGAAGGGATTTTGGAATTTCATGTGTAATGATGCTCCAGACACTTAGACAGAGTATTCAGAGGTGTTTTCGGGGGCAGACACCCAAAACAAGCTTTGCTACTAAGATGCCCGCAATGAACACAGCTGAAATCTGGATACAAATGCTAGGTTGAACCTGACGTATATTAAAGCATTTTTGGGTTGACTCTTCTCCTTCTGGATCTTATATAGCCATCAGGTTACACATTGTTGTTGTAAATTACGGTAGCCTGAATCAGTGGTGTGCGGTGACATTTTTTGAAGGGGAACAGTTAGAACCAGAGGTGCCAGCTTGCAAGGGTGACAGGGGGTGGGGGGATATTGCGTGTGGGATGTTCCAACATCCTGACAAGCATTGTGATTCCCTCCCTAAACTGGACAGAAGCTTCCCAGGCTTTGGGAAGGAGATGCCAGTGCTCTGACAGTATGTTGGAGCTCTCCTGCCTCCTTCCCCAAGCTGGGTGGGCTTTGGGAAGATGGCGGAGGGGGACTCTTGGACTCATCGGAGCATTGCGCCTCTCTCCCTAAGCTACCTGGATTTTAGGAAGGAGGCCCCAGGGGAACATTTAGGGGACTAGTCTCCCATGTCCACTGATCACACACCACTGGCTTGAATACTATGGTCCTAAGCATACCTACTCAGAAGCAGGTTCTTCTCACATTAGCAGAACCACTCAGTAAATATTAGCAAAATTACATTGATAAAATTAACGTCTTTCAGGGAAGTTCTGTGGCAAGGAGCCCCCGTTACCGATTTTGGTTGGTTCCAATAGCCTAACGCTAAAATTTGTATCTGATAACAAAGAACACGGATCTGGGTTCTCTATGATATACCAAACTATTGAGCCAGATTCTCTTCAAGGTAAGTATCAATACTTTCTAATAATATAAGAGAGGCCAAGGAGGCTTCACAATATATATGGATTACAGGCACTAGATCTGTTACTTTATAAGTTGCGATACTTTTTTTGTACCTTACCAGTCCTTACATGGGAGTGCTCTAGGGAGATTCTATGATTTGTAGCTTTAGCAGTCATTGATCGAGATGCAATTAGAACACAGGCTTGCCATACAGAAGGGTTTGATGGTGAAGAACTGAGCAGTTACACAATTATTAATATAAATGGACCGCATGAGTCCTTCACAGACTTAGCTCTGAAGACCTCTGGAGGAAAAAATGACTCTATAACAGGCACATCCAACAGGTAGATCGTGATCTACTGGTAGATCACTGAACGTCTTTGGTAGATCACTGGCTCCCCCCAAGCTCAACAAGTTTGGCTCCCCTAAAGAAAGCTCAACATTTATTGCCCTGCACCCCAAAACCCGGGGCTTTCCTCTTCCCTAAAAGCAGCTCAACAACTTTGACCTGAACCCCTAAAGAAGGGGGTAGATCACTGCCAGTCTTTAACTCTGTGAGTAGATTGCAGTCTGTTTGGGAGTTGGCCACCCTTGCTCTATAAGAATCAAGGGCAAGCACAACCGAACCATCTACCTATTCTTCAAATACCCATATCTAGAAAGTTTCCTTATTACAAAATTAACTCTTGGAAGTCGATTGAAGCAATCCTTTAATAATAAATAAAACAACCACCACCTTATATTTTACTACAGTGGTACCTCGGGTTATATATGCTTCAGGTTACAGACGCTTCAGGTTACAGACTCTGCTAACCCAGAAATAGTACCTTGGGTTAAGAACTTTGCTTCAGGATAAGAACAGAAATTGTGCAGCGGCGGCAGCGGGAGGCCCCATTAGCTAAAGTGGTGCTTCAGGTTAAGAACAGTTTCAGGTTAAGAACGGACCTCTGGAACGAATTAAGAACTTAACCCGAGGTATTACTGTATAAGTATAATGAGCACACAAAAGCTTCCAGTGGTTTATAGTTTGCCAAGGGGCTATTTAAATTGTCTCACTTTACTTTTGCTTCACTGTCTTTCTAGACTCTGGCTGTGGATCTATTGCCATACTTTTTGAGGAAGGAACAGTACAAAGCATGCACTACCCCGAGGCTTACAATAATCTGGCAGATTGTCAATGGATTGTTCAAGCTCCAGAAAACCACGTGGTCAAGGTACAAGGCAGGGCTGATTTACTGATATCAGCACAAAGGGTTTCCTCTGAACACCCTAAGTTTGATTCCAACCTTCACAAGCAATGTAACATTTCGCTCATGAGGCTGCCTTATTTTGGTGCTGTTTTATTATTAGTTAACATATAATATCTTGCATTGGGATATCATTTAAATGCAGGTGGGTAGTATTCAACTAGGTTTTACTCAGGGTAAAACTTCATGAACATGACTAAGGCAGATCCATCAATTCCAATAGACCTCCTCTAAGCAAATCTTAGTTGAATACCAATGTGTGTGGATTTCTTTCTTTCTTTCTTTCTTTCTTTCTTTCTTTCTTTCTTTCTTTCTTTCTTTCTTTCTTTTCTAGTTTCAGTGTCTTTTGAACCTGTCTATCTTCAAACTGGGTGTAGTTTTATATGACACTGACACTTTTGCTATATTCGTGTAATATAGGGGTGTAGGTTGTATGTGATGCTGTCTCCTCTGTTTACATTCTTGTGGTAAATAAATAATTCATTCCCAAATATGAATTTCAAACACCAGAAAATGAAGTATACTCTTTTTCTTTCTGGCAGCAACCATCTCCAGCCATCTTTCATCACATTCCTCTACAAATGTTGTCGTAGACCAGTACCCCAATATAATTTGCAATTCTAAAATGTTGGGGTGTATTCTGCTCCCAAGTATTAATGTCTTATCTGTTAATACTCCCGAGGAATTTACATTATTTCTGTACAACATCTTATCGGAGGTCTCTAGTGACTACAATGACATTTGGGCTGCACTCCTATGCACTTTCCCTAAGAGTGAGTCCCAATTACCGGTAATTCACTGGAACTGATGTCTGAGTGTGGTTTGTGTTGTGTGATCTCTTCATAAAGATAATAGCTATTCCTTTTATATTTGTAATATGTGTTACAACATACTACGTTCCTGATAAAAGTGTATTTAAGATTATTTTTCCTTGATAGAATTTATGGATGAATTCGTCTTTAAGGCTGCAGTACTATGCATGCTGGGACACGGGTGGCGCTGTGGGTAAAACCTCAGCGCCTAGGGCTTGCCGATCGAAAGGTCGGCGGTTCGAATCCCCGCTGCGGGGTGCGCTCCCGTTGCTCGGTCCCAGCGCCTGGCAACCTAGCAGTTCGAAAGCACTCCCGGGTGCAAGTAGATAAATAGGGACCGCTTACTGGCGGGAAGGTAAACGGCGTTTCCGTGTGCTGCGCTGGCTCGCCAGATACAGCTTTGTCACGCTGGCCACGTGACCCGGAAGTGTCTCCGGACAGCGCTGGCCCCCGGCCTCTTAAGTGAGATGGGCGCACAACCCCAGAGTCTGTCAAGACTGGCCCGTACGGGCAGGGGTACCTTTACCTTTTACTATGCATGCCGGACTTCCTTCTGAGTAAAAGGCTTAGGGTAGGACTGCACATCAATTGTCAATGATCTCTAAACTTCTTTTTAAAGACTTGACAACATTTTAATTTTAAAAATGTTTTAAGACCTTGGGGCCCCAGAGGTTGCTACCCACATTTTGATACATGCAAGCATTGTAGACTGCAGTCAGGCATAAACTGTAGATCTGCTTTGATTTGTAAATTATAATAAATTATAATGTTTGCATTTGGGGATGTGCAGAGAAATCCTATGCATGTTTATTCTGAAGTAAGCCTCCATGTGCATCTGAAGCATCTGAAGTGTGCTCCATGTGCACATTTATTCCAGCCTTTATTGCAGCATTAATCTATGCCTTGTTTAAATAGTATTTTCTTACTTGCCATAGGCAGGGCAGCAATTTAGTTTCCTTGGTAACACTCCTGAATGATCTATAGCCAATATGAAAAATATCTGAAACTAAACCTCTTTGTGTTTGATGAACTTCAAGTTTTTTTGCTGTTGGTTTTGTTTTGTTTTTGAAGCTCACATATGAACATTTTGAACTGGAGGAAAATGAAGACTGCACTTATGACTCAGTGACAGTGTATGAAAATGTTGCAAAGGATAATGAAATAGGTTTGTTTTTTATACTTATTTCTAATGCTGTGCACTAAATGAGATTTGAGTCCATTGCCAGGATCCCTTTCTTCCCAGTTGGGTTTCAGTACCCAAAATAAATTCAGTTGGGGGGAAAGTAGTGGATGGTGTGGCTACGCTGCAAGAAATGGATTCATTTCACTACACACCATGTACACACCTGGTTCTTAGAACTGGCCTCCATCCCTACTTCAAGTGAGTGAGTCTTCTTCAAGTGATTAGGGTAGGCTGCACTTTTAAACAAGGGGATCAGTTGCCATCACATGTAGTCACATTGTTTTTCACTATTTGGCTAATCTTGCATTACACACACACACACACACACACACACACACACACACACAATTAAAACTCACAGGGAAACCTCTAGTCAATATCTGAAACTGTCCATGATACTTTTTCACTCTACAAATTCCTTTAATTTATATCAAGGAAATAGTAGCAGTGACCTAACACACAGGGTGTAATACAACACTGAGCAAGCATTTTAGTGCAAGCATTTCTGCTTAATAGACAGAGCACTTTCCCCCTCCTCCCCTGCCTCTCCTTCTGTTATGGGGGTTCTCCCAACCCCCCTGAGCAGATTTGTGGAGGATGCAGGGGAGAAGTCCTGTTTCACTAGTGGAACTCACTGCACTGAGTTTCAGTGGTGCATCAGTTTAATGGGATCTGACCCAATGTTGATATGTTTTTCAGCACAGAGGATGCCAATTTTTTTACGACACCCATTTGATTTAACGTTTTGTATGCTGAGATGCAGGGAAGTTGTTTCTGTTCTGCTGTGAACCTTGCCACTTACCTTCTTTAGCTCGATCCTGTGGATTTGCTGTCCCAGCACCAGTTGTGAGTTCCTCTAGTACCATGCTGGTCAAGTTTCATTCAGATGAGACAGAGACGTTTGGTGGATTCAAAGCCAGATTTTTGTTCATCTCTGTTGCAGGTAATGGAAAATGGAGGATTATTCTAGCCCTAGAAGAAAGTTGATTTGAGGAATTCTGACAATGACTGTCCCCTCTTTCTTTTTGAAACTAGATCTAAACATATCAAATTTGAGCAGTGAAGTAATGCTTCCAGAGGAAATAAGTGATGCCTCGAATGAAACTGACATTCCTGGTAAATCATCTTCTGTGAAGGTATCCTTTGGTAGGAGAATAGGTAGGGCAAAATGAATGTAGAGAGGAGTCCAGGGTTTGGTTTGTAGATATTCTATATAGATATTCTATAGGTATTCTAGATATTCTATAAATTCTACATACACACCAAGTTTGGCTGGAAAATGTGTTTTCCTAATAAGGCAAATCCAAAATATATTGCAGACTTCAGTGCCTCCACTGTATCCTCTACTAGTCAACTAGTGGAGCTCCTCCAAACAGTTCAAAGGTTCCTGGTGCCTGAAGGAGTTTCCTTGGAGCCCTCTGTGGCCCACTGTTTATAAGACATTTTGAGGGTAAAGTTGTATGACTCTGTAGAGATATTGACCCCTTAGTTCACGCAAAACAAGCGTGAATCTTGATCATGCTCAATCTGGATCATGGTAAACAAAACCTAGCCAGCAGGACATCCTTCGGCAGCTTCAGGGCGTGGTGAAAGGGGTAGCACTTGAAATAGTCATTGGCCGATTTCTAATACACCGATTCTTGGGAAGGTGACTGAGAAGGTTGTGGCAGAACAGCTGCAGGCATTCTTGGATGAAACAAGTTACCCTGACCAATTTCAGTCTGGTTGGCCTGGTTTAGAGGTCAAATCAGCCTAGCTTGTCCGGATAAATGACCTCCACTGGGAGAAAAACAAGGAGAGTCTAGTTATTTTGCTTCATCTCAGTGTGGCTTGTGATACCATTGGCCATGGTGTCCTCTCAGACCAGCTCTGTGAAACTGGTGTCAGGGTAGTTTATGGTAGTTCTGCAGGGTCAGTTCCATAGAGTCACCCTGGGGCATTTATGCTATGGGATGCTGCAGGACCCTATCTTATCACAGTGTTAGTTAACATCTATATGAAGACACCTGGAAGGATCATTGAGGGGATATGGAGCAAAGTATTATTAGTAAGCTGATGATGCATCACTCTGTCTCTCCATAATGTCTGAACTTGGAGTGGCCATGCAGGCTCTGGACCAGTATCTGACCACAGCTGTGGGCTGGATGAGGGCCAGTGAATTGAGTTTAACTCCTGGCAAAACAGGTGGCCTTGGTGGCTAAGGGTCCCTTTTGCCAGCTTTGGTTGGTTAGGCAGCTACAGCTGTTCCTGGACTGAGATGGCTTGGCCACTGTGACCTTGGATTACTGCAGGATGCTCTGTTCTGGGGTTCTCTTTGACTTAAGCTAGAAGCTGCTGCTGGCTCAGAATACAGTAACTAAATTGCTGATTGTGGTACCCCATTGACACCATGTCATGCTTCTGCTAAAGGAGATGCGCTGGCTGCCAATATGCTACCAGGAACCATTCACATTTTGCTTTGATCATTTAAAGCCCTAAAAAAACTTGGCACCACCATAAAGTCTTGTCCGCTGTATCCCTACCTGGCAACTGCGCTCCTCAGATGGAGCATTGCTGAGAATACCACATGCCCCAGAGATGCACTTACCCTGAACTAGAAATTGGGCTTTTAGTGTTGCAGCTCCAGCTCTCTGGAATCAATTACCAGCTGAAATCAGACAGGCACCTCGTGTGATGACGTTTAGGTGCCTACGGAAGACATTTTGGTTTAGGAAGGCTTTCCCCGAGGTGCATCCCAATCATTTTATGGAAGATCAGTTTTATATCTGATGAACTTGTTCTGTTTTTCAAATTTGTATGGATAGCCTGACTGTTTTAGAGTTGAAATAAAACTAAAACTAAAAAAAAATATGTCCAGTAGCACCTTATAGACCAACTAAGTTTGTTCTGGTATAAGCTTGCATGTGCATGCACACTTCTTCAGATACATGCACATGAAAGCTTATACCAGAACAAACTTAGTTGGTCTATAAGGTGCTACTGGACAATTTTTTTTTTATTTCGACTACGTTAGACCAGCACAGCTACCTACCTGTTTTAGAGCTGGTTTAACTGATTTTATTGTTCTTGGGATGTGTGATCCTGTGTTTAATTCTGTTTTTACTGAGTACATTGATGGGTTTATTTTGCAAAGTGGTCTGTAAATTCAACAGTTGTTGCTGTTACTATGTTAGTGTAAGACATGAGTAGGCAAACTAAGGCCTGGGGGCTGGATCTGGCCCAATTGCCTTCTAAATCCAGCCTGTGGACGGTCTGAGAATCAGCGTGTTTTTACATGGGTAGAATGTGTCCTTTTATTTAAAATGCATCGCTGGGTTATTTGTGGGGCATAGGAATTCATTCATTTTTTTCCCTTCAAAATATAGTCTGGCCTCCCATAAGGTGTAAGGGACAATGGACCAGCCCCCTGCTGAAAAAGTTTGCTGACTCCTGGACTAAGCAGGCTGCTAAGGTCAGCAAATGTAAACTTGCCAGGGATAGCTGCTCCTTCCCACCAGTAGTGGCTCCTGGAACCAAAAGAGAGAGAGAGATGAATAGGCTCCCTCCTCCATCATCACCATGCTGTGGCTGCTGGTTGTCCTGGCCAATGAACTGCTTCATTAGCCACGGCTGAAATGCCATCCTATCATTTGCCTGCAAGTCCTACTAAATCCAGTGGGACTTTCATATTAAATAGAAGCTGCCTCTGTAGAATCAGCCAAATGTGGGCAGCTTTTTCCTTCCACCCCCTTTTTAAAAAACTATTTTTATTAAAGATTTTCTTGGTTTACAAAAGTACGTGCATTGTGTCTTTTTCAGGTTGTAAAGTCTGTTCTACAGATCTTGTACATTTGAGTGTTGTATACAGTATAAAGGTGGGGAAGAAAAGAAGGGAGAGAGGAGGAGTGGTGAGACTTATATGTGGGCAGCCTTATTCCGTAATAGGCACAAGTTGTTGGTTGTTGTTTTCTCCAATGTGCAATAGCTTTTCCTCTTTTCTCTGTTGCCAGCTGACATTTGTGGAGTAGCATCCAACCAGCCCAGGTTTCTTTTCAGTCGGATAGTTGGAGGCGAAGAAGCTGTACCACATTCTTGGCCTTGGCAGGCAAGCATACAAATTTTGGGAGAAAACATCTGCGGAGGGGCAGTTCTTACAAGCACATGGGTGGTGACTGCTGCTCACTGTTTCAAAGGGATGTAAGTACTATGTTTTGCTTTAGCAACAATAGTTCACAGCGCCTGAACAGTTTGGAAAGCACATTAACAAATGCATTATTTAGAGTGTCATCCTATGGATGTGTACTTATGACTACATATTGATAAGTGTGTATAACATCCTTCGCCAGCCTGCTGAAGATTTAGACTACTGTGCTGGCTGGGGTGATGGGAGTAATCCATCTGGAAGTCATTAGCTGAAGACTGGTATATAGGATTGCATGCTTAGAGTGCAATTCTGTGCATGTCTATGCAGAAGATGCCCTGCTTGAAAACAGAGGCTGCTGCCTCCTATGGATTTTTTAAAAATATGTCACTGTCTCCCATAGCATGAACTCCCAGCCCCCATTTCCCACCATACTAGAAGAATTCAAAGAAGGTAACCCCCCAGAAGTTCTGAAGACCAGTCATCACACTCAGAGTAACTAGGGATAGCATGCATGTAAATGAAAACGTGTGTAGGTTTGGTGAGCTCTTGGCAGACTACGTACCAAATTGGAAGAGACTGAAGGATTTATATTCCTCTGGTACCCACAAAAAATGTGGGTATCTACTCAGAAGTAAGTCCCACTTTGTTTAGACTTCAGCGCAAATCAAATTTGTTCCTATTCTGTGTGTATTTGGAATCCCTGTGTGGATGGGAGTAACATATTATCATGCTTGAATGAAAATGTGTGGTACAGACTGTTGGAAGAAACTTCCGGGTTTGTTTTAACCAATTACATTCTCTGCAAAGGGAAAAATACAGAGATTTTTGGAGTGTGGTTGCTGGAGCTCATGACATTGGAGAACAAGAGCATAATAGTCAGGTTAGTACAAGTCATTCTGTATTTATGGAAGGAACATGTCCTTATCCTGCAACATGCACAAAGAATTCTACCCCCTCCTCCAAGACTGTGGGAGCAAAACGAAAAAGAGTTTTACATGAAGTGTATTTTCAAATACATCTATCTATCTATCATCTATCATCTATCTATCTAATCTATCTATCTATCTATCATCTATCATCTATCATCTATCATCTATCATCTATCATCTATCATCTATCATCTATCTATCTATCTATCATCTATATCTATATCTATATCTATATCATCTATAATCTATCTATCTATCATCTATCTATCTATCATCTATCATCTATCTATCTATCTATCTATCTATCTATCTATCTATCTATATCTATCATCTATCTATCTATCTATCTATCTATCTATCTATCTATCATCATCTATCTATCTATCATCTATCTATCATCTATCTATCTATCTATCTATCTATCTATCTATCTATCATCTATCTATCATCTATCATCTATCTATCTATCTATCTATCATCTATCATCTATCTATCTATCTATCTATCTATCATCTATCATCTATCATCTATCATCTATCATCTATCATCTATCATCTATCATCTATCATCTATCTATATCTATCTATCTATCTATCATCTATCATCTATCATCTATCATCTATCATCTATCATCTATCTATCTATCTATCTATCATCTATCATCTATCATCTATCATCTATCATCTATCATCTATCATCTATCATCTATCTATCTATCTATCTATCTATCTATCTATCATCTATCTCTATCATCTATCTATCTATCTATCTATCTATCTATCTATCATCTATCTATCATCAACTATCTATCTATCATCTATCATCTATCATCTATCATCTATCTATATCTATCTATCTATATCTATCTATCTATCTATCTATCATCTATCTATCATCTATCATCTATATCTATCATCTATTATCTATCTATCTATCTATCTATCTATCATCTATCTATCTATCATCTATCTATCTATCATCTATCTATCATCTATCTATCTATCTATCTATCTATCTATCTATCTATCTATCTATCTATCTATCTATCTATCTATCTATCTATCTATCATCTATCTATCTATCATCTATCTATCTATCATCTATCTATCATCTATCTATCATCATCTATCTATCTATCTATCTATCTATCTATCTATCTATCTATCATCTATCTATCATCATGATGGACTTTATAGTGAAGTAGGTTATTACCAGTGAAGTAGGTAACTACCTGAAATGTGTTTGTAAATATTGTTTTTATTAAGGATTTTCTTGGGTTACAATAGTACAAGCATTGTCTCTACTTTCATATCATAAAGTCCTTTCTAAAACTGGTTCTAAAACTGGTTTGTGACACTTTAATGTTGTATACAGTATAAGGTTGGGGGGAAAGGGGGGGGAGGAGGAGAGCAGTCTTTGAGCTGCTGACATCTTCCCATGTATCATCCTGCTGCGCTTTCCTATTTCTAGAAAAGATTGGTGAAACAGTACATTCCGCATCCAGATTTTAACACCACAACTACAGATTCAGACATTGCACTGGTGGAACTCACTGAGCCTTTAGAATTCAATCATTATGTTCGTTCTGTGTGTCTGCCTGAGAAAGACGAAAAGCTTGAGGCTTCCAGGGTGTGTGTCATTACAGGTTGGGGCATTCATTATGAAGGTGAGTGCATTTTCCTTTCAGTAAGAATTTTGTGTTCATCTATTAGCCAGAATGATTGCTAGCCATTCCTTTTTCATTAGGGACTGGTAGAGAAGAGGGGTTCATGAGCTGAAAATGTGGACTGCAAAAGAATTAAGTTCATGCAAGTTAAACTTGGCATGTGAAAGAGAAAAAATAATGTTCTCTTCACATTTAAGGAGCCTATATCTGAATCTTAGTTTTTGCTGAGTGTGCTCTTTTTAACCCCTCAAGATGGAGAACTTTCAAGAAAACTCCATCAACTTGAAGTTCCTATTTTGGTTTCTGAAGAATGTCAGAAATACTATATGAACCATCCGGGTGGTCTGAACAAGCGGATGTTCTGTGCCGGATTTCCTACTGAAGAAGGAAAGGATGCGTGTACAGTAAGCAGTCAGAGTAAATGCATTCTATTCAACCAGGAATTAACAAGGTCTGTGCAATAATTCTGCAAACACCCAGCAAAACAGGGACCCATAACTTTATTAGAGCCAAGGCAAAGCTTCTTCTGGTTCTTGGGTAGCCATAACTACCAAGTACTAAACAGAGTGGAAAACAAACTAGGGATAGGCAATTTTACCCCATGAGAGGTCTTCTAGCCATTGTGGTGTAGTGGTTAAGAGCGGTAGTCTCGTAATCTGAGGAACCAGGTTTGCGTCTCTGCTCCTCCACCTGCAGCTGCTGGGTGACCTTGGGCCAGTCACACTTCTTTGAAGTCTCTCAGCCCCACTCACCTCACAGAGTGTTTGTTGTGGGGGAGGAAGGGAAAGGAGAATGTTAGCCGCTTTGAGACTCCTGAAGGGGAGTGAAAGGCGGGATATCAAATCCAAACTCTTCTTCTTCTTCTAATTAATGTCATGGTAGAAGCTGAGATGAAGTATCTGTTTTTCTAAGATCTCGTAAGCATGTTTTATTTTTGCACGTGCAAAGCCATGAGTGAGAAAGCTGTTGAACAAGGACAGTGAATATTAATCAATATCTCATGATTTCTCCTGCTAGTGGCCTCTCCATTTCCACCTCCCGTGGTTCCTTCACCTACCCACTGTTTTTTAAACAATGTTTTGCTGTTATCTTAGTGGCAATGACATTGCCATGCTCTGCTTCATTCTGAGGAAGAGGGCCCTTCTTCAGAGTGAGGTGTGGTGAGGGGTGAGGCAGTCAGGAAAGCATCACTTTGCTGCAGCATCTAGTCTATAACTGCTTGAGGGTCTCATATGAATGAATGTCAGTGGGACTGTTTTGTTGGCAGGAAACCTCATCTGAAATATTATTATTTTTGGTCACAATTCCTTATACCTTACTCTGCAATAGTGTCTCTTACCATAACCACCCAGAAACAGAGCTCTATAGATTGCTATCTTTCACTCTGTTGAGCACCTACTTGCTGTCATACCTGTGTGCTGGCAAATGATAAAAGAATGAGCAGCTTAAAGCTGGCAACAGTGGTGGCTGCAGGAGACAGGCGCTGCATTCATTTCTTTGTTGCTAGCTTCAGCCTACAGTCTGAAGATAAGGACATGAATAGCAACACCCCTTAATATTTAGAAAATGCAGAATGTGTAAACTGAGGTCACACTGATGACTCTTGAAAGTATCTTTCCTCGTCAACTTACAAATAAGTATACATTAACTTTAAGCTCTATTCATTTTTATTAGGGTGATTCAGGAGGTCCACTGGTTTGTCCATCAGAAGAGTCAAGCTACTACACCCTTAATGGAATAATAAGCTGGGGCCATGGTTGTGGAAGAGCTGGCTATCCAGGAGTTTATACGAATGTTGCGTCTTTCACCAATTGGATCGGTCAGCACATATATGGAACCAGTAGGCATCTGTGTTTATTTTAACAACAGCATCCAATCTGGAGGGACGCTTTCTAAGGAGGGATGTCCAGTATGCTTCCACAGGCATGTGGGGCTGTATAGAAGTGTCACAGACCTACTGGCACCCCCTGCATGTGTTAGAGGAGATGGAAGCAGTGCTAATGTAATTGCACACATGCGCACACATGAACCTGCTCTGGGACAAAGTCCTCTGCTTCTTGTCTTTGGGCACAAGAAGGCAACATAAACACATCACACGTGTGTTCACCTCCTCTGGAGAATCACCAGGATACTCAGGGTCTTGTTGAATGAGAGAAACAGAAAGTGGGGAGACAGCATGAAGACGTAGCACTGGATTTAGAGGGCGAGGGGGGTTCCTCTGCACAGGATGCTGAGCAGCGGGAGTGCATCATCATCATCATCATCACCACCACCATCATCATACCTATATTTATATGGATGCGCAGAACAGAAGGCAGGAGGGAGTGAAAATAAGGAATATTTAGGGAGGGGATGCCAAATTTTGTCCTCACTCAGGGTGCCATATTACCAAAGTCCAGCCCTGAAAAATGTCTGGTCTCCTACTGCAGGAGCAAGTTCTGCTCCTACCACCTTCTCTCGCTCTACCTACCACACATACTACAGTAAGGCCATGACTGCCCCTCCTTACGTTGGTGAAGACCCTAGCTCTGTCACAAAGGCTTGTTCCACAATAAATTGGCCTTCAGGCTTCCACAATACTCTTGCTTGGTTTTGCTCAAGCGAACCAAAACAGCTGCTGCTGGGGTCTTTTTGAATTCATCACAAGTGGTAGTAGCACTTAATTAAAAGCCATTTTTAGAGAGGGCTGTTTCCCCCATAACCAGAGGCAGACCTAGGCTCCCTGGCACCCTTGGTAAGTTGCTGTATCAGTACATACACGCCCCACCCCCACCCCAGTCCCTTGCACTTTTCACAAGGAGATATATGTGCCTCCAAAGCTGGGAAAGAACATGAACCAGAAACTCAAAAACTTTGCTTTTTGTCACCTTTCACGCTCTGCCAGTGACTACTCCACCTCCTCTCCTCCTCTGCCATTGGTCCATCTGCTTCCCTGCCTCCTTCCACTCACTGCTTTTGCTTCTGTCTTTTTCCTCTTCCTGCAACTCTTGCTGGCTCTCTCCATCATTCTTTCTTCCCTCCTCTCACACTTCTAATAGCACTGCTCTGCCAAGGTGCCCAGAGAAGCTTGCATCCCTCGCCCAGCCACCCAGAGTAGTGGACAAGCAGCTCAGAGAGCACGCAGACAGGCAGGCAGGCTCCCAGCCACTCTGAGCCAGAGTGGAGAGGCATAATTTTTGCACCTGCCCTCTGGTCCTGTGCCCTTGGCGGGGGCCGACCTAAACAACCCCTAGGTATACCCTTGCCCATAACAAGTTTGCCACAGCATCGTTATAATTAGATGGCTATGATCTCTTGGGTGTTTTATAGTTGGACTTGACTGTCTTGCCTCTTTTGCAGACTCCTCAAGCCAGGAATGAAGATCTTCGATGAATGTGAGCATTTAAACCAACAGCTAAACCATGTGACTTGACAGCTTTGTTCCAGAGTTCATGGACCGCATGTTTCATAATTTGAAGAAGGCGGCGGCAGCGTAGCCTTCACATGCGTTCAATATATCAGTGCAGCTTTGGACATTTCCATTTAGAAATAATGTTGCTGCAATTCTATGCACAGTTTACTAGGAGTAAGTCCCATTGAACTTACTGGGAGCATGTGAGTTTTCCCCAATGAAATGTTTCACGTGAATATTTTTTTATAATGTAAGGTAACATAAATTATTTTTTAAAAAATCTATTAATACGCATTTTTCAATTTATCATGCCATATGACAGTAAGATCACTTTCAGACATCTAGAAGAAGCACATGTACTTTCTGTTTCTTTTCTTCATGCTCCAGAGTCTTAGTCAAAAAAAGCAGGTTTGCAACCCCCCCCCCACATGGAAACATCTGTTCTGTCCTCACATTGGGATATTCATTTATTAATAAAGGTTTGATTGGTGTGTGCATGTTTCTGTGTGCATTTAATGATTACTTAGGTAGAAGCACTTGATGAAGATTAAGGATAATTCATAGATTTATTGTAACCTGGAATAGTCACTACAGCCTTACAGTAAAGATAACTTTGTTCTTTAAATGGATGTATGATCTTTTTAAAAAGCACACTCTCAACTGCCTGTAGTTTGAAGCGAGGGCAAGGAAAGTAGATGTCATTGGGTGGGGTGGGTGGTGGCCATTGAACTCTTAATATGGCTGGATGTCAAGCAAAGCAAGAGGGTAAGACAACCTGACTTGGTATTGAAGTCATAGTGGCAGCACTGCCCAATGGTTAACTTTACTTGTAGAGTCTTGGAAGGGACCTGACTGGGGGGGATATCTTGGAGCAGGGGAATGTCATGAAGAGTTTCAGCTGTTCATAATTTACTACTACACCACGGATTCCTCCTATCCCAAGATCCTAATATACCTCCAGGATCCTTCCATACTTCTGTAATTTTCCTGAATCTTTACTAATTTTTTTTTTAAAAAATACAAATAAATATAGTTTATCAAATCACATGGTGCATTCTCCTATGGAACCGATGATGGACATTTAATATTTATGTGATGGTTTGGAAACTGAGGTTTCTAATAAAGAGCTACTCCGATTCCTGCTCACAACAGCCAGGCTCACAGTGGCCAAACACTGGAAGTCTGCTGCAGGAGATTTGCAAAACTATTGGAACCTACAGTTCCGGACCATTGCATTAATGGGAAAGTTAACAAAACATACATCCAAAAGCAAAGGACAACTTTTCTATAGTTTGGCATCCATTTATTGAATATGCTCAAGCAAAGGAATATGATTGGCAGCCGCCCTCTTCACATGGATTCCTTTGGGGAAAACATTCTTGGATAATATGTTCAGGAAGGACGATTGTCTGGAACCATAATGCTGTTTTGGGAATACTCACTCCTCACATCCTTCCTTTGCTCTTTTCTGTTGTCATTATGGGGTTTTTTGTGTATTGGAAAATGAAAATTAAGAACAATCACCTCCCCCCCCCGCGCCTCAAAAAAGCTGCGTGGTACATTCTAGTAACTTTACCCAGGTCCCTTCAATGCCTCCTCACGGTTCTGCCAACCCGTGGACCATGGGAGTAACCAAGGGAAGGCAGTGAGGGGGGGCACCTGCCCCCTTCCCAACAAGAAAAAAAAATAATTAAGTGAGGTTTTGATTCCCCAACATGAAGCCCGGCTGCGCCCTGAGCAGAAATCGTTCAGAGACGCGAGGCGCTTCGAGGTCCCGAAGGCGCTTCAGAAGCGCGCTCTGGAACAGGTCGTGCAGCAGTCGCAGAAGCCAGGGAACTGGTTGCTCTTTAACTTCAACGAGGGACTTTGCTCTTTAACTTTAAGCTGGGCGGGAAAAGCTCCCGCAGGCGTTAGCGCGCTAGAGAGGAGGAGAGAGAGCGGGCTATAAACTCCTGAGGGAAGAGAGGCGTCAGGTCCCGTCGCCAAGCCGGTCGCGCTCTCCGTGGGAGACCTGCAGTCGTGGATCATGGAGTCCAGTGTGGTGAGGAAAGCGGCGTCGGGCGGGGGGAGTGGGGCGCCAAGGGGACCCTCTCCCCCCCAGCCCAGGGGAGGCAGCCCGGGGACGCTAGTGCCCTTTGTACGCCCAGGTGCCTGAAAAGGCCATTCGCCTCAGCTGCCTTTGTTTACCTTCCTCCCCAATGAATCGTTGCCACTGGCATTCGGGATATGGATTTTTGTCGAGTTTAGGGCTGCCGCGCGGTAGTGAGTGAAAACGAATAACTAAAAATAAACTGCTTCAGACGAGTTGCTTCCTCAACAGCTTTTCCTTCCTCAAACGAGGTGTGCCCCCCCCCGCGTTGTTCTTATCATTTCCTTATTTCTTTGAGAGTCTAATTAGGGTTGCCAACTTACAGGGGGCGGGGGATGGCCAGACCTGCTCTTGTGCCTTTTAGCTGCCTATTGGTGTGCAGAAATGTGCAGCTGAAGCCTTTTTGCAAGCCTGCAGAGAAGCATGAAGGGCAGCAGTCCCATGCCTGTGTGAAGGCACTGTATGGAGGGGCTAACTGAAAAGCTGGCAACCTCATCCATGCAAGTTGGTGGTTCCCAATTAGCTAAGTACCCCCTGTTTCTCACAAACAAACAAACAAAACCACAAGCTATGGACTTTCTCACTTTTGAGAATTTTGAAACCTCTACGGTAGGTTTTCTCATGTGCCATGGACCCTCTGGGGTTTGCGGACCACTGGGAACCACTGATGTAAGTGACTTTGTGTATAAAAGTGAGAGCTGATGGCGGTGACAGATCTTGGGGTCCCAAATTTCAGCAGTGCCCTGTGTGATGCCAAAATTCAGCACTATGTTGCCCCATTCTAAATCATAGTTGCAGTACTAACCCCGCCCGAGGCTCTGCGTCCAGTGCGGCTGAACCCTAAATCCATCTCTGATGATGATTGCCAAGTGCACAAGTGTCTTGACATGAAATGAGAGAGGTGGTTTTTGGATTAGACTGGTTCTTGTAGGACCGGTTCTGTGCACTTTGTTACTTTATCCTGAGCCTTGCACACAACATGCAGATAAACCAATCTTTCCTGCCTGCAATTGAGAAATTCAATTGAGAAATTCAAGGCTCAAAGTTGCTTTTCCATTTGACTCACAGTATTGCTTTGAGCAAGCTTCTGTTTCTCAGGGATATCTACTGCATGTAATTGGAAGGGGCTGTGACGTCATTACGGTGAAGCACATTGTTCGGGGCTGAAAACTGCTATGGAAATGTGATGCTAAACTGGCACAACTGCAGCACATTCAGTGTTTTGTGGGGCGGTTAGCCTGCATGATGCCTGAGTCCCTTTTCTTATTCATGGGGTCCTGGTTCCATCAAGGGTTAAAATCTAATAGAGGATTCAAGTGCTGAAGTAAGCTTCTTGGTGAGTTAATGGCCCTAAGTAGGGTCACTGGTATAACAAAGGAGATTGCTTTGTGCCAGATGTCCGATAGGTGGGCCCCCTTTCCTCACCTGGCTGGTTATTGGAAGGACAGTGGCCAGTGTGTGTGTGTGAACTGGCAGGCAGAAGCCAGAGAGTGAGAGCCATGCTTGATTTCAATTTGATTCCAAGATTGTGACTATGGGAGAAGCAAGACTTTATGGGGTGATAATGCTGTGAGCCCTTCCATCTTAGGCACAGGTTGTATATATGTGTAAATAAACCATATATCCTAAAGGCACCACAGTCTCTGCTGTCCCTCATTCTGAGGAAACCGAGCCCTGGGTAAGTGCCTGGAACCCCTGGCACCTTGCACTGCTCAGAGATTAGGGTGGCATGCAACAGTACTTACTTGCTGTGTGTGTGTGTTTTTTTTCTCTTCCAGGATCTCTCTTTCCTGATCGTTGGGATGGTGGTTGCAATATCTGTTGCATTGTTGGTTTTTAAACCAATGGCCTCTCGGAAGAAGAAAGGTCCAATTACTTTGCAAGATCCAAATATCAAGTATGCATTGTGTTTGAGAGAGAGAGAGGTAAATTATCTTCTCTTACATGGTTTGAATGCACTAAGTGGTCTTATACTGAATTAATCCATTGGTCCACCCACAACTGTATTGTCTATTGTGGCTGGCAGTAGCTGTCCAGGATGAGTTCCTTTCAATTGCAGATGACAGGGACTAAACCAGGGGCTTCGTACATGCAAAAGTTGTGCTCTTTATTGTTAGAATCATAGAACTGTAGAGTTGTAAGGGATAACAAAGGTCATCAGGATGCAATGCAGGAATCTTTTGCCCAGTGTGGGGCTCGAACCCTTGACTCTGAGATTAAGAATCTTTTGCTATTATTGTTAGATTTATTTATACCTTGTGTTTCCCTGGCAGAAATCAATGCAGCTTGCAGATAAAAAACAAGAATAACTAAAAACAGAGAAAAAGCAATAATTAAAATACAATTAAACATTGATAGAATTAAAACTGTATACATATATAAAATCTGTTTTAAAAATATAATTACCCTAAAAGCAACATGGCACCAGCCCTTTAATTAAAAGAAGTCAATTCCTAAAAGCCTGTTGGAGCAGGAAAGTATTCAGCTGCCAGAAGGACAGCAAGTAAGGAGCTATTCCAGCTTCTCTAGGGAGGGAGTTCCAGAGTCTGGGAGCAGCTACCCGGGCAGCCTTTTCAATCTGTGGGTCCCCAGATGTTGTTGAACTACAACTCCCATTAACCCTAGCCAGAGCTCAGGGATGATGGGAGTTGTAGTCCAACAACATCTGGGGACCCAGAGGTTGAGAACCACTGAAGGCCCTCTCCCGTGTACCCACCAAGCTTGCCTGTGAGGGTGGTGGGACTGAGAGAAAAGCCTCGGCTGAAGATCTCAAAACCCAGGCAGGTTTGGATGAGGGAGTAAGGACCTAAGCTGTGTATTCTGTCACTGAACTAGAACCCCTCCTAGCTGTTTGCATTTCATAGCAAGAAACGAACTTTGACATATTTCCCCTGTGTTACGGCTGTATCTCTGTGCCAAATCACTGCACAATGTACAAAATGCCTCTGAAATAAAAATAGCCAATCTTTACTAATTTCAAGGTGCTGAGCACAAAAATGACATTAACATTAGTTGATTGGCTCCTGTTTAGGAGATACAAAGTGTCAGTACGCATTTGAGCCGATGTCAACCACTGGGCTCAACAACTGGATCTGCCCCGACTGGGCTAGGCAACTGGAGAGCACTTCCAGAGACCTTCCACTTCTGGAAATCAGGTCTAAGTGCACTGAACCCACAACTGTGAGTTGTGAGCACCAAACTCAGCAGAGTATGAACAGCACGGAAGAAAGCGGTGAAGCATAACTTCTTTTATTTCTAATAGCTACTGGCTTGCATGAGTGTTACAGCTCTCACTCAGCCATCTAATCACTACAGAGATAACACACCGACTCTCACAGAGTCAGGTAGGAGCAGAAGAAGCAAAGAGCAGTTTCCGCCCCCTCCTTTCTGAAAACATCCAGAGATTTTCGCAATGGGAGGGGCTGAAAATATCCACACAAAGATGATCATGTCTAAATGACCCAGTCCACATTGAGTAACAATTTCATTTGGCAACGATGTATTTCAAACTCCACACATTCTTACACAAGAAGAACTGAACAGTCTTGTTTTGTGTGCTGTAGAGCTGTGCAAGGCCAAAGCGGAGTTACTGGGATCAAGACTTCAGCAATGGAATCTTCTGAAGGAAATTGTCTGAGTGACTTTGATTCACACTAGTCATGAAGATGACCTTATGTTCTGCTATAATGTAAATGGCCTGATTCCAAATCCTTGGAATCATTAAGGGTGATGAGAAAAAATAGTGTTTTGCCTGGTGTCAGCTAGCTTCCACGGGAATGTCAGAGCAGAAAACTACAAGGAACTGGTCGAAGACATGTCACTGTATCGCAAACCTGGCTGCAATATGTCCTTAAAGATCCACTTTCTCCATTCCCACTTGAATTTCTTTCCCGACAACTGTGGTATGGCTAGTCATGAGTTTTCATCAAGAAATTGCAACGATGGAGAAACGATTCCAGGGGAAGTGGTCTGCTGCCATGTTTGCTGACTTCTGCTGGACGCTGCCCAGAGATGCTCCTGAACAGCTATGCAAGTGACAGGCTAAGCGGCACTGGATATAGAAGCCGGCTTTCCCGATGCATGTTGCATGTGCACATTCTTCAATAGCCATATTTTCCCGCTCTATAAGACGCACCCGGCCATAAGACGCACCTAGTTTTTAGAGGAGGAAAACAAGAAACAAGAAAGCAATGCAAAGCCTCCTGAGCAAAGAGGGAGGAGCACTCCCGCTGCGCTCAAGGCTTTGCGTGGCTATCCCTGAAGTCAGGAGAGCAAGAGGGATTGGTGTGCACCAATCCCTCTTGCTCTCCTGGCTTCAGCGATAGCTGCACAGCCTGCTTTCGCTCCATAAGACACACACACATTTCCCCTTACTTTTTAGGAGGGGAAGAGTGTATCTTACAGAGCGAAAAATACGGTATATAGTAAACCTTTGCACATCTCTATGAAACAGTAGTCATTTTTGTGTTTTCATTGTTGCATTTGTGTTCAGCACCTCAAGATCTATAAGAAATGGCTACTTTTATTTCAGAGACGTGACTTATTTCAGAATTTGTTGTGCAATGTAATGAACCAAGTAACTTTCTTCATGTGAAAGAAGACTGCCACATCCCTAAACATCCATTGCATGGACAGAGTGGGGAAGCAATCACTGTGGCTGGACCAACAGGGTCAGATGCATTTGCCTAAATGCTTTTATGTCCTGCTCATAAGTGTCCCAGAAATATCTGATTGAGCCCTGTAGGAAGCCAAACGCACCAGACTGATCTAGCCTGGCCCCTCTTTTGTTCTTAAGCCAATCTTAAGTCGGTGCCAGATGATCGGCTGAAGTAAAACAGGGCACAAGCTAAGGCGAAGTGGAAGGTATTGTTTGGTATAATTTTACCTGTAAGCTTTTTAAGGAGCTTGGCTGGGAAGTAAGTTTGAAAAAACAAGTGAGGAGATGAAAGCACACAAAACAGTTCTGATTACATGCAAAATGTAGGTGCTTCCACACTAGATGACCATAGAATGATAGAATTGTAGAAATGGAAGGTACACCAAGGGTCATCTAGTCCAACCCCCTGCAATTCAGGAATAAAGAATCAAGTTCTTACAAATGTGGAATGGGCATTATGTGGCACCTGTAGTAGTGCCTATTCTGCTAATCAAAGCAAATCCATGAAGAGTATTAAGTGACTTTAAAAATTGGAAGTTTTGGAATGTTTTGTTACATAGCATAGCCTTACAGTACCCACCTTTTTGTGTTTTTACAGGAGATCAGTCACGATACCAGGAGATTTCGGTTTGAACTTCCGTCATCAAAACATATATTGGGCTTGCCTGTAGGTAAGTATGGCTGCATATTATGATTTCTAAGACAGAGCCTTTTGGGTGACAGCACCCCATCTCTGGAAAATCACTCTGGAAACTCTTCAGAACTGATTCAACTCCAATGTCAGTGGAGGCAAATTAAGATTGTACAGACTTTTCTTGGCATAACAGTTTAAAAATAATGATGTTTGCAAGCAAAATGTGAGATTGTGTTGGTTTCCAATTCCTCATCTTCCTGAAATTGATTTCCACGTGTTTTCAAGCTTATGTTCACAACTATGAAGATTCTTTCTTTCTTTCTTTCTTTCTTTCTTTCTTTCTTTCTTTCTTCTCTCTCTCTCTCTCTCTCTCTCTCTCTCTCTCTCTCTCTCTCTCTCTTAAAAATGTAAATTTTGAGCAGCCCAACAGTTTAGCTAGTTTGTTAATGCTATTATGAACTTTGGAATGAAAAGTTAACAGTTTCTCCCACCTAGGCCAACATGTATATCTCTCTGCCAAAGTGGACGGTAACCTTGTGATCCGGGCCTACACTCCAGTTTCTAGTGATGAAGTGAGAGGCTATGTTGATTTAATCATAAAGGTATATTTAAATTTATTTAATGCTGGTAACTTGACCCTCTCGGATTTTGGTTCTATTTCTCATAAACATGGGTCTAAATTACAATTTGCAACCAGAAATTGGATCATTTTTAAATTTATGTCTGAAGAAGCACGCTAGGTTCTTATTAACATATTTTAAAAGTGTATGGGCTCATTCTGGAATCAGAGAATGGTGTGGAAATGATGGGAAATACGCTTTGCCTCAGCTTCCTTTATTATACATGTTAACAGAGGCTTGTCTGTCTGGGCACTGAAAATAAAACACAACTCATATTTTTGTGTGTGTGTGTGTGTGTGTGTGTGTGTGTACAATGACCTTAAAGTGCTCTCATGGGTGTTTTGAAGATTGGTTCTACTGTGGGTACTGAATATGTCTGCAGGTTCTGCTGGATTTAGTGGGTTATAGGGGTGGGGGGATGTAATGATGTATATCTTGAATGCCAGCCACTGAACTTTGTACTGATCTATTCCCTCCCCCCCCCCCAGATCAAATGTATAGTTGCATGTTAAATGTGCTGCTTTATGCAGGAAATAAGCTTAATGTTTTTACTTGGGGAAGGAAGCTTTCAAAATCCTGGTTGCATCTTGACATTAGGAAGATGAAGTACAGAAACAGCTGGTTCTTTCTTCAGTGATACATTAGAATAAATGTAACTGAAGCAACTTTATTATTATTTTTTCTTGAGTACTGGAAGTATTAAAGGACCAGTGTGTGTGCAAGTGACTCCCCCCCCCTGTGGCTGGATCATTCACTGCTTCAGTAACTGCAGTAGGATGGAAAAACTTGAGTTGGCTAAATTAATGACTTCTTTTCAAGCCATCCTTGTATGTCACTCTGTTGTGGGGTTTTGTCTTCTCTTGTGTATAGTAGCAACATTTAATCTAACCCAGGTTTCTTCCAAGGCTTGAAAAGAATCCTTGCGCACAGGGAAGTATTGATACAGGCACCTCCATCATTTATCCACTTGCTCCTCTGCCTGATGCACACAAATGTGGCAGGTGAAAGTTATCCAGGCATGGAATAAAGAGGTTGAAAAAACTTAAATCTGATAAATATGTCCATTTCAGGCTTTTGTATAAAACAGAAGGGCAGGGCCAGTGCTATGCCAGTCATACTAAAGACAGGATGTTTCTGCTTTGATATAAAGATTAATGACTTGTGAGCATATTGTGTGATGCTCTGTAACACTTTGTAATGAGAAAGGTGAATCTTTTGCTGTTCTGGGGGAAGGATGTCAGAGAAAGGTTGGGGAACCTGTGTTTGTCCAGATGTTGGATAATAATAATAATAACAATAACAATAATAATTTACTTATATCCCGCCCTCCCCAGCCGAAGCCAGGCTCAGAGCGGCTAACAACAATAAAACACAGCATTCTAAAAGCAATTCATTGATTTCATAACTCTCATCATTCCTGACCATTGGCCATGATGGGAGTTGGAGTCCAGCAACATCTGAATGACTACAGGTCCCCCCTCTTGCCTACTTCTAGGATGACTTCTTACCAAAAGCTTATCCAGAGACCAAATAAGACTTAGTACTTTAGACTTGAGTTCTTAAAGTTTATCTGCTAGGGTAAATAGAAGTGCAGTGGTGTTTTTTTTTGTTACAAACTCTGGGAAACCTGGGATTTTCTGGGTTCTATTTCATGTTTTGTGTGATAACAGACAATTGTGACACTTGGTTTTAGCTCAAAGGGCAGAGTGAAAAATGTTGTTATTTACTCCTTTCCATTGCACCTCACTGTTGCCTTAAAGTAAAATGGCTAAATTCTTTCTACCACTGTTGTGTGTTTCCCCACTTCCTCTTCAAACAGGTTTACTACAAAAACATTCACCCCAAGTTTCCAGAAGGTGGGAAGATGTCCCAGCATTTAGACAGCATGAAGATTGGTGATACCATTGACTTCAGAGGACCTAATGGACTTCTGGTATACAAGGGGTCAGGTACAATAAGGTCACAGAATCCAGATGCTTTAAAATAGCTGATAGATTATGTGATGAAGAAGATATTTGGGGCAGTCTTTCACCTGTTGTCCGAACACTGTAACATTAGTATGTCGAAGAGGGTAATCAACAGGAATTTGTGACAACTGAACAGTGATGGTGCTCTTGAGAGACAGATGGGCAGAAGTCACTGAGAGATAAGAGTTACAGCATCTCAGCTGAAGCGGGGGGGGGGGGGCTTCAAGATGATGTGTATCTCTAAATCATTTAAGCTATCATGTGCTGCAGTAGAACTGGAGCAGTCATTTCATCAGACTCTGTGGAAGGGAGAGAGATTGGGCTGCAGGGCCTCTCCATCAGTTCTGCTGAGATATCACAAATATTTGGACCCTCCACTTATGGAAATCTTTCAATTCCAGGCTGTCATTACAAGAACTCTACAACTGAAAAACAGTGCCCCGAGTTTGCCTTTTTCTTTCTTCCTACCAATCTTTTTTCCTCTCTCTTGTGTCACTCACCTCAGGCTTATAAACTAAAAGACATGGCACACACACACACACAAAAAAAAAGATTGGTAGGAAGAAAGAAAGAGGCAAACTCAAAATTTAAAAAGGATCACACTGCCCAGAACAACTTCTAAACATATCACTTATATTTGTAAGCTGCTTTGGGCACATCTTTTTCTTTTTCTTTCTTTAACTGAAGAGTAGGATAAAAATGCTTCAAATAATAATGCATTTTAATTTTTTTGCCAAGATAATTGCTAACTCCAGTCCTTTTTAAAATACATGTGCACCAATACCTTCTCTTACAGTGCAGTCCTATGCATGTTTACTTGAAAGTAAGTCCCACTGTGTGCAGTGGGACGTACTCTCAAGTAACTATGCACAGAATTACAGCCTTAATTACATAGTTTTCTATTCCGTTAGCTGCTGTAAATGAAGCAACGTACTCCAACATATAAATCCTGGCTTCTACTGGCTAGACTATATTGCCTCACTGTTAATATGATGAGTGACCAGCTGTGTAGCTCAATCCTGTGTTTACTTGGAGGTAAAGCCTACTGTTTTAGTAGGTTTACATAGGATTGCAGATTTAAAGAGCAGTGTTGCGTGGCACAGTGATTAAATGCTGCTGAAATGGTCATAGGTTCACTCTTTGGTTTGCCTTGACAGCTGTAATCTCATTTTCACACAGGTAAATTTTCTATCAAGCCAGATAAGAAGTCTGAAGCAAGGATAAAGTTTGCAAAACATGTTGGAATGATAGCTGGAGGAACAGGTATGATATTATGCCTTGGTGAGGGGACAGATAGGGCTGAGCACATGGCAAGAACTAAAGTTACTGTATATATTTTATGTGATCATTAAACTTTGGGTGGGGCTAGCTTGAGGCTTTCCCTTATTCATTGTGGGCACTTCCGAAGTCCTTCATGTCAGAGGACTCAGCTCAATATTCAGTTGCATCGGCCACTGTTCCCTTTCACCTGCTGGAGAAGTCTCCTTTTGCCCCATGGCAGAAGGGTAGAAGGTAGCATTGCAGGAAGAGCTGGGTGGGAGAAGCTGTGGGTGCATTCTTGTGGGGCAATTGTGGGGCCGCTAAGAGGCAGGAGTGCTTTCTGTGTTGCACCCTAGTAACGCTCTGGCCAACATCAGTTTGAGAACTGAGTGATCTATAACTATCTGGTTCAGTGAAAACAGCCTGAGCACAAGAGCTTGGGGTCATGCAATAATTCTGAAATAGTTACCATCTTGAAGCAGGTAGTACTGATCCTACCAGGTGGCTGGGGAAACCCAGCCAGATGGATGGGGTAGAAATAACTATATTGTTGTTGTTGTTATTATTATTATTATTTATTTATAAATAAATAAATAAAAATGTCATCCTTAGGAATGTACTTACCAATCTAAGAGATTTAGTCTGGAGTGTGAATTCAGCTACACTGAATATAGTTAATGCAGGCTAATCATCAAGCACTACTGCTAAGCAGTCCATTTCCCCTTGTCCTATTTTACAGCTAGTCAAACAAAATCTGGGACAGACTAATCTAAAATCTTACAAAAATCCAATTAGGATAAGGCAGCATTAAGTGTCTCTGCTTGTGGGAATAGAAAATAAACATCTAATTGTTGCTTTTGGCTTTGATTTTTATAGGAATTACTCCAATGCTTCAACTAATTCGTCACATTACAAAGGACCCCAAAGATAACACCAAGTGTTACCTTCTTTTTGCTAACCAGGTGAGTAGACTTCTCTAGTTTATTCATTTTTCTCTGTGGTTCTCACAAAGGATTTTGAGCAGTGGAACTGAAACAGGGATTTGACAAGCAACAGTTTGAGTGTTAGGAGGCAGCCAGAGAAGGCAGCTTGTATGCATTTTCCCATCCAGGATAAACCAGAAAGTTTGGCCAGAAAGCTAATGTTAATAACACTTACTCAGAAGTAAGGTCAGTTTGCTCTGCTTCACTGGAATTCTGTTCTAAGCAAAGGCCTCAATGCTAAACTTTTGAGGAGCTGATTGATTTTACCTAATAAGGTAAAAATAAGAGGGGGCAGTGAAGTTAGAAACAATGGTGCATAAAGGTGATTAAGAGAGGTGTGTGTATGCATGAATCTCCCAATTATTGTACTTCGTGGATGTTTCACTGACCTTCTACCGATAGACAGAAGAAGATATATTATTGAGACCAGAGCTTGAAGATGTAGCAGCAAATCACTCGGATCAGTTTAAACTGTGGTACACTTTGGACAGACCACCTCAGGGTAAGCGACTCTGGCTTTACAGACTAATGAAGCTTCTACTTGTATGCAAATAATTTGAGTATGGCACACTTCTAGTGTAGGGATAAGTTTGCCTTGCTATGATGTTAGATTAATTCTAGTGAGCTTTTAAAGTTTGTGAACCAGGATTTTTCTGTCTTCGATCATTTTTCCTGGTTGTCGTTGATGATGCACCCCAGGAACCCTTGCAAAGCAAAATGCTATTTCACTAGTAAGACAAAAACATCACGTGTTAAGACTTTTCTTTGGGGGGTAACCACAGGAATCATGATGGTTAGGATTTTCTTTTGAGGGAGGTGAGAGGGGAAGAAGGAACAGCAGCTCTAAGGAACAACCAGCAACTTTTCCCCCCTCTTGGATTAAGACCAGGAGCCTGCCCCATATAGATTGTTGCATTTTATACATGCTGTCCATGCTGTTTGTAAGATTCAGTAAGAGCTTTACTAGGTTCTAGTTACGTCTTTGGAATGTGCATCAAACTGTCAGCTGGAGATCTGATGGCCACCTGTCAGGAGTGGCTAACGTGTTGCTGGGCTCCAGTTTCCCATCAGCCTCCACCCAGCATGGTGGGGAAGTCCAGAACTATCTGGTGGACCACTGGTTTCCTGCCATGCATGATGGTCTCACTCATTCAATTCAGGGGCTTTATGGAACTGAATCGGGAAGCTCTTCTAGATAAGAGAGCTAAATGTGTTTGGATCATGATCAAACCCTCTCTGGATATCACATAGTAGACATATCTGATGTCTTTTTAAGGTGATATAATAGACAAGTAATTCATATGGAAGACTAGCCCTGAAGCTTTCTAACCATGTCCACCATTTTTTCATTTCAGGCTGGAAGTATAGTGCTGGTTTTATTACGGATAGCATGATAAAAGAACATATGCCTCCCCCTGGCAGTGAGACTCTGATTCTGATGTGTGGACCCCCACCTATGATTCAGTTTGCTTGTCTGCCTAATCTTGAAAAGCTAGGGTATGCCAAAGAAAACACTTTTGCTTATTAAACCGGAAGTTGTACCATCCCTTTTATAGTATGTTGTTGGTACATATAAATTTTGTGTTAAAGCAAGTAGTAAAATTGATGACTGATGGGAGTGGTATTTCCCGGACATAGCTGGGATGTGGCCATTGGAAATCCCCAAAATGTCTGGGATAATCTGGATGTGTGGCAACCGGTGTTTATATCAACACTGCTTCTCATACTAACGGTGCTAGGTTATGCCTTCCTCTGCATTGAGATGCTGCTTAAACTGTTGCAACTATGTAATTACAACAGCTTCTTTTGTCCAAAAGTAGTTCTATAACCAGTAGAAGAATGCTGCATTTAAAAAGGCTATCAGGGAAGCTAACAGTTTTCCATTTAATAAACATCAAATTGTTTTGTAAAATTTGTTTGTGATGCAGTAATATAATTTACTTCACAATGACCATTCAAGTATGTTCATTATTCTGTCACTGTCTCTCTCTCTCCCCCCGCCCGGATTGTTCACATGCCATCAGCTTTAGTGAACCCCATCTCAGAAAACCAGGGGGAACACCAGTAAGAACCATGCAAGAGTAGGCAGAAAGTGAAATCTACTGTTGAGACCATCCTATCTGTTGGGGCCATGCTGCCAATGGAGCATGAAAGTCAAAGCCCATTTTATAGGTTGGGCAGCATGAAGAGCTTCACTGTTGGGCAGGTGCTCTTCCAAAGGAAGGAGGTGGTGGATGTAAAAGTGGGGGGGGGTGGGGGCAGGCAATCAGTCTCAGCAGGATTCAGTCTTTAATTTCAGAACCATGTATGCAGCATTTGGGCAGTAAACCTCCTCTTACAGCTTCCCTTAAGCCATATAGCCAAAATACCATGCCTAGTACTTGGACTAAGACACAAATATGGTCTGTTTCCTGCATAAACTGCATTGGAAGACACTGCAGGGAGTGTCTTCCAGTGTCTTAACCACCCAGCTGCTATGACATTGTCTAATCATACTGTAACAATAATCTAAACATTGCCACAATAAGCTATTCTAGATAATTCTGATGACAAGCTAGGAAATATATACATATACATTTGAGCCATATTGCTCATGCAAGTCTTGGCATAGCTTATTCGTATTCAAAACATTACACCACCAATTCTTAATAGCCTTGAAGTATATTCATTGACTGTTGCTCATGAAACTCTTTCTGCAACATTGGAGCTCTCTGAGCCAAACATTCATACCTGTGTGTCAAATAGGAAAACCTTTCTGGGAACATTTGTTAACCAATTTTATTTTCTTACACTTAGTGCCAACCTTTTTTCCTTTACGGAATTCAAGGTGACATACATGTCGTTGAGAGTCACCCACCCAAAGCACTGACCAGACTCGGCCCTGCTTTGCTTCAGAGAGGTGGCATCATCCAGACCACAAACCCTAGTACAGGCTGTATGCATGCATATGCTTCAACAGTCACCTTTGTAAAAATGACATACAACATACTTTTTCATGCTTTTGACGTTAAGAGCGTGCACTAGCTCAAGAACTGTAAGAAATGACACAGATATAAATACGTTCAAAAGCTCTCCAGGGCTGAAAAGCCATTAAGTAGTTTATGCTTCAAGTATTCATCTTGTACAAGCATTCAAGGACCTGTTGCTTAATAGTAAAGTCCAAACGGCCACCCACCCCAGCTTTCACAGTTTGATTCAATGGATATCTGCTGGCTGCATGTTGATCTCTCTCTTGCAAAATAAAAACATTCAGAGTTGTGCTATTATTATTAGGATGGCAACAGAAGTTACATTTGGAATGTGTGTGTTTTTGCGACCAAAACTTTGTCACCAGCAGGTGGTACCCTTGCCTAATGATGCGTAGATGTCCACAGTGCTACACTAGAGCAGGCTTGAAGGTCTTTAGAGCAGATCTGCATGAGCAAAGATTTAGGAACAAAACAAGCAGATACAAAATGCTCATGGAACTGCTATTTGCTATAAAGCCAGTTTCTGAACAGGACAGGACAGTGTTCTGATTTTCATAAAGGAAACAAGAAGCAGCTGTGTGCAGTACAACAGTCCTAATGACAATCACATGAATGCTTCAATGAAGAAAGTAGGTAATACAAATGCTTTAAATTAAGGACAACTTTTCCCCCTAGTGTGGAAACTTCTGCCTCCAGAATATTTATGGAATGGGAAAACTTATCTTAATCTCCTGATCTGTGGCAGGCTTACAACATTCCATCTGCAGAAATACTGAGACTTTGAAAGAAAAAAGCCTGGGTGTATGAAAGGTCTACTGCTTGCTTCACAATTTAGGTTGAAAAGTTAAAGTAACCCCCTTCTTCCAATTAATTCCTTAAATTTATAGCAGGCATTATTAAGGAAGGCAGGCCTCACAATATTATCTAAGTTTCAAGCAGCTGGTGGTTTTACTGCTTTCTGGTAGTCCATTTGGTCCGTTCATGCTCTCTAAACATCATTTTCTGATAAGTGTTTTGTTTTTAGCTATTATGGTAAAAAGCTCATCGAGCACAAATCCTTAGAAATTAATCCACTGTAAGCATACTGCATACGCTGGCCACGTGACCCGGAAGTGTCTGCGGACAGCGCTGGCTCCCGGCCTCTTAAGTGAGATGAGCGCACAACCCTAGAGTTGGACACGACTGGCCCGTACGGGCAGGGGTACCTTTACCTTTTAAGCATACTGCAAGAGTGAAACTGCAGCATTTAAGAAATGCAGTATTAAGGTAAATGAATATTTTCATTGCATCTTGAGCAGAGATTTTTTTTTTTTTAGCTCATCCAATGTGAGAGATGCTGGTAAGGGAGAATGTCACAGAAAGAAATAATCGTGCCAGTGGGGTACTACTTCACTACTTGGCCTTATGAAGTAAAGGACAATACATTTTCTTATTGCAGACCTCATGTACAATGCAGAACACAAGTTGTGAGGGAGAGAGGAAAACTGTATACTGGACTGGAATAGTCTTTAAAGGGTGGGAGTGTTAGTGTCCAACAGGAGACACATTAGATACAGCTTTAGTGTAAGTGGTCAAGTAAATAATTAGCATGTTTATCATATCAGGGGATCGTTATACCAGACTGGAAGAAAAACATGGTGTTGGTTGTACTAACCATTCATAAGGGGTGATACCTTAGAAAACTAACATGATTCCAATAATATGCACCATGAGCAAGTACAAAATATAGAAAATGGATCACTGACTAGTAAATGGCTCACTGTGCTTTAAAATATATTTACATATTCTTAATTTTACTACTTCTAAAAATGTTGCATAGGTTCTTTGACTGCATGTATTAAGTACCTGGACCTTAGGGTTTCCATTGCTGTTGGGGTGGGAGATGTGAAAAACAGCACTTAAAAAGGTTTCACACATTTCAGTGGCATATTTTTAAACAGAGCACCCAGCCTGGACCAGTCATATCCCCTAATACAACTGAGGTATTAAGAGCGGTGTTGGTCACATGGAATCTTCATCACCAGTCCTCAAACGTTGTTGTTAAAAATCTATCATCATTCAGCAACTGATCTTGGCTTAACATAGTCTGGGAAAAAACAAACCATAGTAGACTTCATAAATCACAGATGTAAGTGATTAGGTCCTCTACAGATTTAGCGGAGATTTACATAGGCATAAGTTATGAACAGCTTATTCAAGATAATTATTATATATAACATCCAGTTTACTAACCTAATTGGAAACAGTAGAAGCTAGTTGCACACAAGTAATTTACTTAGCTATTTCATTTGCTTTCAGGCAAATTTAATCCCTGAAATTTAGTGTTTATAGTGTGTGGAATTAAGGTCATGCATAGTATAAGCAACAAGACTTTGACTTTTGAGAATGTCAGGTGTATGGAGAAATAGATGTAACTGCGCAACAAATAAAGCAGTAGCTCATATCCTTTACTGGCATTTGTACATAACTAATAGCCTTGGAAAGCTTCCCAGGCAACAATGGGTGTGTGATTTTGGGGGGGCAGGCTGTAGCCATGGACATGCTGTGTGCTCTGATGGTGAATTTGGGGTGACCCAATGCAAAGATCCTGAGGATCCATGTGGACCCATACTTTTTAACCACATTTTAAGTGGGGAGGGAAGGAAAAACACAGAAGGCTAAGAATGCAGGAGAGGGCTATAACGTGAGGAAAGGAAGGCAAAAGTTTCCCCCCACCCACCCACACAAGCCAGCCAGCGTGCGCGCTCTCTCTCTCTCTCTCTCTCTCTCCCTCTCCCTCTCCCTCCCACCAGCATGACAGAAGAAAGCATTTTAACTGCATTAAGAACTATTTAGCAGCGAAACCTAAGCTTTGCCATCCCTTAAGAGGTACAGACACTGTAATCTTCCAGATCGCATGAATTTACAGGCAAAACACTGTTTAAGGATTTCATCCTTTTAAATGGAAGAAAGCATATTTGAATGCTGTGTGTCTCCAAAAACAAAAAGTTCAGCAAATGTTGCAATGCAGACTGGGATCAAAAGGCAATTGTGGCATGGATTAAACACTCTTCCCTATGCAGATAATCCCTTTCTGCATTTGACTTGTTTTGCAAAATGCATGTAATAACCTAAAGTTCTCTTCTCATACGACTGAAAATTTGCTTAAGTCATTAGGAAAGATAAATTTCATTTCACATGCAATCTACAAAGATATAAATATTTCCATTCCAGTCCTTAAAATGTAAATTTACTTAGGTCAAATTTGTGTTTTTAATTGAACTCCATAATATAGTCTTACTTATAGGAGTTTTAACTATAAATGAATATAAATGAACATGAGTAATTAACATATCAATACACCTCATCTCAGTTTTGAATTAGCGCATACGATGAGGTTATGAATGATAAATTAGTACTTACTGTGAGGTTGTTTATTCCTTGAGAAAGTTCCCCTATTTGCATTACTGTTCCTTCTGAATGTTCCATCTGTAAAACCATTCAGCTTGGTGAAATTAAAACAGCTAATTCAAACACTACATGCTTTATATTTTCTGAACCATTGTGCATATACAAGAGGTGCTTTTATCTTCAGAAAAAAATAGGCTTAATTATATTACTATCTTCAGAGTCATTTTTCTGAATGTCATTCTTGTCAGACTTTAAATTTCATTTTTTAAAAAGCATTAGAATTTGAGTATTTGAACTATTTCTAAACTGCACATTAGCCATACTCAGAGTAATTGACACCTTTCCATTGAATATAGTCTGTTAATAGGATAGCAGGGCCAAAAATATTAAATTTGAGGCAATTCATTTTGCAATAACTTAAGTAAAAAAAAAAATCCTTATAAATCCTTATAATAATGAATAAAGCCTTATTCATAATTTGGGTGCCATTCTACATTTTCAGAACAAAAGCGGTTTTCCAGCAGTCAAGAGCATTTCAAGATGCATACATGCAGGTTCAACTATTCAGCATGCTGCCATCATAATTGGGGGGAAAAAACAGCTTGTTCGTGCTTTGAACGTATTCAGTGATGTCAGTGATTTCACAAACCTGTCTATATACTTCATATTGAGATCCATCATTTTGGCACGTTCATTTTTAAAATTAGAATGATTCCTCCTAAAATTAGAATGATTCCCCCTCCACTACTGCCTGTAAATTTAAGCTATTAGAAACTCAAATTACCAGCAAGTCTGTATTAGGCTTTGCAACTTTCCCTTGCCTTACACACGTAAAGCCCTCTAATTCACAGTTGCTCTCAGTTTACGGCAGACAGCCTCTTCACCTGCAAATTCAAGCTTGCCTGATTATTATAACAAAGAGCCCAAACCTAAAAAACGTGATTTGCAATAGCTGCATAGTGTGTGTGTATGTGGGGGGGGGGGGGATGACGACTGGTGGAACCCAACCAAATTTGTTTCTTTAATCAACAATTCCATGTGTTTGATGCCACTCTCTTCACACCTGCCTTTGCATATGCAGTGCTTCCACCCAAATGCAGGGGAGCCTTCATTTGCGCAACAGATCTCTTGTGAATGCAAGGAACCACTGACACTTTGAAAACCAATAATATTTTTTAAAAAGAAAGAAAATATTAAGGTACAGCACACGTATGTTACTCAGCAACACATCTGCAGAGCAAATGCCCACCAACAATACTGTACAATGCACAAAATACCTCTCAAAGGGAAATACCCCGTTTCAAGATGCTGAACACGAAAATGACAATAACATTAGTTGATTGGCTCCTGCTTAGGAGATGCAAAGATGATCATGTATAAATAACCCAGTGCAAAATAAGTATAGTATTTCACTGCTGTATTTCAAAGTCCTGTCCTTAGCCTGAAGCTAAGGAGAAGTGGGAGGTATTGTTTGCCGGGTGTGTTATTTTAATTGTAAGCTTTTTAAGAAGCTTGGCTGGGAAGCAAAATTGGGGGGGGGGGAACAGCTAAGAGATGAAAGCACACAAAACAGTTCTGATTACATGCACATCTTCTTCCTACCGGTTCTAAGGCTGCCTAGGATTGTAGGACAAATGGATAATGATAAAATTGCTTGCATTAGATAAAACAAAATAATAAATTACATTTTAAATGACGGAATAATGAAATGTGTTAGATGTAATGAATCATGCATATAAAAAATAATAATTAAAAAAATCAACTTTCGACAATTAGTCTTTTCGATCTACTACCATTTTTTTGATTCTGTTTCTGACTTGGAAACCAGAATCCACGGAAGTTGCATCAGACTGTTGCACCTTGCAGAAAGCTCAAGCTCCAGCTGCTCCATTTTTCAGGTTTTAAAAAATTACTTTACACACACTTCTCAGTATTACCAATAGGGCGGCAATTTGGATAACCTCTTCAAAAACTCTTTTAGGTTTTAAGCATGATTCCGTCACAATAATCACAACGTGAGAAGTTGGGACATTTCCCCCCAAATGCGTTACTTTTATTGTTTTGTTCGATAAAGTTGTTTGTTCATTCTTCTTCTTTTTTTATAGATATATCGTTAGCTCCTTTAATAACATATCATGTACATTCAGTGTGGTGCAGACACTGCACAGATGAAATAAGCATGTCTTATTAAAAATATACAATCCAGTTGTACTATTCGGAATAAAATAGACACATCTTTACAACTGCTTACAATATAAAGCTAATATAAAAAGTTAAAAATATCTCTGGGTAGTGCTTACGGAATATATATATATATATGTATAAACATATGGCCCTGCAGCAGCAGTGCATGCCCAGCACCCTTGCTGGATTGGGGCTTTGGGTTGCCTGGACTTCAACTACGACTGTTGTGTAAAGCTTTTTGCATTCCTGAAAAAGGGCTCGAGAAGGTGAGTAGGATGACGCAGTGGTTGCAAATGGAAAATAATTCAGATGGCATTTTAAGTATCCGATTCTTCAAGCCTCATCCCAATACATTCATTAAATCCATGCAGATGCATTATGCATTTTAGGTTAAATCGAAACAAAAGGTTATTTGTAAGCTTTGGAATGCATGAAGAGGATGGAAGGTGAGTGACATCAGTCCGCCTGGCCCACCTGATCCAGTTTGTCTAATTCTTTGTCAGGGAGGGCATTATGCACTTTGTAGGCGCCGTAGCTTCTCTGAGTACCGTTGGTGGTACTTGGGCTGGTATCCATAGGGCAAATGTAATCCGTAGATTCGTCAAATTTCTTTTTTCGCAAGTTTCCAAAATGTGAAAATCCAAGTTTCTTTGGCTAATGAGAATAAGAAGCAGGGTGGGGTGGGGGGGGAGGAGGAAGAGTACAACATCAGAGAAACGTAGTACTAGTAATCTTCATTATCATCCTTCATCCAAAGATCACAGGACAGAATATTATTAGTATAGTACAGTCATACCTCGGAAGTCGAACGCCTTGTGACTTGAACATTTTGGCTCCCGATTGCCGCGAACAGAGAGTTTCTGGTTTGCAAATGTTCTTTGGAACCCGAATGTCCGACGCGGGTTCTGATTGGCTGCAGGACCTTCCTGCAGCCAATTGGAAGCTGTGCCTTGATTTCCGAACATTTTGGAAGTCGAACAGACTTCCGGAATGGATTCCATTTGACTTCCGAGGTACGACTGTATTAGGAACTGCTGCTTCAATTAATTGAAGCTGTTTCAGGTCAAGGCAATACTTAATACAGATCTGTGAAGGATGCTCCATCTGTGTGTTTGCTGGCCCAGATTTGCTGCCATTAAACTAGGGATGGGGAACCTGTAGTCCTCCAGAATACTTTGAGCTCCAGCTCCCAACACCCTGACTGCTGGGCTGATAAGAAATGGGAGTCCATCACCATCTCTGGAGGGCCAAAGATTCCCCATCCCTGCATACACTCCTCATTTCAGAGAAACATAGAATGCAGGGCCCAGTCCAAGGCATATTGTCACCTGAGGCAGACCCCAAAGTGATGCCACCCTACACACCAGGGAAGCCTGGGAAAAGGAGGGGAGAGAAAGATTGACATTGGGATCTGCTGCCCCAGTGAATCCTGCTGCCTGAGGCAGCCAACTCACTTTGCCTCATAGGTGGGCTGGTCTTGGATCAATGCATGCTAAGGGCTACTTCCCTGAACAACTGCTTCCCCATGACTTCTAAAAAAGCAAGCAAACTTCTGCATAATAAGGGAGTGTGCTGCTTTCTGCAAAATGTTTGTAAGAACAGATCCTACTAAATATGTATTATTACTATAGGTTTGCAATCTTAATTAAAAGATTCAGCAGATAAACTATTATTATTATTATTATTATTATTGTTGTTGTTGTTGTTGTTGTTGTTGTTGTTGTTGTTAATAATAATAATAATAATAATAATAATAATAATAATAATAATATTATACACAACAGGTACTGATATTGTATCCAACAACTGGCAGGTCTTAACACATGCATCAATGTGTGAAAGCCATGAGCTATGCGCTTCAGTCTCGTGGCTGTATACGTACTACAGACTTCAAAGAATTGCCAGCTTCCTCACCAAGTCAGACTTAACAGGATTCTTTGGGGTAAGCCATAACAGTTGCTAAAATAGGCTGTGGCGTACAGATATATAATCTGCTGCTGAGAAATTAAGAACACTCACAACAACTCAACTCTTCCAAAGACTGGCTTGCAAATTTGCAAAGTAGGAAATTGTGGGCAAGTTTTTGTGCTGCCCACCAAGGATTAGTGCCAGCACACGGGGATTCTTCCCCACTTCCATACACAGTCTGTGCCATCACGAAATCTGCTCTGGAATGTTAGGGGGGAACCCAGAACAGATTTTTAAAGAATATATATATATATATTTATTCATCATTTTTATGTTATAATGATTAAAAACATGTATACACTGCAACAAGCAAACCATGAATAACCTAATAAAATGAAAGCAACTGATTGTGTCTTGGGCTAAAACTTTACCCAGGACAGATTTAGGGGGCAGAGAATATTTTGTTGCACAAAGAAATACCCTTGCACTGATACAAAGTATTCTGTTTAACACTCCGTTTAATACAACCCTGTGGTTGTGGTTGCTATTGTTTTCCTATGTGGCCTACCCGGACTTTCGCAGTGGTAGTCAGAGGCGCATAAGCTGTAGATTCCAATATTTCTCTTTTTTCTCGCTGTGCCTCTGGTCCAATTAGCACGTTGAAATTAGTGGTTAAGTGGCGCCTTAGCAGCGTTTTTTGAGGTGGAATGTTGAGAAGCATTGCCAGAGCATCACCATTAAAACGAGGTTCAAGGATCTGTCAGGAAAAATAACACACATGCTGCATTTATACATGCCCCCTAAGCAACTGAGCACTCGGAAGGCTGCTTTGAATTATCTGAGCGCTTCAATCCTTCTCTGCAGCATTTAGAATGCTTCCTGGCACTGCAGAGAGAAAGCAGCAGCTCTTCATTTGTTTGCAACCATCAGCTGTATAAAATTAACAGAACATTCATTTGCGATTTTCAGTAGCACCAGTTTAAGACTCTGTATAGGGTGATTAAAGGCACAACCATGCACAGAGCCTGCAGTTCCTGATCTACAGGTTAGTATGCACAATACATTTCCAGTGACCACGGTATGTTCATGATATTTGCCTGGATCCTGAGTTGCCTTTCTGTGAATGGAAGGGAACCTGATCATAATCATGGAAGAAGGTGGGGGTAGATGAAGTTTGCAGTTCTTTGCCCCATTCCCACACAGTTCTGGAAGGCCCCTCCAGAGCACTTTGGGGATGGAGGGTGCACAGAGGGGGCTGCATTGGACATTGGAAATCATATTCTCCACGTCCACCAGAAGGAGCCTCTCACAAGTAGAATTCTGCTCATACCATCCAGGTAAAGATATTCTTTGGAGAAAATCAAAGAAAAAGCAAGGGCATTGGACCTCATGGATCTTATAATCTAAATGTAGCGAAACTATGCAGAAGAAAAGGAAGGGAAAGTCAGAGGAAAAAGAGGTGAATATGTGTACACACACACTTAAGTAAGAATAGCTTAGCTCCTCCATTCTAATCTCTCCATATGTTGTTGGACTGCAAAGCTCTGGATCGGAAGTGGGCAATCTGTGACCTCCTGATGTTGCTAGACTCCAACTCTGATCAGCCCCAGTCAGCATGGCCAATGCAACATCGAGAGAGCATCGTGTTGGCTAGCTCTGCTCTACAGGCATCAAGGCAAGAAGTGAGGTTACAGGGAACAAGGCAGAGGGCCTTCTTGGTAGTGGTGCCCTCCCTGTGGAATGCCCTCCCACCAGATGTCAAGGAGATAAAGAACGACACAACTTTTAGAAGACATCCAAAGGCAGTCTATATAGGGGAGCTTTTAATGTTTGACGTTTTATTTTTGTTGGGAGCCTCCCAGAGTGGCTGGGGAAACCCACTCAGATGGGCAGGCTACAAATAATAACATTATTATGATAATGATGACAAGGCAGAGTTTAGAAAGGGATCTGCATGATGAGGAAAGAGCAGGGCATTCTGGGAAATTACAGAGCTTGGTGTCTGTAATTATCCCTTCTAATTTATTCCAACAGAGGCGGGAGAATGTTGTGCTCTTCCAATTTCACACGGAGATTTACCACCTCATTGAAATGATGAAATAATTGTGCAAGCCAGAGCATGCATTTTAACATATATGGATCTCCAGGTCAAAGCAAACATACCCAATGGGCTGTTTTTCTCATCAGCCATAGCAAATAAACTCAATATAGTTGAGTATACCTTGAGTACTGTGATGGCTTCATGAGCTGTCTTTTAGAAATCAGTGCACTAGCAAAGAATATAGTAGTGCTTATTTTGCCTTAGACAGCTAAGAATCCAAAAATTTTCCCCATATGACCTGCTGTCAAGAGCATCATTACTTTTAATCCCCCCCCAATTGCTGATCTTCAATCTAAGCCATCTGACTCTTGCAATGTTGCGAAGGATGTTCTGTATTGAAAAACAATTTGTCCTGTCCAGCATGCACCTGTTACAGCACCCATCAATTGAGAGGTTCAGCTGACACTTTATCAATTGCTGATTTGAAAGTAATTTCCACTCTCTAATTTCAGCTTCACAGATCCACATCTTAAATGACTAAAGAGTGGGGGACTAGCTTCTTAGCTACCACAAGTTTATAAAATGCAATTTATATGTTGTCAAATGGCTTAAAAGTAATCAATGAATACATTTCCTGCCACAACAAACAACATTCTCAGTTTGTTCAGCTCACAGCATAGAGTACAAAAAATGCTTAGGAAAACCGATTTTTAAACATATATAGGAAGCAAAAGGCAAGATCTGGTTTCTTACAATAAGGCCACCATGAACTCCACTTCCTCGAAGGTTCGGTGCATATTCTGCCAGATCTACTGATCTGAGCCATTCCATTACTCTGTGATTGGACCACTGAACTACTTCGGAAGGCGAAATGTTATTCTGTGTTGAGAAAAGATGCACATAGTTAAGACACATACATGCACATAGTTAAGATACAGAAACGACAAGTCCATTTACTATTTCTATCTGAAAACAGCTATTAAAACAATTCCTCCTTTGCAGCCAATAATCCCCCCCCCAGACCTGCAGTGTTGCTGAGTTTTGCTCAGAAAGTAATGCATTTCAGTAAGTTAAATGAGGTGTGTACTCATTATAGCCTTTCTTTAAAAGGGCCTTCAATGCCTCCAGCCAAGCTTCTAAGTACAAACTATACAGGAGGAATTCAACACTGCAATAAGGTGACCATTCCATCAGGGCAACATTCTTCACTCTCCTCCCCCTGCATGCTGTTCTTGGGAGTTCTCCTGACACCCCCAAGCCAATGTGGGTGGGCAGGGGCACCCAAGGATAGAAGGGGGTGAGCGCATCCCATTAGATGCATTTTCTTTACAAACTGCCCTTACGTTTCTACAATCGTCAAACAAAAGTGACTGGGTCCACTATGTCATAGGAATGAATTGCAAATGATGGGAGTGAGCAATGAATGCTTAGCTTAGAAGAGGACTCTGTGCTGCCAGGAACAGGCACTGCCAGCTTAGTCACAAGCTCAGCATGCCAACGCTGCAAAACAAAAGTGGCTGAACACACACAACCAAGCCTGAGATGCCTAATCTCCTGAGAACTATCAAGAACTAGCCCTCAGGCCCTTTATCCTCTGTCCCTCACAATCAGCACACATGCTCAGACACTGGCGTTAGAAGGCGAATGTCTCTGTGACCCCTTGGTGACAGCCTGTGGTCCAGATAACAAAAAGTGTGAAGATAAATTTATCTCCTGATAGTTGGGGGAAAGAGTGCAAAATCTGGGGCAGGAGGCAGCATCTGCTGGGGCAAGAGCTCTGCATCTATCTGGGTAGCACAACACTGCTTCCTTCTCATGTTGAACTCCTAGGCTGGTCATCTAGCAGTCAGACAACTGTCCCTAGTAATATACCTCTGCAGAGTATGTGTTAATGTACAAGTCTGCCAAGGCGTGTTTTCATGTGAACATGCACTAAAGGTCTTCCGAAGTGCATTCAATAAATGCAGCACTTTGTCTTTCCTCCCATACAACACTCTCACCAAATTATTTCTGGCTTGGTACGGATCTGCAAAGTTCGACACATATTTCACCCCAGAAGAGAACCTGCTCCTCTTCTTTTTTTAGGAGGTGGGAGCAGAGAGAGGGTGGATAAACAAGGTTTATTCTAGGAAGGAAATCCATGGTAACAGGGACAATTTCTTTCTCACCTCATCCGCCGGTCGCCTCCGTAGGCAGTGAGGGTTGAAACCGTTCACATGGAGCACGTGAATGGCACACTTAATGCTGAGATGATGCAACTGGCTTGTGACTTTGAGGAAAAGGAGGTCATTCTGCAAGAGAACACAAGCGGCAAGCCATGTCAACAAGCAACAGTTTATTCTGCAATGAGCTGAGCAGATCAGAACTTGAGATCCAACCCACGTGGTCTGTTCTAGTTGTCTTCTTAAGGCATTCAGGAACTGGGAAAAGCAACACACAAGGGTCGAGCTGAGGGGATTGAATAGTCTTCCTCCATCTCATACTTTCTTCGAGTTGGAGGGCAACCATCTGAAGAAAGGAGCCCACTTCTGCTTGTGCAGATTCTCCATGTGACTCAGATTTTTCTTGGTTATCCACCACACAGAAGCTTCCACAAGTACAAGAGGCTTCCTTGCTTCAAACAGTCACCCTCCAACTCACGAGTAGGAATGGGGGTGGAACAAGTATGTTCACCCTTCACCACCTCCTTCAAAGATCCTGAATACGGCTCAACTGAAACCTGTGTTTTGGTTGGGGCACACGATATGAACCAGATCGCTGCCTTGACTTTTATGGTTGCCAAAACCTACAGAGCCCCTTCCAGTAACTCAGGGAAAGGGGCACACCACTCACTTAGAGGTTCCCTGATTTTGCCCACCGACTGTTTCTCTCCAAGATTATCTAGGGGGGTTCTTTTTGATTTGGTACAGTGCCTCAGTATGCAAGTGACCAGTAGGATACAGCCCCATTTTAAGATGTTGAGGGCCTGGACTTGCTGCATCTCAGTCCTAGCCAGGTTGGAAGAAATTTGCCCATTTCCCAAGCTTTTCAGTCTCCTGTATTCCAGACACTATTTGTCTGGAAAGGGTCTGAAAAGACAACTTCTTCACAAAGTTCCTTGAGGGCAAATCATGGTCTACACATTCTTACTGGTCCAGAAACAGAAGTGTTATGTTTTATGATTTTGAAATTAGACTTTATACATTTAAAAACAAATTAGGAACACAATTTCTTAAAATCCAAATCTAAAACTAATTCCAGTGTGAGAATTCTCCCCCTCCCCAACTTTTATTTGAGCAGAAGAAAAGGCTCTTTCTATGCACAAATTATGAAAGGTCAAGGCTTCTTACCACAGTTAAATATTGCAGCATCCTGCCATCAACTCTCGATTCGTGAAACTGATCTTTATATTGAGGTAAGCCAATATCATCAAGCCATCCTACAGAACACACAGAGTCCACAATACAATATAAAAATCTTTTCTAAAGGTCTTTTTTATTTAGAGAATAAATGGTACCTTTCCTGCCCCTTCTATAACCTCTGAGTTCTATTTCTCACCATATATGCTCATCTTTTCGAGTTTTGCAATTACAACAGCTACTTAAATATGAAGACTGACATTAATACTGTTAACAGGTGTTACAAAGCCATATAACCCTAATGTGACTATTCCTAGAGTTTACTGATAAAATGAAAAACAAAACTCCAATTCTGAGTCCCTGTACCCTGATAATAGTATACTGAAAGTTTTTGAAGATGAAATATGAGTTTTTCATCCCTGCCTCCCTTCACCCTGAAACTAAACCAAAACAGATTTTGCAAAGTGGGTGAAAAAGCTCACCAGCAGCTCTTTCATTTCATTTTTACCACTTAAAATACTTACGAGTCACCCAGATATGATCTAGCTGAGCGGACTTATCATCTTGTTTTGTATTGATAGCTTTAACAGCCAAAACCAATTTCTTCCTGTGCAGAGGTTGCTTTATTCCTAGTTCCTGCAAAGTATAGTAATAATGAAAATTAAAACAGTTCTGCCAACTTGGCACTTGGACAGATGGAACACACATTTTGTCCCCAAAGAGAGAATGTGCTCCTGCAACTACCTGCTGTATTTCTGAGACTTTCTAGAGGTTATTTTCTGAAAATTTACACCCCAAGGGAGTCAAAATTGTTGCTTGATGATTTACCAAAGGGGAGCTATCGAAAGAGCAATTATTCAATGAAACATGATGGATATTAGAATCTGCAGTATGTATGTGCACCTCTGGATCAGAACCACCATTTTCAATGTGAGGATGTCAGCTTAAATTCTCTGACACTTAAGAGTGGGATCCAAACCCCAATCTTGCACACTCTGTATGTGAATGAAGATGGATCAACTTTTTTGAGGGGGAAAAACTTGGCTGCTCTGATTTCCCTCAGAATGGTACCATTGTCATTCTAGATTTCTTACCTTTTCCATATCCTGCGGTGTTGCTGTTAAGAGGGTGTGGCCAGATGTCACCCATTGTCGTGCAAAAATGACATACTGCCCAAGACCAAAGTCTTCAAGCCAGTTACAGACTCGTTCAGTGCCCCATTGGGCAAATGGGGCGTTATGATCACTAGGAAGCACAGATAAAGAATGGAGGTTCATGTTAGTGTAACAGTATGACTGCTTCTTGCAACACTTGGCAAACCACTTTGCACTCGAATCGTAAGGCTCACTTTCACAATAATTAAGTGACTATACAACCTTTAGAAGACTTCTGAAGGCAGCCCTTTTTAGGGAAGCTGTTAACGTTGATGCTTTATTATGTTTTTATATATCTTGGAAGTCTCCCAGAGTGGCTGTGGCAACCCAGTCAGATGGGCAGGCTGCAAATTAATAATCATCATCTATGGTTATTGATAGGGATGCGGGTGGCGCTGTGGGTAAAAACTCAGTGCCTAGGACTTGCCGATCATATGGTTGGCGGTTCCAGCTCCTGCCCACCTAGCAGCTCGAAAGCACCCTTAAGTGCAAGTAGATAAATAGGTACCGCTTTATAGCGAGAAGGTAAACGGCGTTTCTGTGTGCTGCTCTGGTGCCAGTTCGCCAGAGCAGCTTCGTCACGCTGGCCACTGACCCGGAAGTGTCTGCGGACAGTGCTGGCTTCCGGCCTCTAGAGTGAGATGAGCGCACAACCCTAGAGTCGGACACGACTGGCCCGTACGGGCAGGGGTACCTTTACCTTTACCTATGGTTATTGATGGGGGAGGGAGATTGAAAGAGAGGCTCACGCCCTCTTGAAGCTGACTTTTGTTTACTGTTATACTGAATCATTAAATGTCACAAGGTATCATTTGCCTTTGATCAGTAATAACACAGGAATATAAATCACTGGAATATAAATCACTTTGCTCCATTCTGATTAGAAAATCCCTCTCTTTTCTTGTCACTGTGTCAAAGCTAAATGAGGAAATATGGTTGACATGAAAGTTGGCAAGTGTATTGATACTCAAGGCACAACAGCAGTTAGGCAACATTGTGCCACACAATGTAGTCTTGTTGCAAATGCTGAAGAAAGCATTCATCAGTGACTTGGAAGCAACAAAAGCAAATAAACAAAAGCTCCATTCGCAGCGATTCCCACTGAATGCCACAGGGACAAGGTAATAAGATACAGTGTGGAACAGAAAGGCGGAAAAACCTGGCCCCGCCCCAGACACTGCTATCAAGCACTCCTGCAATAGATGGGATTTGTCCGACAATGGACCATTTACTAGTAATAAGTCAAAGGTTTCGAAGCAAATAGCTCAGACTTTCTCCTGGAATTGGAGGTACACTTTTCCCACTGCTCTATAAATGGGGGGGGGGGGATATTTGCTCGATGGTGCAGTTTTGCTGAAAAACAGTCAACAGAACTCTACAAAATTTATAAAATTCTTCGTAGGACTTCACAAAACTTATACACTACTTGATTTTAATAAAACCTCGAAACAGTTTACAAAGAGAGTTTCATTATGCAATAATCCACAAGGGCAAAACAGAAAGCATGAACTCAGCCTTTACCTCTTCTGTCCCTTGGTGTCCTTTGACCGAGACAATCTAGGTCCAGCTGTTGCACGGAGGCCACCTCTTCGAAATTCAACCAAGCCCAGATCATCTCCAGGGAAATTTCCAGACTGGGTCCTGCGTATTCTTTTTGGAAAGATTCAAAATAGGAAGTTGCTAGACATCAAAATGCAAGGTGCAGCTTTAACATAAGAACACAAGAACTTCCAAGATAGCAGGAATGCTTCTAGTTAGGTCTCTGTAGTGGCATTTAAAAAAAAAGATACAGAAGATTGAAAAAACTCACTTTCCCCATATTTTCTTTATTCCTCTTGGACTTCTTTTATTTTCCGGAGATAATGGAGACTGTGCACCAGATTCTGTTCCCGATGACAAAGGTGAAAGGTCATCTGAATTCATTGTACCATCCATATTGTCAGAGTCCCCTGTGATTGACAAATGCCATTGAGATTTATGAAGCCATGGTATAAAATGCAAAAGGAAAAATTTCACAAAAAATTCATAATCCCCAAAACATTTTAAATCATATAGGGCTAAGTACCTCCTATTTTACTTGTCAACATTCCTTAAATAATGGTCCGTGATTCTTCTCAGATTTAGAAACTGCATTTTTTATTACTAGTTAGAGGACTTCTTCCCCGTAATGTATCAAAACTTATAAAGACTGGAAGAACTAGCTAAAGATTTCTGCAATCACATTATAAAATTGTCAGGTTTACCAGAAAACTCCCGATAGTAACATTCATCTTATTTGTAATATGAATATAGGAATGAAAATTACATCTGAAAAAACTATGGCAGCTGAATTTCTAAGATTATTGTGGGTGCCTATGTTAAAACATTATTGCCAAAATAAATTTAGGAAGGTTTTTGTATTTTAAAAAATGGTTAAATAATGAGCCACATTAAACACCCTCTTTCCAATATACGAATTTTCTTTGCAAAGTAATAGATGTCTAGCTCCAATTAGAATCAACCAAATAGATTGAATCTCTGTTCTAGTTCAGAGATTGAAGTCTAGCACTGTCTGCCTACATTTCATTTACTAGGAGCTAAATTGGGCTCTTCCCTTTCAGTGTAAAAAAATCAAGATTCCAGACAGTCCACTATGTGCAATTCATATTTGCAATCAAGAGGTAACGGGGACCCCCCCCCCAATTCATTCCTAGCTTAAAAGCTGTGCAGTGACTAGGTGTACGATACCTAAGATTGGTGCACTGACACTCCTGATGCGATCTTCAATCATTCCAAGAACCAGAAAGCCACATGAAGAAGCAAAGACAATGGGAAATTCAAGCAAAGGAAAGTTACAGAAAAGCAAAGAAAGCCAAAAGCCAAAAGCAGGAAATAAAAAAATGACAGGAAGCAAAAGTAACAAAGCAGATGAAGTTGAACATTTGGGGCCTGCTGTCTATAGTTCAAAATATTCTACAGTGAGACCAGTGAATTTTTTTTTTAAAAAAAGGATCCACAATGTATTATGCAGTTTAAAAAAAATTGCTTTCCATATGGAACACTCCTAAGTGAAAAGGAAAATAGGAATAAAATGCAGGCTGTTCCCACTTAAACGCAAAATAAATCCCAGTAATATGTAGTTGATGTTTGATGTTTCTTTTTACAAAAAACAAATCAAAACTCCGCTTTAGACTCAATTACCAGCTTGATTTATAGAGAGCAGCCAGAGAACTTTGCTTTCCCCAGGGAAGTCTAGGGTTTGAAACTATTACATAATATTTTAAATTGTCTAGGATATTTAAAAGGAGCATCTTAACACTGTGTAATTAAAGCAGTAGACATATGCATGTAGTCTACTTCTTTCCGGGGCTCCAATATCAAAAGGTAATGGTTGCAGACAGATGTGCAAGGTCCATTATCTGATGTTCCACTGTATTTAATGGAGCTTAGTCCCAAGCAGACATGCTTAGGGACAGGTTTTCCCTTTACACAGCCTTGCCAAGCATGGTAGCTGCTAGCCTAGATGAAGCCATGCCCACAGAGCATTCGGCATATGGAATTTCAGCCTCCCCTGCAAATTGTCTAACAGTAGTCTTTGCAGGGGTAAACAAAATTCCATATTCTGTACATCCCAGTTGTTGTAATGGCTCACATTAAACATGACCAAGCAGAGTCCTGGGGTCTAAGCTACTTAGAAATCCAACTTTCCACCTTCTAGTAGGTGGAAACAGGTTTCCTCCTTTAATTTAGCAAAGCATCATACTATGTGCTTAGAAGGATGCTGGTTAAATTTGGACAGCTGTGTAAAAAAGAGCATCTAAACATTAACTACTATAAAACCAAGGTCACTTTATTTGGCAAGAGGACTACCAAGTCCAGGTGGACTCTAGATGGTAACACCCTAAAGCAAGTAGCCAGATTTAAATTCCTGGGGTTACTTATCGATGGTAAGTCATCATGGAAACCCCATCTGGAAGCAATTAAGCTAATATCTGGACATTCTACTGGGCAGCTATATGGGTTCTTTCATTCAAAGGGTGGGCAGTTAATCAAGTCAGTTTTTAAGATCCTTGTCTCTAAAATCATCGTCCAAATGCTCTACGGGGCTGAAATATGGGGAATTGGTATTAAATCTGAAATAGAGGTCCTACAGGCAGATTTGGAGCTTTCCTGCGGGACATCGGCAGCCCACGTCAGAGCTGAGTTGGGCACTCCCTCACTAGCAGCCAAAATTGATCTAGCCTATCTGAGATAGTGGAGCAGGCTAAATGCCTTTGAGGAACACACTCTTACTAAGCTCTGCTGGTTAGAGCAACTAAGGACTGGGGACTGGGCACAGAAGTGCCAAGATAAGCTTAGGGCTTACAGTCTTCAAATGGAGAACTACTTAGCCTTTAGCCCACGTGACCTTAGAAATTGGATTTTTGATCAGGATGCCAACCAAGACAGAATATCCATCATTGCCACCTATTACTCTACTTTGTACCCCCAAATTTAAGACCAATCACCTTGAGACACTGACCTACCCACAACTATGGAGGGCCTTTGTAGAAATAAAATTCCAACAGATGCCCTCAGCATATTTAGAGGGGATTGATTGGGTAATTCCCTATAAGGATCGCAAATGTATATACGGATGCATTCAGGCAGAAGACATTACACACTCCCTGCTGATTTGCCCCCTGTATACAACGCCCAGAGGAAATTTATATCGCCAATTCTTAATTGGCTTCCAGGTCAATCTGCACAGGAAGTGACAGTTGAATTCCTAGCAGATAAACACCTATATATTACACACCAGGAAGCCAAATTTGCGCTGGCAGCCAAGAAGCTCCATTCCAGCTATGTGAATCTTAAATTTTAATGTTGTGATTTTATTTTTATGTTGTAAACTGCTTCAGGTTATGTTGTATGATTTTAGATGAAAGTTTTCCTTAAATTCTCTGTCCTCATTGTAAAGGCCTTTTGCGATATACAATAAAATTGACTGACTGACTGCTATTAAGTAGCTAAAACCCAAGCTGAATATCACATGAAGGCATGCTCTTATTGTTCTCCTCCCTGAAGTACGTACTCAGGCTCTGTATGCTGCTGTCTCCGTTGCCATTCACACGGCACGTACTTGGAGAAGGAGTACTGTATGCCCCAGTATCGCCGTTGTGTGCAGGTCGAGGAAGCTTCCCTGGCAAGGTTTGGTATTTGCTGCTTTTCACGAATGGCTTATTCTGTGTTTTTGTAAAAAGATTTTTTTTAAAAAAAAACAACAACAATAAAGTGCACAATATTCATTTCAATCAGAAGCAGACGAACTTTTTAGCTTTTCAGAAGAATCAGTGCTGGGAGAATACATAGTTTTCCATGGTGGCAACAGGTTTCGGTGGAATGTTCCCCAGTTTATGCACACAGATTCCCAGGGAAATGAGGAGCTTTTCACATCAGATCACTCTTGTTGTGGTCATTTGAGATAACAATTGGGGACATCAGAAGTAGGAAAGGAGGCAAGGTGTGGCCCTGTTCTGAATGATGCTACTGAGTGGGAAACATCTGACAATTGCAAAATCCAGAAAGATGAAGACATTAGCAAGTACATCAACTTGTTTAACTGTTTTGTGGGTCACCAACAGAATGCATGCTCTCCTTTCTATACTGTTTTGTTTTTGTGTGCTGCTATTTTCTGAATCACTTTTGATATTCTTGCAGGAAATAAATACCGCCACTTATTGGGCCTGGAGCTAAGCACATCCCTAAGCTCACAATTGCCTCCATCATCTCCAGCACACAGAACTTTCTCCCCCATACTCTTTGCAGCACATGAAGAGAACTCGTTTTCTTTGAAGCCATGGGGAATTCATGGCTCTGCCTTTGTGGGAAAGCAAGGAATGGCATCATCATATTTAGCTCAATCGCACTGGCATGCGTCTTCATCCAGCTGCCCCCAAGGAAAACTTGCTTATAACTGAAGATCAAAAAGTTGAAGCTTAACTAGTTTGCTCAAACTTATCAGCATATTAACTCTCACAGAGAGGCATTCAAGGGGAAAACAAAGAAGAGAAGAACCACAACATAAAATGATGATTATGTTAAGTAAATGTTAAAATGGAGTTAATATACCTCTTGTGTTACATCACGTTCTACTGGTTTCGCATCTACATGCTATGAAGTTGCAGGAAATGTGAGGGAGAGAAAGTAACAAACAAAATGTTAGTGTCAAATGGAACGTGACATTTTTAGTCTAATTTCTAGTGATCTTCAGCGAGGACAATAGCAGATTTATTTTCTCCTCAGAGCACCATGTCGACCTGACATTACTGCGTGTGTCATACCCTCTAAATTTATAAATACATCTCAAATACAGCTTCTACAGAGGCTAATAGAATTTGTTTCATTGTTTTCTACAGGCAGTGTGTACTGGGTTGCCTCCAACTTTAGTTCTCTTCAGAGTAAACCTATTGAAATTAATGGACATGACCTCATGTATGACTCAAAGGGATATATCCCACTGTGTCTAAGGAAGTGCTTTCAAATTTCGGCATATAAAACACTTGTTTGTTTTATATACAAAAACTGTTTATATACTTGCAATAATTAACACAAAGTGCACAGAAGTGAGTTGTTGACAGGTTCGAAGGATGTGCGGTTTCTAGGCAGAAGCTGAAATTCTTTGCTCAAGTGCATAATGGTTTGTACTCTTGAGCCAAGTGGTAGACTTGGCACTCTTAGATAGAAATTTGTGATGTATCTCCGTAAATTCTAGTGTTTGCACATCCAAATTATATACCCAATAAATACCCAGAATATGATGAAGAAGGAGAAAATAGACCTCTGAATTCTGGAATAACTAGAGAAGCTAGACCTTCATTCATTTGCCATATACAACATTACAAAACAGACTACAAACATAAAATGAAAAACTCACATTAAACATGCTGAAGAAACATGGAAGTAGTTCTGGGTTAGCCACATTCCGTCTGAATACTATTAGATTGATGCATCAATTTGAAGGTGACAGTTTTTAACAACAACAACAAGTAAAAACCACCTTCAAACTGAGTGCAATTTGAGTGTTATGCAGAATTCAATTTGGGCAGACTCTGACTTGTATTGCACAGATATATTGGTCAGAATACACCAGCAGTAATTGCTGTGGCAGAATACTGATTGGGTTTGGTGTTGCACAGACCAACCACATTCCTTTGATCTCAAAATTCAGAAAAGAACAGAGTGGAATGACTCAGCTGTTAAGGATTTTCTACATGCAACCCACAATTATTAGGCAAAGCGAAGATTTCTGAGCCAACCTTTTCCAGGGATTCACTTTGCAAGTCTTCAAGACTACTTGATATTTTTTTCTGAGGCGCCCTTAAAGTGAGAAAGGCAACAATTAATGCATGCACAAACACACTGAGCAGGAATAACTGGGCAATCTGATTTCACTATCAAATAACCTGCAATCTTAAGGTCTAGTTTATACATGAGGGTCACGGGTAAGTTCTTACTTGTGCAAGCATTCCATGCTCTCCCCATTAAGTTTTAAAACATGTGTATGTGTGATTTGCTATCTCAGTTTGTTATACTGTACATCAAGGTGGTCAGTAGCCAGGGTGTGATCAGCACAGCGGAGCTACTGCTACATGCAAATGGGCCAGCAAATGTAATTAAGGGCTTTTAAATGTGATGGGATGCATGTGGAATGCTCCCCATCTACACATTAAAGCTGCTACCTGCAGCCTGCATAACATCTAAATTGGGCCCGAGGACCAGACGTATGATGCTTTTTGACATCTGGCTACTTCCATAGGCCTGAGTGGATCTTCTTGTCACCCAAATGCCCAGAACACGCAGCTCTTGTTTATCATTCAGAAATAAAACAAACATCAAATCAGTAACAACTGTGTGTCAGGTCAACTATTCAATATGGGATTTGGTTTTATATTTTGTATCCCTGGAGGAAAAGTCTCATTCAGTTAAAATTAATGGCTAGGCCTGAATGTAGGGAATCTCCTATTGCACTGGATTTCTCAGGGTCCTTTGAACTGAAGCTGTGGTTGCTCATTTGGGGGAAAGGATCCCCATTCAAAATGTCTAGGATAACTTGATTGGTAAATGTTGACAGCATTATTCTTCTTACCTATGTTGGACTTCCAGGCTTTGTCCGTTTGCAGAAAACAGGTTATTTGAAGGAACTGGGGAGCTTCCGCTGTTAATCGTAATGGTAAACAGAAGCACACATTTTAAAGAGCAGGTTTTTTGATGCATTCTAAATTTAACTGTTTTACCCCAACTGACCACATGTTCTTGACACAAAAGCAAGTATTTCAAAGAATGTTTTACAATATGAAAAAAGAGCGTTCTGAGAAACACAGATTTAACTAAGAAAAAATGTTCTTGCCTCATTTCCAGCATTTTCTTTTGTGGAGGAGGAGGCAACATAGGTAGGGTCAATTCCCCTGGAGGTAACTGTGTAAAAAGAATTTTATTTTGAGTACTTTTTAGTATGGGTATGGGAAGAAAAAAATATAGAATAATGGAAAAAATAACCAACCAACCTCTGGCTTATATAGTTCTATTTGGGGCTTATTCATGGGATTCCATTTTCTTAAAGTTACTTCAATATCATCTTCACTGCTTCCACACAAAACTCTTTCTGAAGTTCCTAAAAGGATTGGAATTTAAAATTGTGCATGGTTAGAGGATTCCATATATACGTACACAGACCAAAAATCACTGAGAGCCTAAAATTATCAATTATTCAACCGAGCAGCCATAGTATTACAACAGAAGGATTACAACAGACAGAACCAATAAAGTGCAGTTATTATTTAGCAAGTAAATTTCCAACACGTCTTGCTAATTAATCAGTTCAATATTTAGATGCATAGAGTATTTTCTTTTAGATGTGTCTCTCTAAACATGATAAAATTTTGAAATTTAGAGCAGAGCATGGTTAATGGATGTTTTTAGACAACAAAAACAAAAATTCACAATGACTCTTAACATATTTAGGTCTAATTCATACATCCTCATTCACAGCCCCTTGTAACAGGTGGTGGTATGGAACTATGTGTCAAGCACAGTGAAAGTTCAATCTCTTCAGGCTTTGAGATATTCCAGTCAATGAAACAATGGTCATGTCTGCATGTAATTCAGCCACAGCTTTATATGAACATACTGACTCCTGGGGAGGAGACCACAGCTGATTTGCTCCTGGTCTTCCTAGCTCTGTGCGGCTTAGCATGTTGTCCAAACATAGGATCATAATCTTACCATGATGTGTAAACCAAGCTGGTAATTCACAGCCGACACACAAAGCAGACACATATATCCAACTAAGTATAATTTTGCAAATCTCACAGAATCCCCAAATGTTATTTCAGATACAAGATTGTGGCTTTCAGCTTCTTTAGAAATGGTTTCACTTCAAAACATGGCTTTTAAAATTTGCAAGGTGGGTCATACAATGATAATAAGCAAGAAAATCGCTTCAGGTGGTATTTGCAGAGAGCAGTGAACTGGTGCCCCCAAGCCCCTGTTCACTCGCCATACTGTCCTCAGTCACCCCAGCTGCTGCCAGCACCCATCCACTCACTCACTCACTCACTCACTCACTCACTCACTCAGCAAGGCTCTCTGCTGCTCCGCCCTCATCACAGAGGAAGGGCCAAGGCAGGCCCTTTCTAAGGATAAGGTATTCTGACTGAGGTGGCCAGAAAAATGCCTGTACTGTTGTTTTGCTGCGGCAGCTTAAAATGTTGTTTAAACTTAGTAACTAGTTCAATGTTGCTTTAAATTAGTACAGTAAGGAAGGAGAGCAAACCAAAAGAGATTCAGATCCCTCTGTGGAAGATACACATCTAAGGGAGGATATTTACCTGTGTTCCTTTATCTCTAGAAGGAACATCTCAACTGTTTCACGCCAAAATGCTAGCTTTATACAACTAGAAAGAAAAGCTATTAAGTTTATATATATAACATTGGCAGGGAAGAAGGGACTGGAATGTCTGAGTCTGCACAGCACTGTGTTGCTTCATTTCAGACCCACCAATTAAGAGATAATATTTGGAATAGACTGTATAAACAGTAAAAAAAAGGGGGGGATAATTTTAACTGCAATTAAAACTTTAGTTGAATAACAAACTGATTAAATTGATTCAGGCAACACTTAAAAAACTCTCATTACCAATGCTCAAAAGAAAAGGGTGTTTAAATTTAGTACTACTTAATTAGTTAAAATGAGCAGGAAGTGTAATAAAATCAAGCAGGTGTCTAGCTCCTATTGACTTTATTTGTATTCAGCATTCTGGTACATGTCATTTATTTCAATGTTAGGTTTAGTTTATAATTCTTAGCTTTTAATTCCTACACCATTTAATTAAAGTTTTTTTTATTTTGTTTTTTAGCTAAGGGCTCAGGTCAGCTTTCCAATTCTAGCTGATGTGGAAGGAAAGGGATACGATCAACTTATTTTTCACAATCTAAAACAGTTATGCATACATTAGCCAAATGTTCTGTAGTTAATTAAAGCAAACTGGGTCGCTGTGGCAAGCATGCTCTTTAAAGTTACATTATGTCACTGGAAAATATAACTGTGTGGAATAAAATGTTGCCTAATCCCATCTATTTCACATATTAGAGAGTGCAAGATAGGTTACAAAACAGGAAAATTACTTCCAGCTTCTCATATGTCTTTTGTATAGAAAAAGACCAGCAATTTCAGATGGGCTTCTTGCTAGACCTCATGTTTAAGAAAAGCAAAATAAGGTTTAGGCCAAGCACTGCCCCCCAAAAAAATAACATTTTAAAGTCAATGATTTAAAAATAGCATCTCAGGCTTATCATCTCAACAACCACCACATGTTTAGTAAAATCTGTAATGATAACACTGAAACTTATTCAGTCATAACAACTGAGGATGGATGAGAAATAATCATAGATGAAAGAGTGAAGATTGGTCTCAGAAAGCCATTCCTCTCTCCATTTCCATTCCCACACATTTCCTTTAAACTGCAAAGGGGCAGTCACTCTGAGTTTAAAGGAACCTTGTAGGGTAGGGGATGTAAAAGCATGTTCAGTGGATGCAGGGCCCCATGGTGCTTTATATATATATATTATTCACTTATCTTCTTGGCTGGGTTATTCTAAATGCAGACAGGAAGTATAACATTTCATGTGGCTGTCTAGTCAGGCAAGGGAAGATGCTTTCATAGGCAACTTTTTGAAATAAGTCTCTTAACAAGAAAAATGAATTATTCCTTCTTAGACATGAAAAAATACTTGCATGACTTATTAAGGATAAACAGCTCACAATGCAGACAATAAATTAACTTTCACTATCTGCTTTGCCAAATAATATGAAGATCTGAGAACGCATGTGACACCACTAGCCTAGGAAGACAGGCAGCTGCACTGTAACAAGTTTGACCACCCCCTCCATCTTGCTCAGTATTGCTGACTGTAGTCAAGATGGACAGGCTGTTGCTATGTGTTTCCCAGAAAGAAACACAATGTATTCAGGACCATACATGGAAGTTACATGTGGTATGGGCTGAATGCTCAAGAGCTTTCTTAACACTGCCAATAAGAATTAGAAGCCAGGATTACTCAAACTGACTTCCGAAAAATACAGATCCGTTACCAGTAGCCAGCTGTTCTGTGTTTGCCACATTTACAAGCAGGTAAGCTCTCCCAGGTGATGACATCAATGCAATGGTCCTATATGTAACTAGAACAGAAGCTTCATTGTCAGCAGCATGTATTGGAACTGATTTTGACAGTGCAGAGTGTCTCTGAACACTGACTAGTCCAAGAACTCTGTTCTTAATGTCAATGAACTTTGTGTTATAAAAGCAATAAGGAATACCATTCTTTGACCCCCCCCCCAAAGGCAGAGGGCTTCCACAAACACATGCTGATAGCCCTAATTGTATGTATCAAAAGGCAGAGCCAAGCAGTATTAGTCACGTACAAAGGGGAGGGACATAGCCCTACACGAATTCATCATCGCTTGGATAAAACATTCCATGCAGCCCCACTTCTCAAGTTTACGTGTGCTGTTGTGGCAGGTCAATCCCATTCAAGATTCTATGGAATGAAACACCGGGATATTTGCTTATACTAAAGAAGTGACTGGAATGAAGTCGAACATTGGTGGTTAAATACCCAAGATCTATTTGCTCAATATGCTAACAAATACTTAACGTGGAATCTTTCCATGAAGTAACTACTCCAAAAGGCCTAATTATAAAGTTATTCTATGCTTAAGAATTGCCACATATTAAAAGCTACAGTAAATCAAGCAAAGCATTGCCATTAACTAACTGGCTTAGCACCTTGGAAGGGAAATGGAGAGAGGAAAGAAGCTTGTTGGGGAACATAAGAATGGCGACGAAGAAACTGTGTATATTATGGTTCTCCACCACAGGAATGTATCTTGGACACTTGCAGCTACTGGTTAGTGAGCTTAATCGTGAGTCCCAGTTTGGACCGGCATGTCAGCAAAAAGGACCAGAAAGGAGCAAAGCAGCTGGAAATTCTTCTACTGGAGCCCACGTATTCAGAGTTTCACTAAGGCATAGTTTGGATTACACACAAACCAGCCCTCTGCCTTTCAAGGGCTGCTATCTCAGTTTCCCCTCACAACCCTTTTCTGAATATAAAAATTAAAACTCTTTGTTAGAATTGCCTCAAAGTTTTGGAAGCTCTTCCACGTGATGTATATCCACCAATCATACCTTGTACTGCTATCATGATCTCTTTCACTCTTCGGTACTGACTTAGCAATACAGTTAACTCTTCTATTCGGCGGTCCTGAAAAGGAAGCGAAGAGAAGGAAAACAGACAGATTTGAATGGTGTGAGGATTTCAATATACAGGAATCTACATATATTGGGAATAAGGTGAGGCCCATGAGACCTTTCCTAGTCTCTGCAGCCCTGAGACTTGTTGCTGTATGATGATTCGCTCACAAGAAAAGAGAAAGAAAGCTGAACCTGGAATCTGTCCATGGGGCACCTGTTACCTGTCCCTCTTATCACATACTTCTACTGTAGTTACACAGAAGTGTGGACCTTGAGGTCCCCGAATGCTCTTTGTGCTGGCAGGTAAGAAGAAAAGAGGTGAAGGAGGTCATCAAATCCTCCTCCATGTCTGTACCTGGCAGCCTTACAGACCTTGAGGCTAGTGGGTTTCCTCAGGATTGGGAACAATCCTCAGGACTGTTGTCACAGAGTGAGAGTCTATTGACGCACACAGGGGCTAGTGTGAGACAGAGCGGGAATGAGTGGAATGCTATGAGTGAAAAATGGGGTGGGAACTGTTGCAAAGACCATTCACTGGTTGCTTAATCTGTTTCTCTTATGGGTTTCTTTGGGGGGAAATATTATTTGTTGTTATTGTAGTCTTGCTTTCACATTATGACGAAGCAGTTAATTTGTTGTTTATTGGACGCCTTTATATGATTTTGTGATTGTTTATATATTGCGGTTTTTCTCCGTTTCCTTTTATTTCTTTGTCCCTGTTCTTGGAATGAAAATTTCAATGTACAGTGGGCTAAAAATAGTGCAAATAAATAAATGCTTTTATCATATTTAGCTTGTTACATGTTGCAGGCATACCCTTGCCTCATTTTGTCGAAATCATGCTGATGTCAATCATATCGGGGATGGGGGCACATGGCCCCACACACCTCCACTCTGCGCTTTAGGAAATATTATCAGCAAGGACAGCCTGCCTGTATATTGGCACCCTGTTAATGGAGTCCAGCAATCATTTTTCTCCCCAGTCATGAGACACCACCTGCTTGAGGTCGTTTCCAGTGATGGAAAGTTGAGAGGGGTCAAGGCTATCTTATGATTAAATTCTCCCCATGGCACTTCCTTCATGAAAATAGGTGTGACAAGAAAGTGTGAGTCATAGGAAAGTTCAGGGCACCAAGGCCTACAGTTTAAACTAGTTACAGCTTTCTGAAATGGTCAGACACGATATGAAGGGCAATTTACCTACTGCTGGGTATTGAATAAAACACCTCTTACAATCCAGTGCCTTCCCCAGTAAAAGCGCCAGGAATAATTCCATGGAAGGGGACTAAAAGAATACTTGTAACATTGCTATTTCCATTGTTTATTTTTTAATGTATCAATATAATTTTAGATTTTAAAATCAAAACTACTATCATCTTTGGGGAAAAGGAATGGCATGCAAGCAACAATGGGGAGCCCTGGTGCTGCTGGTTGAGTAAGGCGTCCCTATTTGCAGTTCTGGCCCCTAGTGTATGATCTGTTCTCATGACCATCAATCAAAGGGTTCGTGCTGTGATGTTATTATTATCTGTATTTGAAATAGATCATTTTATGTACAGGGAACAACCAATAATTTATGCGCATCAAATTGACACGTGACTGCGTACCTGCACATGGAGCCGAACCTGAAAGGGACTTTAAAAATGGTAAAAGCGTCCCTAAAAGAGCCCAGAAAGGGCAAAAAGGCACACAAACAGTGCCTAGCAATCCCACAAGCATTTGCAAGTGCAATCCCAGGAGACCCTGCGCCAATCGTTGAGGCCTGTGGAGAGTTTGATCAAGGAGATTTGGAGGGAGCAATTGTGGTGGAGTTTGGCAAGTGCTGTTGGTTTTTTAAAGGGGTTTCCAAGGGTTTAGAGGGTGTTTGCAGGCATTTCCAATGGTGTTTCAAATGTGTGCAATTTCACTTAATTCACGGTGCCTTGGAACGTAACTCTCACGTAAATGGGGAGTTGCCCATATATATGTATTTATAAACGATGATCTTCTCAGGTTTTAGTTTTTTCCTGCCCCTCCCCATTTTTATCTGTAAGCTGCTTTGAGCCCTAGCCTGGGAAAAGGAGGCATATACAACGAACAACAAACAACAACAACACTTAACGGTTGCACTTTTCTTACCTTTTCTTGATTTGCAGCCAATAATGATTCCATTCCTACTTTCAAACATTGGACCTCTTGATCTAAAAGAAATGTTTCAGAAGGAAATAAAGGAGGTGAAAATACACATACATTGGTACCTGCCATTATAGTATACAAAATGGTAATGCTATATCAGATGTGCAATCGTAACAATACTTTCGGCAATCTTCTCAAAGCAAAACAAAAAACTGTGCCAGTGCCTTACATCTCTGTGCCTCTGTTTAAATTATGCGATGTGGTAGCTCTTGTCACCACAGGGCAAGCACAAGCACTTTCTGCTGGTTCTACGTGACACGTTTTTATCAGGTGAGATCTTTCTACATCACTGCAGAAGTCTCTTGGAATGAAATAAAAACAACCTCCCTGAATAAATGCATTTAGAATGTTATGTGCCACCCTTCAGTTCCACTCATTTCCAGGGTGCCTACAAAACAAACAAACAAAAACCAGTAACATTCACAGATCGACAATGGGCTGGATGCAGAGATGCGAGAGCTGAAATTTGTGCAAGCTGCCAGTTTCTTTTGCCAGTTCCACCCTCCCACTGCATCACAAACTAGGTCTTTCCTGAGGTCCCCTACTTGATGCTCAGGTATGGCATGTTCAAGGAAAACAGGTGTGACACACTACATTAAGGAAGTTACATAATGTTTTAATTTCCTGACGGCTAAAATTATGGATTCTTCGTGGCCTCCAACTAAACTATGGCTTATCATGAACAAGGAGTGCTCTAGTGCAGTGTTTCCCAACCTTGGGCCTCCAGCTGTTTTTGGACTACAACTCCCATCATCCCTAGCTAGCAAGACCAGTGGTCAGGGATGATGGGAATTGTAGTTCAAAAACAGCTGGAGGCCCAAGGTTGGGAAACACTGCTCTAGTGAATGCTGCTGAAATTGCTCCTGACACACTCTTTCCATATCATGAGCGGGAGCAACAAACCTTTGGTTACTGTCGTGTTCTAACCAGTGCTCATGGTTTGTTTCTCTTCCAACAAACCATGATTTTAAGTGCTAGGGAAGGGGCACAGTGGAAATGACTCACTGTTCGTTGAGGCACGCAATGGGTTATGGCATAACGTGCTATCTGAATACAGCCACTAAACAGAATTGCCATTTTTAAAGTTTTTGTGATTGAAACGTTTAATGCTTTAATGCCCAGCATCTTCAAGCACTTGCTGATATTCAGGCACACAAAAAAATCTATGGAGTGCAAAAACTGTTGTTTTATAAACACTTCTAGCAAAATAAGAAGCACTACAACTAGCTAGATGGCTGGTTTCAAAGCCAAAGTAATTACCCTCTGACAGAAAACAAAGTGTTCTGCACATATCTCATTCTTTAAAATAAAACCGTGGACCTTTCAAAAATAGTAAATTGCATAAGGTATTGGATGCAGAGGCTTGAAAACTATTGATTGGTAGAATACAGATTTTGTTGCCACTTGCATTCCTCTATCTTCATTGTATGGCGAAGGAAACCAGCGGTGGGGGAACTTTTTGGACCAAAGATGTGCAGAGGGTGGGCAAAAGGCAGCAAGAGACTCTCACCTTTGTACAACAGGCTGCGTTCCAGTCACTCAAAAGCCAGGGGCTTACACACACACACACACACACACACACACTCATTCACACACTTCTCCAATTAGGCAAGCGGGAGGCATCATCACAGTTCAAGCATACATTCCAGCCACACAAAAGCACTGGAGGGCAGGATTAGTGAGAGTCTCCAGGGCCAGTTACAGGAACCTGGAAGACCACATCTGGCCTCTAGGCCTCAAGTTCCACACCCCTGTACCAAGTAGTGCAAAAGAAATCCTAGTCCGTGCTAAAGCCATTTACCAAACAGCAGCAGATGCTTTTTAATTAGGGGCTCACTTTCTAACTGCCTTATACCCTGCTATCATCAACAGGCAAAATTTAAGTTTTGGTTATCAGCTTTCAAGCCTTCATATGGGAGTCACTGTCTTTCTTTCTCCAATAAGAATATATACCTTGTGAATAGGTTGTACCCTTCAAAGAGAAAAACTTCTGGGAAGAAGTTGAAGTTTTGTACGCGTTCATTAGATCATTTTTTGTTCGCTGCAGACATGGAAGTAACTTTAGAGCTAACAGTCTTTGGCTTGGGATGAAGATACAGCTGACTGAGAATGCAGGGACTGATTTGACTACAGCAGTTGTCCTAGCAACACACATTCCTAGGTGTTCTAAACAAAACTATCCCAAATCTTAGGCATTTTTTAAATAGTGACATTTCAAAACAATAATTTGCAAAGATGGCAATGTGACACACAAGGAAAAGAAGAATAGTGTTGCAAAAATATTAGTACAGGGAGGGGGAGAATTAGTATTCAGTAGTTTTTTTTAAAAAAAATAAAGTTTAGATTATCACAGCTGTACTGCAAATCTAGTGATGGGAGTGATCCAATTAGTGGGTTATGTGTTTTAATCATATTTTAGCAGGCAGTGGCATTTCCACATAGATGTGGCATGGACAGACACAGTTTTTGCTTTTCTTAAAGCCACACTTAACGACAAGCAAGGCACAAGCACCCAGTCAGATTTAAAGGAGGAAAAAAGACTTTTAAAAGAGCTATGTCAAGGTTTTCACACTTTTATGAAGACTTCTTCAAAAAGAAGGTATATCTACAATTAAGATGGAAATATTTAAAATGCTAGCTCTTGAAGGTTTGGAAGAAAACCCCCCTTTCCAAAAAGGGTGGGGGGTAAAAGCTGTGCATGAGCAATGCATCTTTTGTGGTTTAAATATACAAATGTCTATTCTGGAGTCCACCAACTTTGACAGAGCCTCTTTAATGCCCATTTTCTGTTCACTTACGCAACATTGGAGATTTTGTGTGAGATAATAAATCTGACTGTATTAAAGCCATTCTGTCTGCTGTAAGCATGAGATATTCACCCCGCATGTTACGATTCAGCAGTCAACTACAGAGCCAACATTGAATGATTATTGCTGCAGAAGTGCACTTTAGGTATAATTTGTGTGTGAAAAGTAATAAAGCGAAATCTTAGGGCTTACGTTTTTCTTTTAGCCTTCGCCTATACACTTCCTCTACGGTGGGAAATGAAGAGTGTCAAATAAGGTATGCAGAAAGAACACAGATTAGAGACTGTATGCAATTTCATCAGAATAGGCATTCAGAAATAAAAGATACAATTTGAGATGACCGCTGATCTCTATCAGTGTTCAAACGTTGACAAGGAGGGTGACAAAGCTTTGTTGTTAAGAAATGCAACAAACTCCATTTTTGGCTTATTAAGAGTAAACATCTTCGAATGTATGATCACTCAACACTATCAGGTTTAATGGGGCTTATAAATACTACTGAGGATTTAGAATGGCAACCCAAGGCATCTCAAATATTTGAACCTTCCTCCTTTTGGAATCAATAGACTTCAGCAGGAAACAAGCTTGCTAACATTCCCCAGTTACTGTTAGAGAAATAGTAACACATGCAAACCCTATTATACCAAACATGCATAGACACTACAAACAATGGAAACCAATACCAAAGCTCAGGGCTATATAAACAAACAACATAATATCTAATGTGTGTCAATACATCATGGAATGGATTTCACCTAAAAAGAGTTATTTACCTTTCTCAAAGTAACAAATGGATTGATTTCGACTAGAGAGAGCCAGCCATTCATACATGAAATGGTAGGCTGAAGGATTATCATACTGGATTGTCAAAGCTCAGTCATCACTTTGGTAAGAGATAGCCTTAATAAATGCTGCACATTGCAAATAGCTGTTCATATTTGACCAGTATACCCTGCTACATATTAACCTTCAGAGCTGAAATTCATAGCACTGCATAGAATTTCCCTATGAAGTCCTGACATCGATAGAATAGCAAGGGGAAGGGGAACAGTAAAAAGATAGAGAGAAAGGTAAGATTTATTCTCTGTTTTTTATTATTAAAAAAAAGAAAACAGACTCCATATGTTTGACATTAGAGCCACTCTTGGACTTCTACCTGGGTGACCTAGGCTAAAAAGCTTGTCACTCCTCCAGTAAAATGGGTTATGTGGATTAAAGTACTTATTGTATACAGCGCTGTATGCTTAAATGTACTATATAACAGATAATAGTAAGATTAGGATACAGGGATAAAACTGCTGTGTCAATTTAGGAATGCTTTAAAAGAAACTTTCATAAAAAGAGCAATCACATTTTGGATAAGTGAGGGGAAAAAATAGGCCACAAACAGAGGATTACAAAACAATCTCTTTGGCACCTACACTTCCTGGAAAATATTCCCCCCTAAATGTAATAAGCCATACCCCATTCTCCATTTGAGAATGGACAACAGTAACAGAACTGAAGACAAAACATTTTGATAGCAACTTTGCTATTCCCCCATCATTACCTCTTTCTGCAATTTCATTATTTCCCGATGTCCTCGAGATTTGACTCTGTAATCGTTCAATCTCCGAGTCTTTTAGAGCTAACTGTTCCTGAAGCTGTGCAATTTCAGCCTGAAAGAACAGATTAACATTAGCTTTCTTTTTATCTCTATCTCATCCAAAAAAATTAAATTACAAAGAACCACTACAGATTATTTTCTCTAATGCATGTTAGAAACACAAAAACTTCAGACAAAGCATTTTTATGCTGTTATTATTTTTTGCACACTGACCCAAATCTTCTCTTGCCCTTTGCTCCTTGACACTCACAACTTTTATTGCCAGCCAACGCAGAAACATAGCAAAAGGATGGATGTAAGTATATTCCCTTTGGGGAGGTGAGAAAACTTGTCTGGGACCACATGACATTTTAAAGGAATTACAGGCCTCTTTTGAGTTTACACTGCACGACAAACTTGGGTTGTTTCTGCATAATATGTGAAATGGTTGTGTGGCTTACTTTGGTTGCTTTCAGTTTCCATTCATACTGGGTTCTTTCATTTTCCAGCTCTTCAACCTTAATTTTTAGGTGTTTTAGTTCCTGTAATAAGTTCTGCAGAGGGGGAGGGGAGAGAGAAAACACATTTACTCGTGAGACCGGACTCGTGGGTGAAATTGTCAAGTGACTGCACCCATCTCAATAAAATAAAATTACCCCAGGCCTGACTGCTGATAGAGAGCAGTCTTGAATTGGTAGTCTGTTAAAATGAACTCTCTTTTACTAATAACCCCAGACAGCTGTCAAGGAAAGAACAATCTTGAAGAGTCTAACTAATCACAGTGATTTGAAGCCATGGTTTTAACTGGCTTTGCAAACCAAAGTTTTGAAGGCATGTTTCATCAGCATCAACTGCAGAACATGTAGCCAGCATGATGCCAAAGAACCACATAGCCAATCAGATTTGCCTATGTGATAAAGAGAGTCAGGGACACTAGCTTATGGGGGTTGAGCTGTTTTGGGCCCCCTATATCCTTTGGGAGTCTCCTCCCCAATGCTGAGGGGACGGAGGAGGCTAAGCTTCATTGGCCAGCATCTCCTCCTGCCATGGAAGGAGGCTGAGCACGAGAGAGGAGGCGCCGCCAGCCATTGAAGCTGTGCTGCACACTCAGCCTCCTCCCGACAAGGTGACGTCATGAACATGATGTTACATGCATGCAACGCCAGGCCCCCTTCATCTTTGGTGCAAGTTGGTGCCTTTGAATAGAATCAAAAGCTTCATGCTTTGCTGCTGCTTTTTTTAAACTCTCTTTTTTTAACTGTCTCATTTCAATGCTCTGTCTCTGAGACACCACTGACAATTTTTATGTCATCTGAGGAACTGCTTTAAATCTGGCATACAAGTTCGAATCAGTGAGTGGTACACACACACAATTCTCCAGAGCAGCTGACTCTGCTAGTTAATGGATGAACCACACAAGTGATTTTTATATCCTTCCCTTTCTGAATAGGACTTCAACGCAGTTCAGAAACTAGATTTCCGACTGCTCGAACTGTTCAGAACTATTTTCTTAACAGCACTTTTCTCAGGAACCACAATCACATCATGTTCTTTTGTGTTTATATGTGCTTGCAGATGAAATCTTTTGGGTCTCTCTCTTCCAGACTGGCTATTATTATTTATTAAATCTGTATACCACCCTTCATTCAAAGATTACATGGTGGTTCACAACATAGGATGTGTTCTGCTGTCATTGTTGGGCAACCAATATCTGGAACACACTTAAAGGAAGGTAATGGCACAGTAGAGAAAGCCACCACAATTTTCTTTTTTAAAAAAAATCAAACATGAACTGATTAAAAACGCATTACTGTATCTCCAAAATGTGATTCTACAAAATTCAGAAGACAACACGGCAACATGAACAAACCAAGCTGCTAGTAAGTCTTTAAATGAGCTTATGTTAGGCATACCACTGTCATTCCTCTTCTGTTCAACTTCATCAGCTTAACCAAAGTAGCTTTCAGCCTGACATGTGAAGTGGTTTCTGATCAAACACAGCAAAGGTTTGTTCTATAAATTCCAGAAAGCCTTCACTGAAGTGCTTGTTATGCAGGATAAGCAATCAAAATTTATGGGGTTTAAACAAAGAAACACACGACAGAGCATTCACCATGCCTCTCCCCCTTCATTTGATCCTCTTAGAATGCACACAATAAGCAAAAATCATATGCCTATGATTTTAAGACACTCCAAAGCTCATTTTCCTAAATGAAAGCCTGCAGCCAAAAATATACATTGTCCTGAGGGAAGGGGGTGTTGTTTGTTTGTTTTTAATAGGGTATTAATATAAAACAGGAAAGTTCTAAATGCAAGTTGTCTATTAAATATATTAAATAACTTATTCCAATTAAAAAAACACCACTAATTGCTAAACATAACAATCCTTTATTGCCCTTGGGTGCTGTAGAAAATCAGGTTTACTATATTGAGCAGTTATGTGGAACACTTTCTGAATTCTTTCCCCTTATAGCCACCCAAAATGGCTGCATATAAATTTATGACGATGATGATTTCATGAGGCAAGAGTGCTAACTTCTTGAAATGAAGAGACCTAGACTACCCCTCTCTCCCTGAGAGGTCCCTGGGTTTATCCTTACATGTCTTTTCATGATCCTCAGTTTAGCAATAATCACATGTAAATCAGTACATACTCAATTTGACTCCCCCCCCCTCCTATGCTGAAAGTGTATCCTTTTTGGGCATTAGCAAACCTTCCACGTATGTCATATGTGAGAGACAAAGAACAACAAAGAATAACCATGTAACCCACAATCAAGGTGCCTACCTGCATTTATTCAACCAGACCATTACCAAAGCATCCCATAATAGATACAAAAGACTGTTGAACACCATGATAAGTATCTTGTATGTTAGGCCAACTTAGCTGCAGCACAATTTAAGCAGCCCTCCTAATTTCACATGGAGCAACTCCTGAGAAAATCATTCCAAACAGGAGACAAAACTGATTTACAACTGGGAGATAAAGCACATGTTTACTTGGTCTGGATGAAAGCATGCTGGGCCAAGACAAGCAAAAATTTCCTGTTGGTTTCTTAAACACAGCACTCTGTCTAGTGAAAGCTACGCAAACTAATGCCAATTGGTCACAGCAAGCTCCAGTTAGTAGTTTAGTTTGGTCTCTGAAAGGGGGCAATGCACAAATTCAGGCCAAAATTTACTTCTCGTACATCACACTGAATGCAATTCTTCCAAACAGGGACCTCTGTCACCGAGTCAATGCTATCTTGAGGACCGACTGCTGCCATATTTGGCTTCCTACTGTGGGATTTTCTTTCCTGGATTTTACTATTAATGTCCAGCTGCAGTCTACACATTTGTTCTTGTAGTTCACTGATCAGGTTCACTACTGACTACACAAGAGGAAGAGAGAAAATTAAGACCGAAGGAAACATGGAATGAAGTCGAAACAAACAAACAAACAAATGACTGAGCACCTATGCGATAAGAAGAGTGAGTTTGAGTGGTCACAACAATATGGTAAATGAGGTACATGGTAAAGTGTATGGTAAATGAGGTACATGGTAAAGTGTGTGTGTGTGTGTGTGTGTGTGTGTGTGTGCGCGCGCACACACACACACACACACACACACTTTGTTTGCTCCCAGTCATATTTGGAAAAACTGCTTAGCCAGAGTATTCACCAGACTTCTAGCACCTGTGGCACACTTTTTTTCAGAGGTAAAATTAGGGAGTCCACTCTTGCATCCAAAGATGTCTAGAGTGGAATGAACTTTCTCACTGAAGACCACTTCGTGTTTATCTGTAAGGTGCTATTATGTGCATGTCGCCTCACTGGAACAAGGTTACCCAGAGCAGTGACTCATCAGAGACACCAGCCTCCATGGAGGGTGGGTAATTTTCTGCATCAGGAATAACTGGATTGTTCAACAAAGAGAGATGGCAGTTCACCTCGCCAGCCTTGGCAAAGACTGACCAGAAAGCAAAATTACCAGAGCAGTAAAGCTTGCAGAAACGAGCTTGGGATCTGTGCTGCGTGGAAAGCAACTTGGAAATAGTTGGTAGAGGGTGAAGGAAGTGCACAGCATTACCCTCCCATGCACCATGTCATGGCTGGAAACTAGACCCTCGTGGCCAGATTTTAAATATCAACTTAGAAGACGGAGCATGTAGGTCTGTTCTCAGTGTCATGAATTCAAATGGCAACCAAGCAAGGCTCACCTCAGCTTTGTTCTGCTTCTCTTCATATTCGCTTTGTTCCTTCTCCATCCCAACCAGCTTAATCTTCAGATCCGAAACTTCTGCCATTAGGTCCAATTTCTGAGTTTCCAGCAATGTTCGACTTAGCAGCTCCTGCAAAAATAGGAGTGTATGTCTGTGATATTTTTATTCACTCAATTCCGTGGCTGACAGAAAAAGTACTTCCTTCTCCAAATTGAACAATTTACAGGCAACACTTAACTGAATATAAATATTACATTAAGAGCCACACAGGCATTTTTAAAATGTTTTTGTTTATGGAAACATTTTACCCAAGTGTTCACTACTATTAAGTAAAGCAACCCTTCATAATTGTTTTTAGACCTGGGACAAAATAAAGACACCACAAGGCAAGGGATTTTCAAGTTTACTTGAGAATACCGAACAGGGGTCTTTTGCTGAGGCAGTGGAACAAATTCATTACACAGCAATTGTTAGTACTGAGTGTGTTTTGAAAGCTTAGCAATGAATTTTGCAGCTCTGCTTCTTAAACGTTAGCGTATTGTTTCATATACATGTTACACACAATTGTGTATATGTATTCCCTGCTTTATTTTTAAAAACCTGAAGTTGTCATAGGATGCTGAAATATGGAGGAAGCATCAGAAGGAGAGGTGCTTAACCCTTTCCCTCTGCTTAAGCCTCACCCCCTGTCCCCGCTTTTCCACGCGCAGGAGAAGACCTACTTGTATTCATATTGTTTCCTACTTGTGGTTGTGAAAAGAGATTTTGGAGGGAAGATTTTTAAGTGGCAAAATGGATAAGGCTGAAGGGTTAAGCAGTCTCACCTTCCTGCCCATGGTCATATCCGACATATTTCAGAGGCAGGATATGTATGGAATCCTACATATCAGACCTTGCTTTTAATTTTGTTTTTGAAACATCATGCTGTGGGGTGGATTCAAATGACATATCACAACATGATTGCTACAGATAATAGGCTGTAGCGCTTTGTGCAATTAGAATTACTTCTCCCCCAGCACACCCCCTAAATCTGTTCTGGGGTTTCCCCCAATACTCCAGAGCAGATTTTGGAGTGATGCGGGGCATGCATAAAGGAGGCAGGCAGGAAGTCCCCTTGCTCAAGTTGTTCTGCTCATGCAGTTTTCTAGTTCAGTGCTGCCCAATATAACTCTGTGCTCCTATGTATTTCGGTAAATTTGCTCGTTCCTGGGCCAGCTCTACTGGACAGAAAGTCATCTGGCACAGCCAAGTCAGGCTTGCATTGGAATGTGCATTGGGCTTGTGCTAAATGTGTGTTCCAGAAGAGTTTATTTCCCAAACACAGGAAAGTAGTTTGCAGGCATATACAGAGTAGTGTTTGGTCCAGACTTTTAAAATCTTTTTTTGTTTTGTTTTTTGGAGCAGGGTGGGGCAAACCCACCAACCTAGAATACTGGATTAAACTTTGGAGAGGAGGAGATCACAGAACTTGCAAAGGGTGGCGTGGCCTCAACTTTGAAGATGAGGTGGCTGAGGGTTTTCTCCCACACAAAATAAGAACTCTTGTTGCTTTAAGTGGTGGTTAGGCTGCCCTCAACAGCTTGGGAGTGCTCCCTATAAAACTGAAACAGAACTTTGTCATCTCTAATGCTTTATGTGCCTCAGGTTCCTAGCATACCAAACCCCCTTCAGTGGGGCAGGGTGTCCTCTGACTGTGTAGGCAGATCATAGCCATCACAGCAAGTTGTAATGGATAGCCTTATCTTTCATGAATTCATTCAATCCTCCCCTAAAGCCATCCAAGTTGGTGGCCATCATTGCCTCCTCTGGGAACGACTTCCATAATTTAACTATGTGCCAAGGGAAAAAAGTGCTACCCCCTGTTGCCATCTCCAACATTGGCGTTCTGGGGTTTCCGGAGCAGCTCTATTGGACAGAAAGTCTCCAGGCTTGCAGTGAGAAACAATTTACCCGGCACTCTTGAACAAAATTCTCCAAGTCATTAGTATTCCAGAAGCACGCAGTTCCTGAACACAGAAAAGTAGCTTGTGGATATGTATAGAGCAGTGCTATATTAGTGAAGGAGAAGATTCCATATAGCCATGGCAGCTGATAGCTAAAGAGGCATCTGGTCCATGAATTTGTCCAATCCTGTTTTAAACTCTCACCCCCAAAATACCTCCCCTCTTAATCCCCAATTTATAAATACTGCTTGTGTGGTGTGTACAGTGCACAAGCTGAAAGCTACTCTCCCCTAACTGCTATTTCACATTATCCAGGACTAAGTCTTGGCACTGAAAACAGGATCTGGAGCTAACTGTTGAGAGTCTTGTCCCAATTTAAGTACAGTGGTGCCTCGCAAGACGAAATTAATTCGTTCCGCAAGTCTCTTCGTCTTGCGGTTTTTTCGTCTTGCGATGCACGGTTTCCCATAGGAATGCATTGAAAATCAATTAATGCGTTCCTAGGGAAACCGCCTTCAGACCAGGTCCGGGGACAGACTGTCCCCGGACCTCTTCTGAAGGCTGGGGGGGGGGGGACAAGGGCTTTTCTTCCCACCCCCAGCATTTTAAAAAACCCTGGGACAGCGGAGGACTTCTCCGCTGTCCGGGCGATCTTAAAATGCTGGCGGGCGGCATTTTAAAATCGCCCCGGGACAGCGGAGGACTTCTCCGCTGTCCGGGGCGATTTAAAAGCGCCTGGGAAGGCAGGCAGGGGGGACAAAGACTTTCGCCCCCCGCCCACCTTCAGAAGGTGTTCCCGCCCCCCCCGGCTTCGCAGCAGCGCTACGAAGCCCGGCGGCTGGGGCAGGTGTTCCCGCCCCCCCCCACTTCGGAGCAGCGTTCCGAAGCGGGGTGGCTGGGGCAGGTGTTCCCGCCCCCCCACCCCGCTTCGGAGCAGCGTTCTGAAGCGGGGTGGCTGGGGCAGGTGTTCCCGCCCCCCGCCCGGCTTCGCAGCAGCGTTCCGAAGCGGGGTGGCTGGGGCAGGTGTTCCCGCCCCCCGCCCGGCTTCGCAGCAGCGCTACGAAGCCCGGCAGCTGGGGCAGGTGTTCCCGCCCCCCCACCCCGCTTCGGAGCAGCGCTACGAAGCCCGGCGGCTGGGGCAGGTGTTCCCGCCCCCCCGCCCGGCTTCGCAGCAGCGCTACGAAGCCCGGCGGGTGGGGCAGGTGTTCCCGCCCCCCCACCCCGCTTCGGAGCACCGGGAGAAGCGATCTCCCCGCAGCCCCTTGCTTCAAAAGAGGTCCGGGGGTAGACCTCTTTTGAAGCAAGGGGCGGTGGGGAGAAGCGATCTCCCCGCCGCCCCTTGCTTCAAAAGAGAAGACCCGCTGTCCCCGGGGCAAGCTTCGTTTTGCGAAGCAAGCCCATAGGGAAATTCGTCTTGCGAGGCAACTCGAAAACGAAAAAACCTTTCGTTTTGCGAGTTTTTCGTCTCGCGAGGCGTTCGTCTTGCGGGGTACCACTGTATTTCTGAAGCCGGCATTAAAATGCAAATAGGGTCAGCTAGAAAGCAAGAGCTCTAATCTTGAATTCAACACAGATGGATTTCGGTGTTATGCCACAAACAGTAAAGACAAACTTTGGATCTGGCTAGCAGTTATAAAAGGAAGCAAGCAGAGATCACCATCCAGAGCGTTAGAAAGACATGTCGAACTAGCACAAAAGTAAGAGATGCAAAATAGTTGGTGAACACATCTGTGGAATATAACACAGAAATGTGTGAATAGGACTTACATACAACCCTTACTTAAAGTGACAATGCATGACACCCTTGCAACTTCCCTAACTTTTAGTTTTTAGAAAAGCAAACGCCGATGTTATACTTCAGTGGTGCTGCTTTAATTTTAGCCAGATGAGACTTGTGGTCCAGAAAGTCTACTGAACTAAAAATTATCTGAAGCACAGCTTGAATAAAATGCCACAGTGCAGTTGCTAACATGTGGAAGTCATTATTTCCATCTTCAAGCAGATGCTTATGTTGAGCAGTTCATTAGTGGAATATGACCCACTTTGTTATGGGGAAATTACAGAGTATTCCAGCGGTATGATGCAATTGGAAGGCAACTTGAATAAATACAGAGTTGTAAGAAGTAAAAGTACAGATTGCGTTATTGGTTTTGAAGTGAAAAGATAATACATGTCATGTGCAGAGCTAATTTTGGCTACAAGGGTTTCAGGAGGATCTGTAAAAAGACAGTAGCAGAGACAGCCAGACAGAGTATAATCTATATTGTTTAGTACATTTATAAATAAGCATAACAAAATTTGGCAGTACATGATGCAACGTCTTTGTTTTATTCTGACTGCTATAAATCTGTCATTTACTACTGATCAAAGTAAGTTGCAAGAAACACCCCCTCCAAATCTTTTCCTTTCTTAAGAAAAAAAAGAAGACCCAAATTCAAGGATCCAAAAATGCAAACCCTGCAGAAACTGTTAAAACAATGTCATATATTAAGTTTGCTTTGTCTTTAAAGTCATATTAATGTCTAAACCGCAACACAAAACCCACATTGCACGAAGTTAACACATTGTGTTCAGTTTTCACACTGAAGTGCTGTTTAATCTTCCTGAAATCTAGGCATGAAATGAATTTGTAACAAAAAACAGCAGCACGGGCATATTTATGCTTACTGGAAACTTGGAAATGGTGACAGGGTTGAGGAATATTAGCTAGCTTGAATTGCATAGTTGGTGTAAGACCAAGGTATTCACCCACAGAGTATTCACCTGGTAAGTGGAATTTACAATCCGTCACAAATCCCCACCATCCTGTTCCAAGATAATAAAAAGACAAAAGCAAGCAGGAACTCATGCTGTATAACAGAACACCCCAAAAGAATATTCCATTTAAACTCCACGACATTTAATACGTACTTTGTGGGAAATACACTGCTGAAAGTTGAAGCTGGTACAATCCATTCCTTCGTTAAAGCAATATGGAAACAAACAGGCTAGAGTCCTACCCAAAATTCAGCAAGAATCACGCTAGGATGAGGGCGGCACTTTTTACAAGAGCTGTGTGTCAGCTGTGGTATAAATGGAATATTCGCTTAAGTTAAAACACAGCTGAGAATGTGGCTTCTTGCACCATTTCAAGATGGCACAGTAAGAGGCAGAGGATTGCAGCCTTCCACTTCTCTGTTTACACACCACGAGTCCAAAAAGAGAAGTTAGAAAGAAAGGAGAAGCATGCAACTTGCCAGGAGGGTGACTGTTTGAACACTTAGTCCCTGCAAAAAGAGCCAAAGACTGATTTCAAACATACCTCACCAGTGCTTAGACCCAGAACTTTCCTCAGTGCTGAAAGTGAGACCTCAAGCATAGCAAAAAAGGAAAAACGAGCATCACCTTCCTCTTACCACCCAGAAATCCTAACTAGCCTAAGACACCAATGACTAAGGGACAGCACTTTCATATCAGAAAGCAGTATTTGGAAATTAAATACACCAAACATCCAAGACGGTGCTTATTTAACATTCTTTGTATCCTGCCTTTCCTCATGGCATGCAAGGCAGTGCACATCGGGTTCCCGGGCAGCCTTCCATCTAGACACACTGAATTGACCCAGACCTGCTTAGTTTCAGCTGATGCAGCTGCCTCACGTGCTTTTGGATCATGAGCGAGACCAAATGGAAACAGAGCTGGATACCAAGTAAATTAGTCAATGGTTGTGATGATCAAAGATAGGGTAAGGCTTGGCCCACATGTCACATTGAAACCACGGTTAGAGCACACTACTGAGAAGCTCTGACTTTCCTCCACTGCTCCTGCCACATGGCTGGGAAAGAAGTCAGAGCCCCAACCTTTACAGATAACCAGTTCTTTATGCTGATGAATGCATGTTGTCTGTGACATAGATGTGATGAAAGTGTCACCATTTGGGTACTAACATTTCGACATCAGTTTGTTGGACTGGTCATGTTGTGTGGATACCTGATTATCGTCTTCCAAAGCAACTATATTCCGAAGTTAAAAATGGAAAGCGTAACGCTGGTGGTCAACAAAAGAGGTTGAAAGACTTCTCAAGGCAATTTTTAAAAAATGCAGTATAAACACCAACAATTGGGAAACACTTGCCTGTGAGCGCTCCAACTGGAGAACAGCCTTTACCAAAGGTGTAATGGGCTTTGAAGACACTCGAACTCAGGACGCAAGGGAGAAATGTGCTAAGAGGAAGGCACGCTTGGCAAATCCACACTGTGATCAACTCCCGCCTGGAAACCAATGTCCCCACTGTGGAAGGACGTGTGGATCCAGAATTGGTCTCCACAGTCACTTACGGACTCATTGTTAAAACGTGTTTATGGAAGACAATTTTATTCGGCTATGAGTGATTGCCAAAGAAGAAGACGACGACTAACATTTTGAGGACTGTGCAGTTTGTGCCTTTTTGTTTAGAGCACAACAGCCCAGATTCAAGAACGCTCATGGCAAATGCCACAATTAAACTAAACTCCAAAACCAACCTGATGTGCAATGAGAGTTGGCATGCTGGACCACAGTTTGTACTTGCAACACTGCACTCCAGGAAATACTTTGCCACTAGCATCTTTGAATCCATATAGCCAAGCCTGGAGACTATATATATACACACACAGTATATATTTATAAACATATTGCTGGCAGTTGTATTTGATTATGTGAGTCAGTCCTAGCTTGAAGAATATCCCAACTAAAATGGCTGAGAAGATCTACCGTTGCTGTACGGAAGAGAAACAGAAGATAAATTCTACCATGAATCAAATTGTGTGTAGGAATAATGACACCTAACCTTTAGAGTGCTATACAAATATTCAAGCCGCCCCACCTACCTTATCTTGTAGATTTTACATGCAAAGTACCATGCTGAGTGTGTCAGTATTACTATCCTCATATTGCAGAGAGACCATGGCTTGCTTAGGGCTATCAAGCGACTTCAGGGCAGTGAAAGCAACATGCAATTTAGATACTTCATAAGAGAAGGTCATGGAGGGCTTATTCCTGGTTGTTGTTTTAATGCAACTCACCAATTTAAATTAAATTTCCCTTGCAAATGATGATATTACCAAACACATTTTCACTAGTGTGCTTTTATGGGATGCTTCACATGTTCCAGAAAAATGTATTTTTGAAGCATGCTTGCCACATATTTTCTCCAGTATATGAATCATAGAACTGTAGAGTTGGAAGGGACAACCAGGGTCATGTAGTCCAACCCCTGCAATGCAGGAATTTTTTGCCCAACATGGGGCTTGAACCCATGACCCTGAGATTAAAAGTCTCATGCTCTACTGACTGAGCTATCCTCTAATTTATGTGAATATGCAGGCATATAGGAAACACATGCTTGGGGGCTTCAACACAGGGGCCAGCTCCTAGTGTTGGAGAAAAGCAACGGGGATCTCCTTGTGCCAGGATCTCAGAGTGTGATGTACTTCTAGAATCCCAAGATTATAGGCAGGCCTGGAGACTGCAAGGAACAAATCCCTCAGAATTTGTTTTATGTATTAACAGTTGCTTTTGTTCTACTCAGCAAGTCACTTCAAGTTGCAAAGACTGACCCCTCTTTGTCTGCTGCTGTAGAAAGGTGGGCTTTTGCGAACAAATGGCTGCATATAAGGAGACCTTCGGACACAGGTGCTCAGTTAAAAATAATGAATATCAATTAAAACTCTTAAAACTTCCCAAATTCGATAAAATCACTCATTATTTAAACCTCAAACCAAACTCTGTGAAAACAGCTTCTGAGCCACCCATTTCATTAGGTTAACCTCTACAGCTATATAAAAAAAGAACATCTAACCAGTTTAACAGGTTTTCAGCCACATCCAGCTCTCTTGTTGACTTTTCTTTGTCACACTAATGAAGAATAATACACACAATGGTATCAATTTACACGCTTCCTGGTCACATCATTATATGCCTGAAACATAGAACACCACACACCAGTCAAGAAAGCAAAAGCAACTCATAAAAATTGATTTCTGAGGAGGCTAGAGACATATCTAATTCCAGCCTATTTATCTCGAGGGACTATAGAGCCAGATGTGTACATGGAGTCTGCTTATTCACAAAAAGCTTCTTTATAAATCCCACACTCCTCCTACCTGTTGAAGCATCTCTTCGGTAGCATTAAGTTTCAGCTGGTGCCCCTCGAGGCAAACTTCTAGATCTCTGATCTTTTCTCCTTGGGCCTCCACCTGGTCTGTAAGGACGCTCACCTACAATTGAGGACAAAAAATGAACAGTCATAAAAAGGAAATATTCCATACTTTCAGGGATAAAAGCCATTACTGTTAGTAACGAATCATAGCTATATGCACCCACCCACATGTGTTGGCCACTCTTCCTTATAGAGTGGTGGCATGGAATAATCTCTTCATGTTCTCTAACAGCCAGATAAAATAGATTTGGTTTAAAGGCAGCAACTAGCTGAACCAAGGTCATCTTGATAAGGTTCATCTCCAAATAGGGATTTGAACCCACTCCTTCCCAGGCTTCAGTCCAACATACACCTCACTACACAGGCTTTTTCTTTCTTTTTAATCCCCTCAAATCATTCAACTAGTTACTAAATGACTTTAAAATGTCTTACTCTATTTTCAAAATGACAGTTTGCTACTTACCTTAAGAAGTCACTGCATCACACTTTGGAGAAGAAGAAAAATACCAGCAACATTTAAAAAAGTTAATAAAGAGGCATTTGGAAGGCTAGAAAAACAAACAAATGCTGATGTGAAAACAGAACACTGAAGATCATGTGCTAGCATTTACAGTAAATAATCCTTCAAAGGGAAAAAGCCCCTGAAGAATCCTGTTAATATTTTAAGTGGGCTTTGAGCACGCACAACCCTTTCAGCTTCTGCCAACACTTCTCTCCTTAGAAAGGGGGAAACGTAAGGGAAAGAGTCTTGTAGGAAGCCAACCAATTACCTTTCTCCTTACGAGAGCACGGGAACAGCTTACCTATCAACAAAGCTTTCTGTGACTGTTTAAAAAACGTAATATGCAAAAGACATGTTTTAACATTGGCAGTGCTCTGCTTTTCACAGGTTCAAAGTATTACAAGCTTAAACATGAATGCCAGAGTTTAGGCACTGAATTGTTGGGAATGAATTAGTAAGAATTCTCAGGGAGATCCAAGAATGGTGTCACCCCACAGCTACAGAAAACAACATGAACTCTTCGTTCTGTGCGAAGAAATAAATAGCAGCGGAACCCAATGGTAGCTAATGTAACTGAAACAAACAAGCAAGCAAACAGACTTTGTGTGCCTTCTGCAAATCTGGATTGTCAGAGGGTTCCCTGGGCTTCCTACCTCTCAGAACTAACACCTCCAGATTTCTTTTAACCAATTAAACCTGAACGCTGGAATAATCTGGACTGAAGAGCTTCAAGGACTTGATATTCTTTTCTGCCTCCTCCTTTGTTTGAGAAGTTTGCTAACATAAAAATTGGGAAAGAAATATTGCAGTGGTATGCGTCAGAGACACACCTTTTGTACTTCAGTAAAAGTACATAATTGTAGGTTTTTCCAAATAATCCAGATTTAGGGAGAAAGCAGTTGACTGTGTAGCAAAGCAAGCCCTGTCATATCTAAAACCAGCTGCCTTCATTTTTTAAAAAATAATGCTAACCTAGTTCTACTTTGCAAAGGAAGAATCACCTCTTGTGATTTACAAAGATTTTGCAAGCTGAAATAGAGACACCTCCACATTTTGAGGTCATCCACATGCCAAGAGCCAGGATTTGTAGGCAGACAGACTACAAGTTCTTTCTTTTTTTAAAAAAATCTTATTGTTTTCACAACAGCATAAATAATTATAACACAAAATGAGTAAGATTATTAATTATAAGTGAGCAAAACCATTATCCCTTAATAATCACTTAACAATAATGTTACTAACCAAAAGGTCATTCAGAAGATTAATCTTCCTACCTGCTATAATCCCATGTTAAAACATAAAGCACCATTTCCATAAATTCCTTAATCTATCCCATAATAAATAAAACATATCTATTTTCCAAAATAGTGATTCACAAATACTACTCCATTTTAAATCCATAACACTTGTTTGGTTTGAAATCCCTTACTATAATCAATAGATTTCTGCCATTTTTCCAGTCTTGTCTCTTCTTTCTCAACTTCTTAGAAAATACAGTGGTACCTCGCAAGACGAATGCCTCGCAAGACAAAAAACTCGCTAGACGAAAGGTTTTTCCGTTTGCGAGTTGCCTCGCAAGACGAATTTCCCTATGGGCTTGCTTCGCAAGACGAAAACGTCTTGCGACTTTGTTTCCTTTGTCTAAATAATAATTCGCAAGACAAAAAATTCGCTAGACGGCAAAATTTGCGGAACGAATTAATTTCATCTTGCGGGGCACCACTGTATGTTAAACTGGCATCCCAGGTTTTCCCCAACCCATTCTTTATCTTTGGTATGGTTTGTAATCTCCAGCATTTAGCATAAAGAGTTCTAGCTGCATTGACCATATAGGAAACCAACTGTCATTTGACAGGCTGCTAATTCTTTCACAGGTCTGCAGAATTGGGGTGGCCAACATTAAGGCAAAGAGATGCCTGTGCCCAGCTACATTACATCTAATAATAATAATAATAATAATAAATTTTATTTATATCCCGCCCTCCCCAGCCTTAGCCGGGCTCAGGGCGGCTAACAACAATAAAACAGTACAAAAGTACAACATAAACAACACTCTAAAATCATTCATTCTAAAATTAATTAATTCAAGCCACTGGCAGCCATTGGGCCAGAGCTCCGCGAAGATTGCCGAAGGAGGGAGTCAGGCTGTGCCCTTGCCAAAGGCCTGGTGGAACAGCTCTGTCTTGCAGGCCCTGCGGAAAGATGTCAAGTCCCGCAGGGCCCTGGTCTCTTGTGACAGAGTGTTCCACCAGATCGGAGCCACAGCCGAAAAGGCCCTGGCTCTCGTTGAGGCCAGCCTAACTTCTCTGTGGCCTGGGACCTTCAAGATGTTTTTATTTGAAGACCGTAAGTTTCTCTGTGGGGCATACCAGGAGAGGCGGTCCTGTAGGTACGAGGGTCCTAAGCCGTATAGGGCTTTAAAGGTTAAAACCAGCACCTTAAACCTGATCCTGTACTCCACCGGGAGCCAGTGCAGCTGGTATAGCACCGGGTGAATGTGATCTCGCAGCAAAGACCTTGTAAGGAGTCTCGCTGCAGCATTCTGCACCCGCTGGAGTTTCTGGGTCAGTCTCAAGGGCAGCCCCACGTAGAGCGAGTTACAATAATCCAGTCTGGAGGTGACCGTCGCGTGGATCACAGTGGCTAGGTCAGGGCGAGAGAGGTAAGGAGCCAACTGCTTAGCTTGGCGGAGATGGAAAAATGCCGCCTTTGTTATAGCTGCAATCTGCGCCTCCATGGAAAGGGAGGTGTCGAAGATTACACCCAAACTCTTAACGGACGGTGCTGGCACTAATGGCACCCCCGCAAGAGATGGGAGTTGCCCCCCCCAATCCCATATCGCCCCGTCCCAGCCACAGGACCTCTGTCTTCGAAGGATTTAGCTTCAACCGGCTCCCACGTAACCATCCAGCCACAGCTTCCAAACATCTGGTCAGTGTGTCTGGGGCCGAGTCAGGATGGCCATCCATCAACAGATAGAGTTGGGTGTCATCAGCATACTGATGGCAACCCAGCCCAAAACTCCGAACAAGCTGGGCGAGGGGGCGCATAAAGATGTTGAAAAGCATCGGGGAGAGTATCGCACCCTGAGGTACTCCACATACCAAGGAATGGCGCGATGACAATTCCCCCCCAAGCGCCACCCTCTGTCCCCGACCAGAGAGAAACGAGCGCAGCCATTGAAGGACTGTGCCCTGGATCCCCACGTCGGCAAGGCGGTGGTCCAGAAGTTCATGATCGACCATGTCGAAAGCTGCTGACAGATCTAGAAGAATCAGCAGCCCCGACCCGCCTCGATCCAGCTGTCTACGAAGATCATCTGTTAGGGCAACCAGAGCCGTCTCGGTCCCATGACCAGCGCGGAAGCCGGACTGGAATGGACTGCATCTCTGCCAACTGAATGTTTTCCTGCTTTGTGTTGTATGGAATAGGCAAATAACCAACAATGGAAGCCTGTATGTCAAAACCTCATAGACAGTTTTTGCTTCTCAGAACTGAAATCTGCTTTGTCCATTAAGAGCAGACAATGTCGGGATTGGCTCTTCTGGATAGAATCCAGAAGGGATTTGCATTTAATTAGGAATTTTAGATTCTTGCCATAGTTCCCATTTCTGAACCCCAAAATGATGCCTGCTGCATTAAGAAATCATTTCATGGAGCTCGGATTCCAAGTGATGCCCACAGCAGTTTTGGTTGGCAGCTACAATAGAGGAATGTTGAAGAGAGAGACACTTGATTTTGCAGAGTAGCCCTTCTTTCTGGAGCTATTTCAAAAGGTGTCTCACCCAATCGGTCTAGGCGGATGTGAAAGATTCTCTCCCCGGTACTTTGCAAACGTCTATATGCACACAATGTTCACCTGCAATATGTAGCTGACTAGCCAGAAATATGGGGCAAACATGGGGCAAAGCTCTTGCACTAGAGTGAGCTTCCCAAGGCAGACTTTGAGAATTTCAGGGCTGAGCGGAGATTTAAACCCAAATCTCCTGTGTCCATTAGAAACAATGCCAACTAAATCACAATGGCATTACTTATTTAGGAAGCCAATTATCCAAAGTTAAGAGTAATTATATATAAGCAGCTTTAGTCTGGAAAAGCAGCCAAGGGCAGTTTTGTCTCTTGGTAAGTAGGAATATATTTGGGGGTGATCGTGTGCTTGGGACAGCATAAAACCCTCTCTCCCACCTTCAGCAGACCTTTGAACAGACCTTTGTGGTGTCCAGGGGAAGGGCCCCAAGTTCTCTGAAATGTGAGGGTGGTGGTGAATGTATTCTTTATTAACTTTGATACAGATTGGGCTGATTCTCTTATTCTTTTTTTTAGTGGGCCCATTTCCCAAGTGTGTGTTGTCAAGCTGCCCCTTCATTTTAAAACAAGAGACAGAAAATAAAACACTAGTCCCTGGACCACCTCATTAACCAGTTACAAATCCACCCCCCAAAAGCTACTAACAATTAGCATCTGCCTCCTCATAATCTTTGGGTAGCATTTCAGCTCCACGAACATCTGTAAAAATGTTCACATATTAACATTTTGAACAGCCCTACTTGTGCAACCTGAAAAGGGGCATCATATTCGAGTTCGCTGTCTACTTTACTGGTGGGCCAATTTCAGTCTTGCATGGTCCGTCTACTATTTTAATACATTGGGAATTCCCTGGGTCTACTGGTATATTTCCCCCCCCCCTAAAAAAATGATCTCTTAACTCAATATCGCTTAACAGTTATAATTAAGGCATAATCTATATTAAGTATGTATGTATTCTTGCTTCAAATATTTCTATTCCCTTCATGCCTCTTGAGTAGTAAGTATAAACACCTATTAAGACAAAAGCTGGTCAAAAGGTCTGTGTCCTAGTAGTCATTACATCTTATACTAAAGGAATGACAGCAATTAAACAAGCTATAAACATTACTGCAATAGTTTCTTAATGAACCATTTGCGATACTTGAATCACACAGAGATGCTGCAAGCACTGTAATATTCCTCTCGTAAAATACCGTACTCCTCATTTCACGGCTTTCGACAATGGCCCTAACTGGTGGCATGTATTATAATCAAATTCTTGAGAAAACCTGATGCATCAGCTTAACCATGAAAGTTGCTTTGCAGCAATTAAGCAAATTATCCAAGCAATGCACATCAATTACCCACTGATTTCTGTATGTTTGATTAATGAACAAAATGCACAATTAAGCCAACTGCTCGTAACATGAACATCAAGGACACACACGTTGTTTTCTGTACTTTTGAATGGGTAAACAGATGCACAGGAACTGATAATACTCATGGAACTCACAATTATGATCAGATCAGATCATCTCTTCAGCTAATTGCCCTGAATATGCAATGCCAGTGCATAGGAAGGTGAAAATATTCATGAAAATAAGATACCTTATCTTACTGGGTTTATTTGGATTAAAACAGATGAACACTTCAAGCTTGCACACCACACGTACATTTTGTGTTCTTCCTGATCCTGAAGCTATGTGCATCTGTGCGATATTATTTTGCCATGTCCTGCTTTCCTTACCCATTTATTCATAACTCAGCTATGAGCCATTGCTTTCTGAGCAGTGATGATGCTTCTGGGACTGCCCCATACTTCTCAGTCACAGTGCAGACTGCATGAGAGTATCCTGGTGAATTATTTCACTCTCCTTCACTGCTTATGTTTGGGTGTTGGGGAGGGAGAAAATAATTTCTGCATAACAATACAAAGAACACCCAACACGCTGACTTAATTTCAACACACATTTCAGTCCGTCCTGTAGAACACCAGTGTACACAGCTTGTGAGTTACATTCCCATAATGTAATTTTCGTGTTGGAAGGTAAGAGTGTAGACTGGACATTGTAACCAGCATAAGAAGCTGTTCTATTTTTCTAGAAAAAGAGGTGCTGAACATCTCCCTTTTTCTCTTAGAATGGCAAGGGCACCCACTGAGAAGTGCCAGAGCTGAGCTTTGGTGAGCTCCAGCTGAAAAAAGCCCTGTACACAATACAGTACAGTGGTACCTTGGTTCTTGAACGGAATCTGTTCAGAAATCTGTTTGACTTCTGAAAACATTAGAAAACCAAGGCACGGCTTCCGATTGGCTGCAGTAGCTTCCTGCACTCAATCGGAAGCCGTGTTGGATGTTCAGGTTCCAAAGAACGTTTGCAAACCGGAACACTCACTTCTGGGTTTGGGGAGTTCAGGAGCCAAAACATTTGAGACATAAGGCGTTCGAGAGCCAAGGTACGACTGTACTCAAAAAGCCCATCACACAAATCTTTCCTTTCCTTCTCCTCTCTGTTTTAAGACTTTGGACCGAGAAGCTCTTTCTTCTTGGATAAAATGAGCACCACCAACCAAAACTGAACTCCCAAGTTTGAGAACAATTGTACATTTCATTTCAGTCAAAAGTAAGCAGGGGAACAAGAGGTGCTACCATCAAACATTACAGCCTGGAGTTTCTCACTCAAATTTCAATTTTTTTAGGCTATGCAAAATGGACTGATACTATTTTCCTACTGCTAAACGCTGAAGTGAGCTTTGTTCTAGCTTTGAACACATGTTCCTGGCAGAGATAGATAAAGAGAGAGGCAGCAGCCAAGCAGTTTCAAGACACTATTAAAGGCTATGGGGTCACACTTAAAAGGTCCCCCTTAAAAGTCAATAGCCCATTAGGGATGTGAATTTTTGGTGTGTTTTTTTTTTGTTACTGTTGCTGATATCTAGTTGAATCCACAATCTATTTGACCCAGAAATTTAGAGTATAGAGACCTAAGGTTTTCTGCTCTCTCAGTACTTAAAAATTTTAATATATATGTGTATCTAAAATATGTAGAATTTTCAGACAGGAAATTGAATTTAAAAGTTGACAACAAACACTACAATAACTAACAGCTGCTGCAATTAACCCCCAAGAAACATAGCATTAGACTTTTATTATATTTCAAATAACACTGTTAAAAGAATTCAACACCACACAGGCCAAGACCAAAATTCTTTCATTTGAAGTAGGTACAGGGATTTTAAAAAAATAGTCCTTGCCCTGAAAAGCAGAATATAAAATACATGATATAATGATATTCTATTTTCCTGCTTTTCACAATGAGCAACAAACACACCAATAAACTCCAAATGCAAATGGTGATGCTATAAATTGCATACCTGAAGTATGAGAGACTCTTTGTCACCCTCTAGTCTTGTCAGGCGTTCTTGATAGGTTTCATTACTGGCAGAAGTATGGTGATTCACCTGGGACTAAAGAGAACAACAGGTTAAGATTACAAGTAATTGAAATGTGATTGTATTGTTAGATCTTGCCTTGAACTTCAAAGTACTGTGTAATCATCATAGCTATAAGAACATGCCACAATTGTATCACATAGCTTACAATTTTCTCAGCTGACAGTGCAGTCCTAACCATGTCTACTCCCAGGTAAATGGGGTTAGGACTGCAGACAAAGTCTGCTAAGCAACACTTTATAGGATTTTAAAATAAAATGTAAGTTGGAACCCCTTCAATTTTCTAGGATATAATCGTGGCAAAAGTGAAAACATCTTCCCTTTCCCCTCTCTACACCCATATATGAGAGAGAGAGAAGGGGGTGGTTAAGAGGGGAATTAATTGATCCCAGCTGTAGGGTCAGTCCACTGCCACCCATCCAACTCCAGCATATTTCTGGAATTCCACAAAAGACAAATCTGATCCAAAACTCAGTGAGCTGTCTGCTACTTATTACCCTCCTGCCTTCAAAACAGGAAATGCACATTTTAAAAATATGTAAAACAGACATATTTTCTAGTTCAGTTGCCTTTAAACCCCTGCATATCCCACCTATTCTTATCCTGGTCCTGCCATCAGCTGCTGTGGTGGGTGAGATACCAGGGCAAAACAGGCAGAGACATCAGAACCAGGGAAGAGAACAGAAGAGAGAAGACAGCTACGTTCTCTCATTGTACTGGGGATTTTTGATTTTTTTTTAAGGTACGCATCCAGGTCTGCAAGGTGGCAATCCTACCATGTTCTTCAGATTCACTGTTGACGAACAATTAATACACCCATTACTTCTTCCCATGCACTGGAAAAAGTATTGTACAGTTTATGAAAAGTCAACAGTTCACCCTTATCACAACAAATGAAAATCAAGCAATAAGAGTGACACAGTTCCATGCAATTGCTGAATTCTTTATAAAGAACATTCCTTGCATTCCAGTATGTAGCAAAAAACATACAAACTCCCAGCACAGCTGAAGATGCCACAGCCAGGATTTGAAAGGTAAAATGAGTTAACCACCTCTATTCAGATACTTATCGAGTATGTCAATGTAGATGCCACCTTTCCTCCAAAGAACTCAAGTTGCCATACATGGTTCTCCTCTCTGCTCCATTTTATCCTCACAGCCACCCTGCAGAGGATGTCAAGCTGAGACACAGGCCACCCAGCAAGTTTCATGGCTACGCACTTGAGCCTGTCCTCAAGTCAGTTTTGTGCAGGATCGAAAGGCAGCAACAGGCATTGCCAAGAGGGCAGTATCTACATACTTACCTGGAAAGGTCTTATTTCCTTTCACAACGTTCTTTATGATCGGGATATAACTTTGCTCAGCATATTCCTGACCTCTGTTCATTAGGTAGCCAGACCTAATATTGGGCTGACACATTTGACCCAGGAAGTCCATAATAGGATGAATCTATAGGATAAAAGCCCCTTGGCGCAACATAAAGGTATCTTAAGCAACTAGAAGAGCGGGTGTATTTTGTACGTTGAAATAGGTTTTGCCTCTCTCAGGACAATTCATTAAATTCTGGATAAAGATTCATCCTGCATTAAGCCATAAATAGATAATGTATTACAATGCTTCCTGCTCTGATTAACGCTTCCAAAATATCTTGGGATGGAACTACATCAGCCAACATCCACATCAGACAGAGTAATCCAAGGAGAAAATATCAGCTCTGCCAAAACATCAGCTGCTTCGAGGTTTAATAAGAACAGGCAAATGAAGTCCAGACAGGCTCACCTACTAAGCAAACAGCTGCTCTGTCTCAGACGACATCTCTTAAGATACTGGCTCTCTTTATGGCAAACATAATGAGAAGATAAAAAAAACATAGCAATATGGCCCAAGGGTACAGGCTTGTAGATTATGATGGAAGCAAGTGCTGTCATGGCTCCCCAAGAAGAACCTCCTGTGGTCATTCACCTGGTAAAGGATCACAAACCCCAGAAACATCTGGTTTTTGAACTTTTAAAGTTTTGGCAGCCATTCACTGGCTGCGTTTAAAGAATGTCATATTTGAAGTGTAGACATTTTCCTTGAGCAGTATGAGCTACACAGTTATCCACACTTTTCCAAATTAACGTGAAAGCTTTCACATATGGCTTCGGAATTGCGTAGATTGTAGGAGGAGGTAGGGGAGCAGTGGACAACTGGAGCAACCATCCCAGGACCTAGAGCTCAGAACTGGAACAAGGGGAGACTGCTATCAAGAGGCTCCAGAGACAATCTGGAGTGGGACAGGTTGCATAAAGTCAAAGACATGCCCTGGAGGACTCCAAGGTTATTCAGAAATGTGTTTACATAGGCAGGTGAGAGAGACACTGCTCTCTAAGAACAGGGAGTACTGGGCATCTGCAGGACTGGCCCAAGACATTTTGCTGCCTGAAGGCTGAACAAAGCACCCAAGATGCATAGTGCCCAAAGCTTGCCGAGTTATTTTGGCACCACAAACGTGACTCGCGTGTGTGGAAATATAACAATATATTAAATACCTACAATCCGCTGCGTTTTCAATACATCCAAAAACCAGCTACCTGAAGTGGCTGCCTTACTCTGCGCCTAAAAGTAGGACCTGGGTACCTAACACAAAGAGCCAATAAATTATGTGTGCCTGGTAGAAGCCCTTTCATCTCTAACTTAATGTGCAAGAAATTCTTTCCAAAAGCCTCTAAAACAATTCAAAAGGAAAACATAACTTAAGAGGGCCACGGTAGAGTTTTGTGGGGCATACTGCAATTTGTGTGTTGGGTGGACTGAGGGAGAAAGGTATATAAGGTTTCTGCAGTGTTCAGTGCTTTTTTAAAAAAAGAAAATAGATTTTTCTACTTCATTTATCACCCACCTTTCCTCCAACAAGGGGCTCAAAGGAACATACCCCCATTTTATACTCACAAATGACCATGTGAGGTAATTAGGAAGAAGATACAAAGCCTGTGCATTAATTTTGGAGGAAGTATTACAAGGTCTGAATGTAAAAAAAGAATGTAAAAAGTAGGAGACTAGAGAGAAGAAAGATGCCCCCATGGTTTGCAGATGGAGGAGGGGACAAATTTTTACAACATTTTATGGGAACACAACATGGTAACAGGCTAAATGTGGAAGGAAGCAGGTGAGAGACATGCCAAGTTTCAACAACACTACTGGTAGCCTTACATAGCCTTGTATGAACAACTGTCATGAAGAAGAACTCAAAAACATCCTTTCCTTAATTCAACTGAGCACAAACAAGGCTGGTCTTCCACGCAGCACACATGCAGGAGTGCTTTGGTGAATTTACTCAGATTAGTTCTCTTTTTCTCCCAGGCTATTCACTGCAGCTATATCGCAAGGACTGGTTGCTTTGTTTGTTTATGTGAAGCCATTATATTCCATTTGGAATACTGAATAATAGCCATGTGATGATAAAAGCAACTGCTTGTGCAGAAAAGTGTAGCTGTTGAGACATGTTCAATGTATTCTGACTTTCCTTTAAATGCAAACTGGCAGATGGAAACAGAGCAGAGCCAACAAAATGTAGTCATCCAACTATTCGTTCAGTAGCTCAGCCCTACAGACCATTTTGAAGACTTCGGATTTAGTTAATCTGCACTCATGTCTGGAAAAATATCAAGAAGAGAAAAACTAATGTCCATTGTTGCGAACCACTCATTTGAATGTGCCTACTACATGACCAATTTCTTCATATTACAGCAAATACTGGATTTTAAAGAAATTTCTAGGTATACGTCAACTTGTTTGTAATACTGGTGCTTCCAGTAATGGGCTTACAGTATTTTAGATGTCCTGGTACATGCAAGAGCTCCATGATGGGGGGGTGTGGGGGGTGGGGTGGAGTTATGCTAAGAGTCCTTTACACCAGTGTTTCCCAACCTTGGGCCTCCAGCTGTTTTTGGACTACAACTCCCATCATCCCTAGCTAGCAAGACCAGTGGTCAGGGATGATGGGAATTGTAGTTCAAAAACAGCTGGAGGCCCAAGGTTGGGAAACACTGCTTTACACAAAGTGAATGGAGCAGCACTCTGACGTATCACAGGCCAATCATTGTTTAGAGCTCCTCTACCCTTGTCTACCATCTGCTCAGAACTCAGCTTCATTCGTTTACTTCTGTCTCCAAAGTTGTGACACACTCTTCAAGTGGAATCAGAGCCCGAACCATGACTTGCCAATGGTCTATCAATTCAGAGAGAACAGAAAATCTGAGAGTTTGAAAATCAGCTTTAAATTATGCTGGTTCAAAGGATTCTGGTTTATTCTTCCTTCTTTTTCTGCTTCAGATATTAAAACAAACTGTAACTTAGCTGAACAAACCATGACTTAAGATTAATAAAAGTATTACCATTATTCAAATCTGCAGTCTTATCCTGCTTACTAGAAGCCACAATTTCTTTAATGGAAAGGAGATCCATGCATATATAATTTAAAACAAAGTAATGAAGTGCTTTTTGTGGCCAATGTACATCACCCCCTTAAATGAGAGTACACATATAACACATCCCTCCTCTACTTGTCACCAAAGCCTCTTTGATAAGAGGGGGGGGGGGAAGCAACTCTGCTTGCTTTATGATCAAAGAAAAGGGGAGGCTGTTTGTTTTGGCTCCAGTTACTTGTCCCTTCCGCATGCTGCCACATGACCAGTGCCCCAAGATCTCTTGACTGGACTTTGAACAAGCCTCTTCTTGGCTGGAATTGCTTACAAGGAAGGGGTGTTTTGTCATGGACATTTGATAGGAGTGCTACAGAAATCATGAATGGCACTTTCAAGCAAGTTCAAGTAGAGCAACCACAAGCCCTTAGATTCTATGGCTTATAAAATGCAAGTGGGTTCAAAGGTTTGGGCAGCTGAATCATTTGATCAACTGAGTATTTTAGCCACTTCATACTTTTCCTCCTGCCTTACAACTCACCACTAAATCATTCAGCAAACCTGGCTCTGCACTCTTGCAATAACAAAACTGATGTTATGCCCGTTTCATTCCCCCGTCCCGTGAAACTAGAGCCAGGTTTGGCACACGCAACTGAGAACTGACGGGAGCCCAGTTCAGTTCCTCACCCTTGCTGCTCCCCCCCCCCAGCATCTATTGGAGGAAGCAGTGCTTTTATTACCAGCCAAAAGAGCATCAGGTTACCACCGCAGTTGGTGCCCAAGCATGCAACAGCAATGGGATCATGTGGCATCAGAATGAATTCACTGCACAGCTTCCTGCAAATGTTTTAATTACTTATCAAAGGAGCTTGTGTGAGCACAATGGGAATCAAGTTTTTCCTTGGAGAAATGCAGAAGTGCCTGGAGCCCTTTTACTGCATTTCCTCATTTTATCCCCCACGGGACCACAACATAAGTTCTGTCTTTACTACATCCCTCCGCTGCCCCGACAACCATTCTTTAAGAATCACTATTCACAGGCATGTTGCAATCAGTGTACCGCACTTTTAAAACCCTCTACATATAAAGAAGCTACTCACAGCTACTGACATTCCATCACACTTCCATTTCCTTAGAATAAGAGCAGAGACTCCACAGGCTGTTTTAACAGAGCACCGTGCACATATTTAGCAAACTGTGTTTGGATATAATCCCAATTACGCCCACAATCTTGAGAATGAGTTCTCCCACAAGAATGTTGCACAGTGTCAATGTCCTTTCTGCCACAGGAAACCAGAGCTTAGTTTGCAAGCATAGTCCGGCTTTCTGAAAATTTGTTTAGCTGAAGAGAACCAATATTAAGATCAATTTAGTGCAAATGCTGTATGTCCTACTTACTATGAACTTTCACCACTTAGTTTTGAAAATATATGATGCTAAATACGTAATCTAACCATTTACTTTCGGAGCTAAAATCAGACTTCCTACACAAATAAAATTTGCATTATTTTATCACTCAGATGCATATCCTTTAAAATATTAACTGCCATTTCTTGTCCTTTTGAGTCTCCAGAATGGCAGACCTGAGGCTGCTATCCTATATCCACTTAGCTGGGAGTAAGGACCATTAAGCTCAATGAGCTTTGCTTATAAGTAGACATTCATAATATTGCATAGTGAAACAAACTTCCTCAGTGCAAAAACTCAACTATGTAATCCCAGTTCATTTAAACTTCACTTTAGTCATTAATAGAGCCAATGATAAATACTGCACTTTGCCAAGGTTGTATATTATTTTCCTTAGTACGCAAAGGCACTTGGAAGAGGAATGTTGCAGTACAACTTAGCATTATTTCAACTGAGTAGTGATATGAATACTCCTTGTGAAGTGTATTTCACTGCAACCTTAAGTCCATTTATGTAGAGAGACAAACAAAAATTCTTCAAGAAGATGAAGAAATTCTGCCTTATGCTATCCTCGCTAGCCCACATCCCCTATAGATAAAATATAGTTAAGGTGCTTCTCAATACTGGATTTAAATTAGCCACTACAAAATTAAGATGATCATTGCGATCTAAATGCAAAACAAATTGGGAGAAACTGATTTCAAACCTATTGTGGTCAATGGGATTGAATTACTTAAAATCCACAGGTTAGCTTGCCATGTTTAAAAGCACGCAACTATAGTATATGCGCAAACGTTAGACAAAGAAAGAAAGGGTTACCTGAAAAGCTGGTAACATGAAATGCACACATGCATTTTCACCATTAGCTGTGAACTAGGATCAGATCTGAAACCCTCTTTGGACAGTTATTATTTAATACCACATTAAAACAGTACTCAGAACACTCCCACTGTTCTTTGTAAAGACAAAGGAATATTGGTTCTCTCCTCAATGCCTGTCCCATTTTCAGACTGTGGGACAAGCCATAATTTCCCACAGAGGTGGAAAAAGTTAATGTATTCCATTTTCTCTACCCACAAAGCTGTTAAGTAACAGAACTGCAGAAGAGTCACTTACCCTCTTTAGCCACGTGAAGTGTTTGTAAATATCAATCTCACTCTCCATGCTTCGGGCCCATCTCAGCAATTATATTCCCTGGGTTCACAGCTTTGTTCTGGAGAGACACCACAATCTTTCTATCTAGCGCTCTCCCCAACTCACACTGAGTTTCTCTACCTCTAGCAAGCTGGATGTCTGTACATATTTGACTTAAAATTGTCCCCCGGGCTCCTTCTAAACTCTTCTGCTGAATGTACACACACAACTGTACAAACTTCAGGCAGCGTCTCCCCACCTCCCCAACCCAGAGAGCATCTGGGTTTTTTTAAGCAGAGATCAGTCATCAACAGGCAGTAATATCATTCTAAAGGCTTCAAAAGATGCATAATGCCAGATGGTCTGAGGGGAAAAAAGAGAGAGGGAGGGAGGGGGAAAGGGAAGCTTCTGTAGTGCAGTTGAAAACTGCAGTGAGAGTGTTCCCTTTTAATGGTAAAATAACAAGCTAAAAATTGCTAGGCTGTCATAGAGAAACTATTTTCAAGTAATGCCTTCACTAGCTTTCTGTTTCAAGAGTGGCTGGAACTCATTACCCAAAGACCCTCTATTTCCTGTCTCTGTTTTACTCGTGTTTATCAGAACGCTCCTCAGCTTCCAATTTATTTCAGGCTGAGACTTAGCTAAAAATAAGCCCTGCCGTTTGAGAATTGCTGGTTACTCCATTCTCACAAAGGCACAAATATTTTAGGACAGCCCCCTTCTGCACAAAGCCAAGCGTTCCTTGTACAGATTTCCAAGAGGGGGCAATGCATCAACAGATTGCAAAAATACCTTCAACGTGTTTACATTCCCTGGCTGAAGATGGAAGCATTCAGGTATTGTTGTAGTCGCATGAGGACACATATCAAAGCAATGCTTAAGGTGTGTTTGTTGCATTTATATCCCGCCCTTTTTCTCCAAGGAGCTCACATGGTTCAGCCCTCCTCATCGAATCCCCATAACAAGGTGTACCCCTTTCTTCTTCTCTGCAACAGCATTAGCTTTGGCTCTTGACTCGTTCAGATACATTGCATGTAATACTTGAGAAGGGGAAATGGCAAGTGAACATATTGCATGCCTAAGAAGCTCTTAGCTGCACCTCCCCACCTACCACCCAAAATGTGTCTCTGTTGTGCTATTTCCCAGTAAAGCTCAAGAACATACCCAAGTATCTTTAAAACAGGCAGACTGTGTCTATTCTTTTGGAAAATATATATGCCATGTCAGACTACTGGTCCATCCAGCTCAGTACTGCCCCACACTGACTGGCAGTACCTCTCCACAGTTTCAGAGAGGAATCTTTTCCAGTCATACCTGGAGAAGGTGGGGATTTTATGACTTGTCACTCCCAAAGCATGAGCTGTCCCACTGAGCTATCGGCCTTTCTTAACAGAAGGCCCCAAAGAAACGTCTACATGAAGTAACTCAGACTAGACTAGACATGCTTACTATGGGTAACTGTTGATCATGGAAAGAAACTGCCATCTGCCACAGCAAAAAGTGCCAGCTGCTAGGCCCTCTTTTTCTTAGGGAGATGTCTAGGGGTGCTTCTTCAAGACAGGAAGTCACAAAGATCTGGGGGTTTTGGAGGGAGGGGCAGATCAGGTCCCACACATTCCTGTTTTCAGCCATGGATATTCAGAGCACACCAGTGGGCGGGGGTTGACAGAAAGTATCTCTGTGGTGATTTTCTGCCTCTATCCTCAGTCACTCTTCCCCCACCCTCCACTCCTCCCCATTTTTCTGTTCTGGGCATGTGCACAGTTTATTTATATACCGGTGCGCACATGCCTTTTCTTAAGCAAACAACGAATTTCCAAGTGCCACTGTCACCAGTTTGTGTTACCGTCTTTCACAATGGCCAAAGGCCACTTGACAAAATGGGGTGGGAGCTAGAAGCAATCTCCATCTCAGTGTCTTGCTCTGCACAGCATCCACGAATGGGGAAAATGCACACCTTGAAACAGAAGTACCCAAACAGGAAGCAAACTCCAGAGGGTATGCAACAGCAACAGAATGGCACGAGTTTTTCCAGCTGATCACTTAACCATGACAAAAAGGTACTCTTGGAATTACAGCAATGCTAGGCACTGGGAACAGTCGAGCATCTTCACAACAATATCAGGATTGTACTACTGAAGTTATTAAGAATGGCTCAAAAATAGCTACCCCAAAATAGTACCCCACAGGAAGAACAAGATGTGAAAGACAGCTTCCAGCTTGTCCAAGCTGTGGGTTACTTGATCTGGCATGGAATTCTATCTCCCCAAGCAGTTTCCAACTACTGTAGCTTCCTCATCCAAATCTCACTATGGGCCAAACCAAGTATTATGTTCAATACATAGTTTAATGCAGGGTCATTTTTTCTACTTTGCATAACAGAAGCAGCAACAGCGGGGCCTAATCAGAATCATGGCTGGTGGCATTTTCTAAATCTACATAATATATCAAAAATGGGGGTGAAAAACTTAAGTGTGGGTATATTTCAGGCATGTTGGTATGCAGTAATGTACTATGACAGCATATACAAACATACGCCCCAATGAAAACCTACGTAGGTCACTTAAAACAATCTCCCCAAGACCACCCATACTGGTTTCTATTTCAACAAATTATACATCCCACAGACATTTCAATGAGTTTCAAGCCTTGAGGACAGCAAGTTCTGGCAGACTGCCAAGACAGCGTTCTCTTACCACCCACACATCATACCACCATTTATGGTGAGAGGAACGCCTGCTGTAAAGACACCTGAGCACCCTAGTCAGCATGCGTCTCAACTTAAAAACAAGGGCTCTCCATAGGCAATATACCCACCACCATCAATGGGCAAACTGAGAACAGGCTTCAGTTCTACAAACACTTCTATACCTCTCCCACTTCTTCACTTGTGGGTTATATACCTGAGAGAGCCAAGGAGATCCCATGATCTAATAAACACAGAAAAAAATAGTGTTTGTTTCTCCCAGGGTAAGGAGCCTGGGGCAGGGAGAGATTACGTGAGCCCAAAGCCAACTGCTACTCTCTCCCTGGGCATAATTCTCAGTGGAAATGAGAGGCAAAAGGAAGAATCTGAACATGTCCTAGAAATTAAAAGCACTGGAATCTGTGTTTTTGGACAGACTGGCGATACATGAGTAGGACCACCAAGACCACACTATTAGAAGATGGTAATTTATTTATTTTTTAAGAGAAGTTAGATTCTTGACTAGTTACTTTATCAGCTAAGCTTTACTACATGTATGTTTTCGGTTAAAATCTCCTAGGTCTTTAGTTAAGCTGACTGTGCTTCCTATGTGTTGCGGCTCTGAAAGCACTGGTTACAGAAGAGTTTTGTTTGATTGGCTTAGCACTTCCCCCATTATCCTACCACACTGAAGCACACCACTCAAGCCCAGCTGTCCCTGCCCAGAACCAGGTCCCCTCCCTGAAAACAAGCAATAAGTAATAAGGGAGAGCTACACCATCCTGTTTGCTAGCCTAAACACCTGAACACTAGCAGCACTTGTCAAAAACGGTGTTTTAAAATATCTAACATACCTATTTCTGGTTCAGCAACTTCTTCCAGATTTCATGTAACTGCACCTTGATTTTCCCCCTGCACCTTCTTCTGAGCCAAAAAGGAAATTAGAAATTCAGAGGCTTTTATCTGGCACTCCTGTCAGTGCCCTATCGGTTAGGAATGTTGATAAAGTACATTCCGTTGAGTCACATGCTACCTGAGTCTTAGTTTTATGTCAGCTTTGAGCTTTGGCCCCATGTAAATGCAAGAAAAAATAAGTTTAAACAAACTTTAAAACACCCACCTCTCTATTTAACAAACTGGTGTGAATGTTTTCTAAATAAGATACCTAGGAGTGATTGAAGCCATCCACCTTCCGGCCCATTCATTTTACTTTGTCCAGGATATAAAGAATATGTATTCTCAATTATGAAACACAGTGCATTTATTACTTGGCATTATATACTTACAAATGCAGAACTCTGCTGAAAGTAGACCACTTGCTACGTTGATTTAATAGTCCACTTTTTGTTTAGAAGTGTACGGTTTGCCATCTCTCCATGTCAGAAAATAAAAGTAAAGCGTCACTGTACAGACAAACTACTACTTCCTGAAACACAATCGGAAGAGTTAACCCTTGAGTTTACAAAACCAGTGGAACAAGATCTGCTTCTTTTTCCTAAGTACACACACTGATGAGCTCCTTCAAAGCATTTTAGACATTTTCATCACTTCCTTTTTGTTCTTTGTTTGTTGCTATGACTTTTAAAATTTATATACCACCACTCTACCCTAAAATAGCTCCCACTACAAGTATAAAAGCAGCCCCTGCATTAAAGCCACCTACCAACTTTGCTCCAGTGCTAATATTTCATTGACATTTTTGCAAACAAGGTCCCTTCAGAAGAAAGCCAAATACAGTCAAATAAAATCCTGCACGTTAAACATATGCAAATACTTTGTGGAATAAAGAAGTCTGTACTGTCCCTTTAAAAACCTGAAGAAAGTTAGCCAGATAAATCTCTCTGTAGAAAAAACAAGTTCTACAGAATGTGCACTCCCACAGAAAGCAACATTCTGCTATAGCTTCCCTTGCCTTTAAGGAGAGCTTTAGTTGATTAAATGAAAAAGCAGGGGGGTGGGAGCTTACAGGGAATGAAGCATTCCCTCATATACTCTGGATCCAGATTCCATGTCAAGCATTCAAGTTTACAGTGGTACCTCGGGTTACGAACAGTCCTGCTTATGAATGCTTTGGGTTATGAACGCCACAAACCCAGAAGTAGGTGTTCCGGGTTGCGAACTTTGCCCTGGGATATGAACGCAATCCGCTTCCAGGGCCGCGGGAGGCCTATGTAGGGAATCCGCGCCAGGTTAAGAACAGACTTCTGGAATGAATTAAGTTCGTAACCCGAGGTACCACTGTACAGTAATGTGACAAGGTGAGCCTAGAAACTGTAACCTGTGAATCCACCTTGAAAGTTGAACAGGTATGTTTCCCATGGCAAACTTTATGTATGCTTCTGCAAGTCCCATGAGAAAGGTGGGATATCACAGACTCACATTTTTTTAATACATGATCTAAGTTGTCTAGTCTCCACACTCATTACAGGGATTTTCTAATTACAGCATGAGTGGGAAACAACCAAAAACACTAGTAAACTTGGGTAGCTACATAATACCTTCCCAATATCTTTTTAAAAAAGAAAAACGTAATGTACAACTAAGCATTTTCTTACATTTTTATCACACACACCCCACACCCTTTCTTTAAGCGGTTCTGGGTGCAGAACAATGAAAAACCACTATCAGAGATCTGCATAAAACACTACCAAACTAGAAATACAGTGCCTCGTGTTTCACTACTTGTAAACGAGAACATATTTAAACGCATGTGATGTTTTAATTGCAAGCCCTATTACAGCTTATTTTGTCCTGTCTTCCTTTTTTCCTTTTCCAAGCCTGCATGATTAAACCAGACTCAGGTTGCATATCCTGAATGAAAAACAGAGTTCCCCTAGCAGGTGCAGTAGATTTTGGGATATCTAATGTGTGTTGTCACTGAACACCACTACTCTCAATACACCACTCTGTCTTCTCA